GGCTCCATCCATCAAACTAATGACTTGGCCCAAAGAAAGTAAAAATGTACACAATGGAGGGTATAGGTCTATATTTTGGACAATCGGTTTAGAACATTTCTGCGATCGGCTTTCGCCCAGATTGCTGGCGCTAATTGCCGGCTGAGAAAGTCTTTTTCGGGGCAATCGACTTCAAAGACAATGGCCACAAAAAATAGTCATAATTCTCAGTGTTTATCGTTGCGGTTAGCAGAGGAAATTTCTGTGCCAGTTTTTTGTTTTTTTCTGGCCACTTTGCGGCCGTGACAAATGTAGTTTGGCTGTCAACAGCGAAGATCAATCAATCAACAAAAGTCAGAGAGCTGGAAAACCAGGTTTAACCCAACCCCAACCCCAGCAACGTCTTCGTCTCTGTCTCCGACTAAAATAATCCCAGTTATTTCACCATTTGGAGGCGACAATTAAAATGTTTCCATTTCATATCTCGTCTCCCGTCATATATGAGGCACATTTTATGCATTGCTTATTTATGAGCAGTACAGCCAGCAATTATGATTGTGATTTCCATTGAAATGTCGCTGGGGGAGCCACCCATCCACCCATCCACCTATCCACCCACCACCCTGCCAGGCGAAGCATGAACTCGTTTTTGGTCACTGAGCACGGCAGCTGTAATCACAGGCAGCTCCCAAATGAAATGGCTCCGAGTCAAAGCTTTAATTAGCCCAGAGCGGCCTAATGACCCCAGACCGTTAGCCTGGCCAAGATCGAGATGAAGAAGATGCACAGGTGTCTATGCACCCAGCGGTCGGTCGGCAACCACTTTCCACCTAGCCGCGTTCCATAAATAAATAAAAACTTAATGTTCGACACCAGCGGCCAACATTAAAAACTGGCTGCAACCACGACTGCACCACCTTGCCACCAATGTGGTTCACTCCCGCCTCGCAGCTCGCTGCTCGCTGGAGTTTCAGTTTTCACTATCACTGGCCTCCAATCAGATGCAGAGCATTCTCCAGACGGGTTTCTGGCCTGGCTCTTTCATTTTCTAGTTTTTGTTGATACAACAAAATCAATTTTCATTTGTTTTCGTGGCGCCTGCTATTTTGTGGGATTTTTGCAACAAAAATGTCTCAAGACAGCCCCAATTGGCGACCGCTTGGAAAGGTGTTTAATGTCGTGGTAAATGCTGTCGGATCGGCCTGGAACTGACAGGCTGCCTGGAGTTAAAGAATGATAATTGAAAAACCAATTACATTTAATAAAACCTGATTTTTCTATATTGGCCTCTACTACCAAATATTACAGACTATCTCTAATGAAATTATAATGTCTTATCTTTAAAGGAGGTTCGGCCGAACACCATCCCAGACCTGAAAGTGGATGCCACATTCCGGAAGGTGGCCAAAAATGCAATAACCTTTGCCATTTGGAAAATCGATGAGGATCGACTGGAGGCTGTGGCCAGGTCGCAGTTTGGAACCTTTTACGACACCTGCGCCTACATCGTCTATGCCGCGAGCTTAACTGGGCATTATGCCACTCATGAAACCATCGTAGGTGACTCACTTTTCGCTTAAGCCCACCTTCTTAACCCTAATCCCATACCGCAGACACGCGAGCAGAAACCAAATGTGGTTCTGGAGCGATATATCCACTACTGGCTGGGCCGGAATGTCAGCGAACAGAATCGCTCGAATGTGGTGCACAAAATCCAGGAGCTGGACCTATACCTGGGCAATGTGGCGGCTATTTACCGAGAGACCCAGGGCCACGAGAGTGCTAGGTTCCTCTCGTACTTTAAATCGGGCTACGAGTAAGTTATACATGAAGTCTTTTTCTTCAATAGTTCATTAGCCCCTTCTTCCTCAGTATTCTCTCGGGAGCTTTGACCAATTCTCCTCCAAGGCCACGCCTCTTTCAATTGCACTCCCGCAAGTGGCTGCGATCCATCGAGCTGGCCTCCATCGAGTGGTCGCACTTTAACTCGGACTACATAATGGTTCTCCAAACCGAAGGCCTGATTTTTGTATGGATCGGACGCTCCAGTTCCGGAATCGAGCGACGGAGTGCCCTCGCCTGGGTGCAAAAGCATAATCGGGGATCTCCCATCTCCATTGTGGATGATGGCTACGAGCAAGCCATGTCGCCGGAACACAAGGAGCTGTGGAACTCGCTGCTGCCCCTCAACAAACGAATGGTGTGCCAAGCCAGCCAGTTGGTCAGTGACTCCGGCGATTACAATGTGAACAAGTTCAGGATCTACAAGTGCAACCAGCGGGGACGACTGCACCTGGACCAACTGGATGTGGGGATGCCGGCGAAGGACGATCTGAGTGATGCCCATGGGGTCTATCTGTTGGATAACTACGGCCAGAGCGTCTGGCTCTGGGTGGGCGCCCAAGCTCCTCAGGCCGACGCCTTGTCGGCGATGGGGAACGGCCGGGCTTTCGTCAAGAAGAAAAAGTATCCGGATAACACTTTGGTGGTCCGAGTATTAGAGGGCCACGAACCGGTAGAGTTCAAGCGGCTGTTCGCCAACTGGCTCAGCGTGTGGCAGGAGAACTCGCGGGGCCATAAGCCAGTGTCCACCAAGTTCGGAAAGTTGGATGCCCATTCCCTGTGCGAGCGGCCAAAGATGGCGGCGGACACTCAACTCGTGGATGATGGCAGAGGCGAGAGAGTGATCTACCGGATTATGGGGGATCAGGTCCAGGAGTTGCCAACCTCGAAGACGGTGGTCTTCACCACGAATGCCAGCTACGTGGTCAAGTACAGTGTGCAGGTAAGCAAACCCTACCCTACCTGAAAAACCTCAAACCCTTATGAGGAAATGGTTTTCCATCCTTAGTGCGCCACTGTCATTCCCGCGGATCTTGCTTCCGTGGGCATCAAGACAGTCATCTATCAGTGGAACGGCTCCGAGGCCTCTGCGGAATCGATTGCCCGAGCCGACAAGTTTGCCACCTCCAGCTTCGAGGCTCTCAAGGAGCCGGGCATGTTTGTCCAGCTGTATGAGTTCGACGAGCCGCCACACTTCCTGCAGATCTTCGAGGGCAAGCTGATCATCATGCGCGGCCAGCGCAGTGAGGTGTTCTACGGCGGAGACCTCAAGACGAACGCCATGATGGAGACGTTCCTGCTGAAGGTCTACGGTGACGCCAGCTACAATTCCAAGGCGGTGGAGGAGACTCCGCTCTCGTCCATCAGCTCCAAAGATTGCTACGTGATCAAGACGAACCACGTGTGGGTGTGGTGTGGTCAGAGCAGCACTGGTGATGCCCGGGAGATGGCCAAATCGGTGGGAGCTCTGCTCGGCGAGAGTTCTTTGGTCCTGGAGGGCAAAGAGAGCAAGGAGTTCTGGCAGTCGGTGGTCATGTACTTCAATCAAACGCTTGTGATCAATGGCAATGGAAACTCGTGCTCCAGCAGCACCACCAGCAGCAGCAGCGGAGCCGGCAGCATGTGCAACGGCAGCTCCAACGGTGGCAGCGTATCACCTACCCTGAGCAACAATTGCTATCTGAACACCAGTGTGCCTAGCAAGCCGCGTCCTCCTGTCCAGCTATTTTTGGTTTGGTGGCAACAGTCGACGCTGCGCTACGAGGAGATACTCGGCTTCGAGCAGCAGGATCTCAGTGCGGACTGCACATACATCCTGGACACTGGCACCCTCACCTATGTGTGGCTGGGCTCCCAGGCTTTGCATCAGGAGCGCTACACGACCATTGCTCAGAACTATGTGCAGAATGCGCCCTTTGGCCGCCGATCGGCTACGGCTCTGGCGGTGGTCCGACAGTTTCAGGAGCCGAATGTCTTCAAGGGATTCTTTGAGTCCTGGCAGAATGATTATGGAAAGGTAATGCAAGATTCTTCGATGTCATTAGCGCCTTCTAACAAAATCCTTTTAGAACTTCCTCTCATACGAGCAAATGAGGAAGGACCTGGGAAACTCTGTGCCCAGCACCTGCAGTCTTGGGAATGGTGGCTCTCCACTGCTCCTAAATAACAAACAAACCGATTTCGATGGTCACAAAAAATATCCACTGGCCGTTCTTATCCAGGAGATGGACATGCTGCCTCCGGAAATTAACCCGCTCAAGAGAGAGGTAAGCTTAGAAAAATCCTTTTAGTCCTTCAACATTTAATTACCACTTTTGTAATCCCTTCCAGGTTCATCTCACCCACGACGACTTTGTGTCTGTTTTTAAAATGTCCTTCTACGAGTTTGACGAGCTGCCCAAATGGAAGAAAACCGAGCTGAAGAAGCAGTTCAAGTTATTCTGAGATTGAGTTTGCTTTTAGCGAGTGCGCACTGTACATAATTCTCACTTTGAATGAATACTATGAAGAAATAGTAGCTGTTGAAGCAGTTTATGTTATATATTCACACTTTTAGTAGATGTAATAAAGCGAAAACATGGAATTTTAACACTTAAAAATAACAAGGATATTCCAAAGCTTTCTTCTGGGGGCTAGGTGGTTTCCACTTCCTCCGAGTCCGGTTCATCCCCACTGCCTGAACCTGTGCATTGACGAAAACCAATAAAATTTTAAGGAGGCTATAATAGAACTCACTAGGAAACAAGAGGCCGAATATGAACTCGAAAATTCCACCGAGCAGGTCCCAAAACATTTTCGATCCGCTTAGCTCACCGTTTTGTAATCAAGTACATAGGCATTGCTGGCCGAGATGGGTTTTGACCCAGACCCCTTTAATGAGCCGTGACAAAAACGCACGACTAATTCTACCAAAAAACGATTGCATGATTTGGGTCACAGAAACACAAGGGTAAAATATAATGCCTATTGAAAAGCTTTTAAAGGTAAATGTTCATAACAAATTTATTGCTTTGTGTCCATCTCGATCATCAGATTATTTTTCAATCAGCTTTACAAACAAGACTTAGGGCCAATTAAAGGGCATGTTATGAAACAAATATTACCAAACCATACATAACATCGTACATTTTTGAGAGTATGTTTTATGGTTTGTAGGATGAGTTTCTTTGTCTTTAGGAGTCGTCATCGTCATCATCAGTCGACGTGTCAGCTGAAAGTATCCGATAAAGATTAGTCCTTGTCTAAGATAAGTCCCTTGTAAAACAAGGCTTTGAATTTCTATATTACTTATCCAACTCCACTTCTCCAATATCCTCCAACTTACAGCCGAACAAGACATCCCCAATGAAATCAAATATCATTCCAATTATTTCACAGTCCTCCATGGCATTCAGATTTACAAAGTTTACTACACAAAGAGGTGGAAAACATTCAATTTATATACAATTTGAGGATTAATTAGTTTGAACTTGGTACTTTTCCAAAGTTAATCGTCTATAATTTAATTAATATCCGTCCATTTGCCTCTAAATATATTGTGGTCTGGCAGAAACCTATTTAAAACTTCAAAGCTTAAAAATAGTTTTATTGCTCTTTTGGTGTACTTAAAAACAGGCTCATAAGTTTGTATATTTGTGTTTAATACACATCGTAGCCATACATGGGTCCCTCCATGTAGGCCTTTTGCTGGTCCGTGGAGTTTCGACGGATTCTTCGGCCGATCGGCTCCAGGTCGGCGTAGCACTTGGGGAAGACTCTTTCCACGGCGGCGATGGCATCGGCTTTGCTAATATTTCTCACAGCCAGTACAGAAGCCAGTGCCTTGGATTTCACACAGTTCTACGAAAGAAAGGGGTTTTAGTTCTCCATAATCTTCTACCAACAACAATACCCACCTGATGCGCCTCCTTCACATTGAATGGTGAGGCATCTCCCTGAAACATTGCACTCAAGAAGGAACAGTGAGCCAAGTTAGCAGCCCGGATCTCCGTGCAGGCAAGGTGATCTACGTTCCTGAAGTCAAGATCGTTGTTGCAGTAGTCGAACATGTGGATCATTTCGTGGGTCAGTACTCCGTGAACCATGCTTTTGTTCTTGGCCATATTTTGACACACAACTATCTGGTTTAGCTTTGGATCGTAGCCGCCGGTTACGGAGGGATCACAGACCTCGCAAGAGATGTGGCGCCGCAGATCGATGGCGCATCCGGAGCTCTTCAGGGCTCCCATCATAAGCTTCACCAAGGGTCCGTTTTTCACACACCAGTAGACATTCTGCTCGCACTTGTAGCGGTCGATGTTCTCCTGGCCCTCCAATCCGAAGAGTATGCGGGACCACTTGGGCTTGAAGGTTTCCCCCCTGCGCTCAGGATACAAGTCGTATCCCCAGTCCTTCTTCAAGGTGGTGTTTTCTTCAGGGGATTCTTTGATTTCATCACTGGCCGAAGCCTTAACATCTTGTGATTTCGTTGTTTCTTGTTTCGGTGTGGAAGTAGCCTCTATTTCTTGGGGTTTCGCAGCCTCCTTAGCCCACACTTTAGTCAGGAATTCCATTTTATAGTTCCTCCAACTGGTTGAATAACAAACCGGCAGCTGATGGAACAGAGATGCCACATGGTTAAAAAGTCGTTTAAAAATGGGTTGGATAATTCTAATATAAAATATATTTTATTGCGGAGAATTTAATAAAACCTAAAAAAACAATACGCAATTCCGATGCAAGAGTGGATAGTATTAACAAAAAGATTTATTTTTTAGTTCAAATATATGCAGACTTTAATAAGTCAACTGTTATCGATATGTGTACGACACTGCCATCCCTAGCCCTGCATCGGCACTTTCGACAAGCGATAAAGCGAGAGAGCAGCTGGAAACCTGCTTTATCGCTTCAACTCACTCGCTTTACTACTGTATTCTGAGCTATATTTAAAGATAACTCTAAAATCAGGCGTTTTTGGAAGAAATGGACGTTGAAAATTTAATTAGTGAAGTCTTTAAACGCCCAGCGCTATGGGACAAAAAGAGCAAAAACCATCATAACAGAATTTTGGTCGAAAAAAAATGGACAGAAATTGAAAAAATATTAAAAATATCGAGTAAGTAAAGATTTATTAATAACTGCAAACTATTTGTATTTACATAACAAAGCCGCGAAAAGCGTTTCTTATGAATTGACCTATTTTAAAATATACTTGATTTAAAGTTCCGGCTTTATTATGATTTTCAAAGCCGATATTAAAATGTTGTGATTCTATATTGATATCACAAGGCCCTTCAAGGTCAATGATTGTATTAAGCTAAATGCATATACTCTTAACAATGTCATCAACAAGAAGGCTTCCAGAGAAAATGCCATTTGGATGTTATGATACCAAAGGCTCTGGAAAGTATACTGTTAAAGTATTCGTTTATATCTTTGTATCTTTTGCATTTATATCTTTTCTTGAACATGGCCCTACAAGATGTTCCAAAAGTGGGTAAGCCTCGTCGCCTCAAAAAATCATATGGTATCTTAGTGTTGGTTCCAGGTTAGCAACAATCTGGCGGAAAGAATTGTCGAGCCCTTAGCTTCGTAAAGAGTTGTGATGCATTATATGTATGTCCCACCATCACTTTGTTTTCCATAGACTCCAACATAGAATCTCCCACTACTTGAAGTACTTTAGAAAAGTTATTTTTATAATTATAAAACATAGACCCGGAATGAAGTGGACACTTAATGCGTATGTGCTTTCCATCAATAGCCCAAAAGTCCAGCCCAGCTTCCAAAAGTTGCCTCCCGTCTTGCTAATTATTGGTATATGTAGAGGTTGGAGCTCCTCCCAAAGAGCTATTACAGTCTCTTTCAATAGAACTGAAACAGGAGTCCTTCCTATTTTATATTAATTTGCCAATCATGAGAAAGATGCACCAGTAGCTAAAAATCTTAAAATAACGGATAATTTTCGATCTTATAGTAATTAATTTATCAAATTTGTATTTCAGAAGGCGACTTAAAAAAAAAATGGAAGAACCTCCGGGACCAATTCCGCAGCGAATGGAAAAAAATTCCTGCTTCAAAATCTGGCGACTCTGGTGTTTCAGAGGAGGCTTACAGCAACTATACTTCTTGGCCGTATTTTAAAAGTCTACTATTTCTAAAGGATCAAATAAAACCCCGAAAATCGGTTGGTGAAGATGCACTATGTCTAAGTGAAGATGAACCACCAAAAAAAAAGGAAAAGAAGGTTAATACATTAGAGGAAAAAGTAGCTATTGAACCACAAAAATTAATGCTGATGGACAAGAAAATTAATAACAAAAAAGATAAAGACGACGACGAGTGTTTTTTTGCTAGCCTAATACCGTATATGCGAAAAATGGATCCGATGAAAAAATTATTATGCAGAATAGAAATACAGAAAACTATTCTTAATTTTTCTTTCGACAATAGTTCTGATACTGATATTTCTATATCGTAATATAATTTAATACTTTAAATACCATCTAACATAACTATAATACATAAGTACATAATAATATTAATTGAAATATATTAAAAACTAACCTCAATGTTATTATTAATTTTTGGCAAGGCAGTATGGGTTGTGTCACAAAATTTGGCCAAAGCTTCTCCAATCGACTACTAATTTTATGAATGGTTAAAAAACTTATCCCTTCTCGATCGGACAAAAGTTTAATATATGACAAGGTTGAAAAGTCAAGTGAAAAGTTGGTTCGATAATTATAGAATAAAATATATTATTTTACGAAGAATTACTTGAAACAAGGAAAAAAAATATGCAAATCTGATGGAAGAGTTGGTAGTACCACTAACCATACAGCATATGCTGTATTAACTATATTTGTATTAATTATTAACTATAAGATCTATTTTTTAGTTCAAATTTATGCAACCCTATCAATTTGCGCTTTGCACCACTGTCAACTGTTATCGATATCTGTAAGACTCTGCCATCCCTAGCCCTGCACCGGCATTTACGACTCGTAAAATTCATAGCAAATTCCACGTAAGATTTACGGTACAAGAAACTCAATCCAAGCAACCTATTGGAAATAGTCTGAAATAGTCGGAAAAATGCAGGGCTTGCGGAGCAGGGGATTGTTGGTGCTAATACCATTCCTGGTGGCCTTACTCGGGTCGAGCGAAACTTCGGCTAGCGGAGAAGCTATTAGGCCCGTTGGAGTCTCGTTGGCAAAGGCTGCTCTTTACCATCCTCGATCGGACAACAGTTGGACATGCTTGGACGGCAGCCGAAGCATACCCTTCACACAGATTAACGATGACTACTGCGATTGTGCGGACGGAAGCGATGAGCCGGGAACCTCTGCCTGTGCTCAGGGAAAATTCCATTGTTTGAACAAGGGCCACCAGCCGATAGACATTCCCAGTTCCCGGGTGCAGGATGGCATCTGTGACTGCTGCGATGGCAGCGACGAGTCCCAATTGGTGGCTTGCCCCAACACCTGCCAGGAGCTAGGAGCAGCGGCTGCGGTTCAGCGCAGGAACGAGGCTGAGCTCTTCAAGAAAGGTGCAGAGCGTCGCCAGGAGTTGATTACCCGCGGCAAGCAAATGCGGTCTGAGCGTGAAGCCCGCCGCCTGGAACTGGATCAACGTCTTAAGGAGCAAGAGCTTCTCCGAACCGAAAAGGATCAGCTGAAGCAGAATGCTGAAGCTTTCGAAACGGAGGCCATCGATGCCTTCAAGGAGCAGCATCGGGAACTGGATACGGATACCGCCAAGGCTGAGGAGGAACCTAAAGAGATGCGCAAGGAGGCCTCGCTTAGCTTCATAGAATACGACACCAACACGGACGGCTTTGTGGAGGTGACTGAACTCATGGTGGACATGGTTTTGGACAAGGATCGTAATGGCGTCGTTACCAAAGAGGAGGCCAGGTACTTCCTGGACGAGCGCGACCGCGTGGACTTGGATGCTTTCATTACTTTATCGTGGCCAAGGATTAAGCCTTTGAAGATGCTCGCCGAGGGTCTGTTCAAGCCCCCCACACCGGAGGATACTACTGGAGATGCAGGAGCAGACCAGCAGCCAGAAATTGAGACTGAAAAAATCAATCCAACCCCTCCGCATCTAACTGATGGTAAACAATTCGTCTCACAGACAATGTGAGCAGTTGAGTAAACTGTACTAACCAACGTGTTTGCCTTTTTTTTTCAGAACAAGCGGATCTGGCCGGTGACGATGACGTCGAGGCTGACGAGGAGGGCGAAGAGGACCAGTACGATGACGAAGAGCCCGATGTTGGTGTTGGAGAGGCCACCCCAGACGTGGAGGATGTTAAGCCACCTGCCTATGACCCGGAGACTCAACGTCTGATCCAGCAGGCTAATGAGGCGCGCAATGCTCTGGAAGAAGTGGAGCGCAGCATTCGGGAGATAGAGCATGAGGTCAAGGAGATCGACGAGCAGAACGCCAAGGACTATGGTCCCAACGAAGAGTGGGCTGTGCTGGATGGGGAGTGCTATACCTACGAAGATCGCGAGTACGTTTATACGCTGTGTCCCTTCGACCGGACTTCCCAGAAGTCGAGAAGTGGCGGAGCCGAAACCACTCTAGGACGGTGGGAGCAATGGATCGGCCAGCCCAAGAAGTATTCCCAGCAAAAGTATGCCAACGGTGCCGCGTGCTGGAATGGCCCCACACGTTCTGCCGTCATAAACATCAAGTGTGCCCTGGAGCCAAAGATCACTGCCGTCAGCGAGCCCAATCGCTGTGAATACTACTTTGAGTTCGAGACTCCGGCTGCCTGCGACAGCGAAGCTTTCCAGGCTGAAACGGATAACCTGCACGACGAACTCTGAAAAGGCCACACCAAGAAGCGCAAGGCGGAAAGGAGGAGGAGTAGATCAGCAATTTGGGGATCGTATTTTAGTTGTAAACGAAGAACATTATTTTGTCGAGATCATTCCTAAGCTGAGGCAGGAGGAACATCATCAAGAATGTAGCGAATTAATTCAGTGTACGCATTTAAGAGAGAGAGTAAAACGTTTCATTTTGAATAAAGTGTAAACAACTAGTATTTTTAAATGAAATCTTTACATGGCACACTAATGTTTGTAATTGTTTCGGTTTCTGTCTAATACCACGACTAGCATAAGTATCAACAACAAAAAGATGTGGTTCCCAAAATATTTATCAACAAAATGTTACATTTCCGATCGAACAAAAGGATTTAAATTAAAAAATGTTGGTACTTAAAAAATGCATTTAAATTTAACATTTTTTGATATTGTTAGAGGGAACTAATATAGCTAAAATAAAAATCGCTGTTTAACAAATATTAAAAATATATATATTTATATGTATAAAGCGCATTATATTATACACGGTAGACTAACTCTATGCCTCGGTAACCGCCTGCTTAATGTCCTCCAGATACCCATCCACCTGGTGCTCCAGGGCGAGGATGTGGCCCGTGTTGCAGTTCTCGGCACCCACAAAGGTGAGGATGAGTGGCAGCTTGTTCATTTGCACCACCTGATAGTTGGAGTACATCGATATGATTGTTTTATTCCGGCCGAGGCCCAGTTTGCTCGCCTGGTCGCAGGCCGTGGTAAATGTGGGTATAAAGGACGGCATCAGGGCAAAGTCCAGATTCTTCTCCTGACTAACCCGTAGGAGGGGCACTCCATCGCGATCCGTTATCTGGATCACATGCAGTCCACTGACCCTGTGAAAATGGGATCCAATAAGAGTCACCCACATAAAAGTGTCAGGCCAGCTGGAAAGCGAATACGTACTTGTGGAGGAGGCCGTTGAAGTACTTTTTGATGTCGTCCGACATGTAGAACTTGCCAGGTGTGGAAATAGAGACTTTTAAAAATTTAATAAGGGTTTTCTTCCCATATACAAGTATTTTTACAAATCAAAACAAATAACTTTGATAGGGGAGGTGCACCGTGATAATTCCTTCCACCATTTGCAACACTGCATTTCCGCGCTATCCAGCACTAAAAATCGCACATCTGTGTTTCTATTCCACCGTTCCAACGTAAACTGATTGCGTGGAAAAACAATTGGTTTGTATTAAAAAACAATTGATTTTAACTATGTTTTAAAGGGAATTTAAATATTTTAGATAGCCTGAAGTATCTACATCATGGTGTCTGGAGATGCGGCTGTGACAAAGTCCCCAAAGGCCGTAGCTTCCGAAGATGACGACTATTCGGCGTCGATGTCGCACCTCCCTATTGGTCAGCAGATCCAGGAGCTGTCGAAGCAACTGCAGCACACCACCGAGGAGCTCCACCAGCAAGTTCGGGATAAGCACGGAGCCCTTCTTCAGCAGGCCACACATGCCGGAAGGTTCGATGCCGCGCTGAACACGTTGGCGGAGGATGTCCAGAGGGTGAGGGAGACGGGACACCGCCTGAAGAGCCAGGTGGACACCCAGTATCAACAGGTGGAAAACCAGACTCAAGTACTTGGTCGCCTCCACGATGTCAGTCACCTCTTGCGATCTGCTGGAACACTTTTGAGCCTCACCGCCAAGTTGAAGAGCACCAAAGATGTTCTCCGCCAAGCGGAACTGCATTTTGAGCTGGGCCAGCTTATCGAGGATAAGGACCTCAAGGACATAGAGTTCATACAGCAGGAGCGGGCGTATGTGATCAGCTCGGGTCAAAAGATTAGAAACCTCACGCAGATGCAGCTGGTCACAGGGCTGCAGGAGCGAAATCAAAATCAAGTTGTTAATGCCCTGAAGGTTTGTACTTTCTTCCATTATCTTTTAAGATTATACTTATTCTTCCAATTCTCGCAGATCTTTATGAACTTCAACACCCTAGAAAAGTCGTTAGACAATCTCCTGGCCACCTTCATTGCGGACATGGAGCAATCCCTCAAGGAGTGCTTTGCTGGCAACGACATCTCCGTCCTCAACAAGTCACCCACGCACAATGTTAGCAAACCAGCCGCAGTTCGAGGTCCTGGAAAGACCCCTCAACTGACCACCACCCAGAACTTCCGAGCCAAGTTCTGGAAGTCTCTGCACTGGCTGCTGTATGACGAACTCTACGAATCATGTACCCAGATCAAGTTGCTGAAGGCTGCTCTGGAGCAGATTAACCAGTTTGGATACACTTCAGAGTCCTCGGATCAGTGTATTCCGCAGCGGTTCTGGCAACAGGTGCAGCAGCTTCTGCGAAAATCGTTTGATGAATGCCCCCAGCACGTGACACAGACGCTCCAGGAGGGACTATCCAAACTGCTGACATCCGCCAGGGGCTTGGAGAAAAGATTGAATGGCGAATTTCAGTTCGACAACGAGCTGTTCGCCCCCCTGGAAGTGGGCTACGTGGGCAAGTGCGCTGCAAACCTGAAAGCCTGTCTGGCCGGCGTCGACTTGCCAGGAAACGAGACCGTGGACAACTTCATCCGCGTGGCCTCTACCGAACTTAGTGCGGCCCTGATCGATTCCCGTCTCACGAACTCCATAGCGAACGTTTTCGTGGCCTGTGGCAAGGAGCTGTGTACCAAATTAGAGGCCCAAATCAAGCTGGGAGCCGATTCCAAACAGGTGGTGGACCTCCCCAATCTCCAGCAGCAGCAGAACACGCAGCTGGCCAACGTTCTCTACTACTACAAGGACTCTGTGCGCCGCATGCTAAGCGATTTGCAAGTGCAGTTTGAGAAGACTCCAGGCACGTCAAAGGACAACATCCTCCAATCCCTGGAACAGGCGGATCTCCTCATTGGCACAATCTTGCAGCAGATCATGGAGTCAATTATAACGACCATTAGTATCATTATATTAAGCATGCACCGAGAGCCAGGACTAAACTCCGAGAGGTTATCCACCACAGGGGCATCGATGTACATGAAGGAGCTCCAGGTATGGGCGGCTAACGAACCCTTTTAAGCTTCAAGTAGTTAATAAAATATATTAACCTTTCAGGAGTTCATCAACCGATCCTGGTCGCATCACATTTCCCTCTTCGATGACAAGCAGATGACCACAAAGTGCGGTCATGAGCTGGCCAAGCGTTGCATCGAGTTGTTCCTGCACAACATCAGCATCCTGCGCCCCTTGAGTGCCGCGGGAAGGCAGCGCCTTAAGCAGGATTGCCAGCACATGGAGCAGGCCCTGAAGCCCCTTTGCCTTAATCTTGCCGAGCTGGGAAAACCTTCGCGCCTGCTGAGAGCCATGTCGCTGCTGATCGTGCAAACGCCACAAGAGCTGGTGAAGCAGACTGTCGGAGAGGATTCCCTGGTGCCCAGCTACATAGTGCTGCTTCTGCTCTTCGGCCATGCTGGAGCGGATTTGCAGTCACCCCACACCACAGCCAATTGGTCCAACGAGCGTTTGATTGAATGGCTGGATGGACACACGGCGGAGCGGGAGAAGCTGGAGCTCATCTCTGGAGCATTGCAGCGGTACCGCGACAATGCCAGGCGCAAGAACATCCAGCAGTATGACGAAGTCTACCCAATGATGGTGGAGTACTTTGAGCAGGCCTTGAAGGCGATTCCATAAATTTATCCAAAATATATATATTTATTTTAGTCAATAAAATATCATTGTGTATCCTATAATAGTTACTATCACGAACAGTGCCGCATAAACGTGCTCCTCGATTTATCCGTTGCTGTGTGGCTTGTAAAAGAGGTCTTTTCTAGTTTTCCAATCTGGTCACACCGAAGCGCACCATTTTGTTACCAGCGTGAAAATAATCCCGGAACGCTCTGGTTTTACGAAATAAAAATATAAAACTAACTACAAAACAGTCCATAAATTAGGTATTCGTGCTGCAAAAGATGGATAACATTGAGCGACTGTACAAATGCTACGAGATTCTTTCCGAGGCGGGCGATAAGATATCCGAGGTAAACTATCCGCCATTTAAAAAAAAAAACGGCACCCACGAAACGTGCCGGAAAAAACATGATGTATGTACATATTTGAATAATATTCCCGTTTATGCAGCATGTGGAAGAGTACAAGGAGATAATAAAGGCAGTAAAAGGGACTTCGAAGGAAAAAAGACTGGCCTCGCAGTTTATAGGGAACTTTTTTAAACATTTCCCCGACTTGGCCGACACCGCCATCGACGCACAGTTCGATTTATGTGAAGATGACGACACACAGGTGAGTTTTTGACACGCCAGCTGTTAATAAAGCGGGGAAACTTTACTGAATCGTTTTCAGATTCGCCGGCAAGCCATTAAGGACCTTCCCAAGCTATGCCAAGGAAATGCCGAAGCCACCACCCGGGTGGGAGACACCCTGGCTCAGCTGCTCGTCCTAGACGATCCGTCTGAGCTGCAGCAGGTAAACAACTCCCTGCTGAGCATCATCAAACTGGACACCAAGAGCTCCGTCACCGGGCTGTTCCAACAAATCACTTCGGGGGACGAGCCAACAAGAGAACGCTGCTTCAAATTCATCGCCACAAAGCTACTTACAATGGGCCCCAATGTGATAACGAAGGAGATCGAAGACTATATCGTGGATGAGATCAAGAAGGCCCTGCAGGACGTGACAGCCGATGAGTTCCACCATTGCATGACAATACTCGGAGCTACGAAGCTGGGCACCACCATCACCGGACACGCCGAGCTAGTTAAACTGGCCACCGAGCAAGCAGAGCTCAATAGCACCGACACTGACATCATAGCGGTTGACGACGAGGTTGTGGAGCGGTTCATCCAGTGTGCCACTGCAGCGGCACCATATTTTTCGGTAAATATTATCACTATTAGCAAATATTTTGCATCGCCTTATCTAATCTTGGATTACTTTTATAGAAAACCATTAAATCGACGGCCTTTGTCGCGCATGTGTGCGATAAACTGCTGCCCATCAAGACCTGGAACATGATCGCCACGGCAGTGTCGCAAGATCAAATCCAGCTCAGATTGTTGAAAGTATTTGCGGAAATGGTAACCTACACTGACACCCTGGAGAATGCCAGCGAGCGCATCAACGCTGTCTACAACGTATTACTGGTGGGTTATAAACCTACCAAGAAATGATTCTTTTCTATAATATACTCTATGATCTTGTAGGAGTACATGCCATTGCCAAAATTAAGTGAAGAGGATCTGGGAGACACACCGCCATCGTTTCAGTTTTCACACGCAGAGTGCTTACTGTACGCTCTCCACACTTTGGGCAAGAAACATCCCAATAGCTTAACTTTCGTCGAAGACCCGGAAAAACTAAAAGACTTCCGCGCTAGACTGCAATATCTAGCAAGAGGGACTCAAGGGTAATTTTGTACTAAAGCCTGTAATCCTTCAATTATAGCTTATGGTTGTGTTTTTCAGTTATATTAAGAAACTCGAAGAAGCCCTGAAAGGAAAGTCGGCTGAGGAGCTAAAGACCGAGGAGAACCAACTGAAGCAGACGGCTTTAAAGACGACGTCAAATATCAATGTTTTGATTCGCGATCTATTCCACTCGCCTCCTATATTCAAGCATGAAATTGTTCTGTCCTGGGTTGTACCAAAACCGGTAAGATCCGACTTTCTCCAACCAGTTTCTTTATTGATTCCAGTTTCTTTTGCAGAACAAGCTTGGGAAACGCCATGCACCCATTACATTTGGGGACAAAGCTGCCGCCAACGGCAAGGAAAAGGATCAGGAGCAGGAGAAAAAGGCGCGGCCATCCAACGACCAAAAGTTCTACTCGCCGCCTTCTGGGAAATATTCGAATAAAGTTAACCAGAATTTCGGAAACAACAACAGGACGAGACAGCGTGGTGGCGGCGGTGGCGGCTACAAGAACAGACGCTTCAACAAATACTAGATTCTAGAAGCAAATAAGCAACAGCAGCAGTAGTCAATACTCCGATTCGGTCTTTTATCCTAGTCCTTAACGAAAAACCAATCACCTGAGATAAGAGTATTTCCCACTTCGTACAGAATAAAAAGCAAAACGTACAATCTTCAATGATCCTGCAATCCATGCTACTAATTAGAAAGGAATGAACAGACTGCTGGTGAGTATGAATACATTTTCCCACTAACCCATCTCTTGGTATACTTTCAGATAATCTTCAACATTGTGAAATGTTTGCAATATTTTTTGACATTCGTTTGATTTTATTTTCTTCCAAAAATCTCAAACTTTTATTGTCTTTCGGGGACTTTATAAGCAACACCACGCTAAACCATCTCATTTTACATCCAATTAAAGTTGGCGCTGGTGTTGCTTTGAACTGAAATCCACGCCCAATATTCACAATATTATGAATTAAAAATAGTTTATAACGTTAATGAAACGAAACCTGCAATATGAAAACTATTTAACGAAATTTACATAAAGCTTCCTACAAGCTACCGATCGATTTTATTGCCACCTAAGGCAAGGATTATACGGTTTTTGTTTTTAAAAACTTACCTTAGTTTTTATTTTAACTTGTATTGAAAGCATTATATTGTACACATATACCCCCAAAACATAATTCACATTGAAAGCATACATTTTTGAACTCAATAAAGGCCACATTACGCTATTAAATGTGTGTTTTAATCAAGATTGCAGTAATAATTATAAATATTATTATGTAATCGCAGAGGAAGCGCGTTCCATTGGGAATTCAAAAAGGCCACGTAACATCTTGAATGTTTGTATATATTTATTACCATTAATAAAAATATATATATATATTTATATTGTTATCGAAGCCTTTTAAACATTAAAAATACAATAATCATAGTATCCAGCTTAACTATCCCGATCCTCACTAGATGCTCGGCGGGGGCTGGTTACCCGGCTGCTGGCCATTATCAGCATTGCCACCCGGCTGCTGTTGGGCACCCATCAGTTGGCTGGCGAAGCTCTGGAAAAGCTGCAGCATATCGTTCGACATGGGAGGGATCTGTGGTGGAGCCCCGCCACTAGCTGGAGCACCACCGGCTCCAACTCCTCCGGCTGCTGGATTGCCCATGTTGGCAAACAGCTGACCAATCGTATTCATAACCATCGGGTTCTGGGTCATCGACTGCAACTGCTCCAGATCAATCTCGGCGCTGCTGAACAGATTCCGAACAGTGGGATTGGCCAGCATAGCGTTGAGTCCGTCCGTCAGGTGGGACAGCTGCGGCGGCTGGTTCCGGGCGTTTCGGACCCCCTCCAGGTTGTTGCGGTAGTCGGGATTGTCCGGCTCCAGTTCGATAGCCTTGCTGTAGGCCTGCTCAGCCTCCGCAAACTTTCCCATGTTCGAGTAGGCCACTCCCAACCGACAGTACGCCTTGCTGTAGTTGGTGTTGTACAGCAGGGCGGACTTGCAATCGGTGACGGCCCTCTCATTGTCACCCAAACGGATGTGAGCCGCCGCGCGATTGCAGTAGAAGATCGGATTCTTGGGGTCGAAGGCGATAGCTCTGTTATATTGGAGCAATGCCTCGTTGTACTTGCACTCCTTCATCAGGCGGTTGCCCTCATTTTTGATGTTGTCGGCCAGGGCAAGTGATTCCGGGTTGCGCTCGATGTACAGCGACTGGAAGAGCTCGAACATGTCGATGTTTTTGGGGGCTGCACTGCTGCCACTGGGCGCCGCATCACCAGCCGGGGCACTCGAGGTGGTGCTCTGTGTCCGCTCCTGCTCCAGGTCCTGCCCAGTTCCGTCCTGCTCGCCGTCCTCGCCGACGTCGAAAGCTGCCTGCAGGCACTGGATGGCCACTTCGATACTCTCCGCCTGATCCGGCGACATCAGATCCACCTGCTTCTTCAAGTAATCGATGAAGCTCCGCACGAAGCTTTGTTGAACAGCGTCGGGCATTTTCAGTTTTTATTCCTTTTTGCCGAGTCAAGTAAATGTGATTGAAAAATATGTGAGACGGTGTATTAGCTGTCAAACAAGCTGGTGTGGCCAGGTGGATAACTATCGATAAAGTACTATCGGCTGCAACATGATCCAGCAGTTTTTAAAAATAATTGGCCAATTATAATGGAAAATTAAATAAGAGAAGAATTTATTATTCTAGCTTTCCTTTGTTATAAATTTATATAATTATAACGAATAACTTTATTGGCTGGGTTTTCAGCCCTGTTTGACATACCTCGATGCAGACCCCACCTATTACGTTGTTTTTGTTTTATTTCTGTAATGTACCTGCACTTTCTGTAACGTAACGTACCTAGACTATGGCAACGTAAAGCAGAAACATAAGCCTATTTATTAAATAAAGGGGTGCTGAAGTCTAATTCTGATTTAAAAGCCTAACACAAACATATTTTAATATTCTTTCTCTATTTTTTCGTCCGACTCCTTTAAAAAATGGGGAATGTACGGAAGACTAAGTGAAGAAATCATGGTACCTGTATATGTTGTCTAATGAGATATGTAGTCAAATATCAAAACAACTAATATATATCGCGAAATCATGCATTGAGTGACATTTTTGAGCGAAAAAAAATACTAATCAAAAATAATGATTATTCATGATTTTTATTTTTGGATCAGAGAACAATGGTTACTTTCTGATTTTTTTTCTATCAGACATGATTATTTTGTGATTCTTGTTTTGCGATCTTAAAATAATGATTATTTCTGGTTTTTTTTTCGCTCAGAGAATAATGATTATTTTGTGATTTTAAAATAAACCTCATAATGATTACGGCCCGGATTATTGATTTAATTAATTAAATAAATTTTATTTTGATATATTTTAGTAATCTTAGTTTTTTACTCACTTTACCACCACTAGCATGTACTAGAGGTGAAAGAACATCGATAAATCCCCGTTTACATCGATGTAACCGATGTTTTGAAAGCATCGATGACATCGCAGTTTCTCCACCTCTAAGATGTACCTGTACCGTCACAAAAATAAAGCGAATCGGACGTGATTGCGGATAAAATTTTTGTTTTTGCACTTGCTTGAAAAATCCGCCTGCCCGTCAAAAACCGATTAAAGCCACACTTTTCCGTCTACGCCGCAATTGTGCAACGAAAATACGTATATCAAGCAGTAGAAACGCACTGAAAATGGGCACAACTCGCACTCCCCAATCGAAAGTGGAATTTGTGTGATGTCATTTGGACGGTGTTTCTCTGCTTTCGAGTCAATTGAAACCACTTCCTGCGCTGCTGCTGCCGATTTTTAGCTGCCAACTGTTTTAAGCGCCGCTGTGCTTGCGTGAGTGTGTGCGGGTGTGTAGGAGTGTGTGTAGGAACGAGTGCTGGAGCTGGAGTGCACCACTGCTGGAATTTACATACATACCAATTATTTATTAGCTGTGCAGAATAATTTGCTAGTAAAAGCTCACGGATAACGGATAATTGGCCATTAAGTGCCACACACTTGTTCGTTGCTTTTCTTTCGAAGAACACCACACAATTCCGTTTCGCACAAAAAACTAAAAAACGAAAAAAAGAGAAAAGGTGAAACGCAACGCACACCAGCGCACACCATCGCGGAGCGGAGTTGTCATGTGTGTGTGTGTCAGTGCGGTGGCTCCCCTCCCCCCAAAATAAGAAGAACTCGTCCGGCATAAACAAAAACACAAAAAAAGGAAACACCTTTATCGATTTCCCTCCAAAAAAAAAAACGAAAAAAAAACCTTGCAAGATACCACGATTCCGCCCAGGAAGACAGCAATAAGCATCTATAAACAGCACCTGCCACGCCCCCACGGCGGCTGAACCGTCCATCCTCCTCCCCCCCCCGCACTGCCTCATCCGCGAGGCGAGGTGATCCATCATGTCCAGCCCCAACGCCGAGGAAAATGGCTCCCAGACGCTGCAGGATCTGCGCATGGAGGTGGAGCGACTGACGCGGGAATTGGACCAAGTCTCGTCCGCCAGCGCCCAGTCGGCCCAATATGGTCTGTCGCTGCTCGAGGAGAAGTCTGCGCTGCAGCACAGGTGCGAGGAGCTGGAGACGCTCTATGACAACACACGCCACGAACTGGACATAACCCAGGAGGTAAGACTGATAAGTGTGGGCACTTTCCAACCTGGAAATCTGACTCACTTTATTACCTGTTATGTGACTTTCTGATTGGAATTTATCCAAATCCATGTCCAATTGGGCCTCACTGTGCTCGCTGATCTGTTTCTAAGCAGTCGCGCTTATCTGCACACCAACACACTCACTCACTCACTCACTCACCTGTATGGAATACAGACAAAGAAAACCTTTCCACAATCGCCACCAATTTGTCTTGCTGGCAAATTAACTCGCTCACCTGTTGGTCAGTTGAAGCCTCCTCGATTCTCTATGCTTCTCCGGTTCTCCGGCGGGCTCTCTCTTCGGTCTAGCAGTCTGGCGTCTGGGGTCTGGTCTAGCAGAAATAATTGCGATCAACTCGCTGATCGTGGAACTAAAGCTGGCCATATGGTCACGTGCTGTGTGTAAATACAGTAGAGCTTCATAAAGTAAAATAAAAAAAAAATAAATAGTCATTTTTAAGTTATTAATTTTATTGTAAACATTTAAAAATTCAACTATAAATATTTTAATTTTGTTTGTTTTCCATTATAGTTTATGTTTACTGTATCTCCTTGGTAATCGTTCCTAGCGGTACTCTAAGCTTGCCTCAGTGAACACTCCTCTCTCTCTCTCTTAGAGCCGCCCTATTTCCTTGTTCTCTCTTTCCGCGGCGCTCTTCTTTTCGCCCCAAACCGATCTCGCTCAATTGGACAGCCTGGCTTGGGTAAGCATTATTCCAGCTTAAGAGCCCTGCCCGGCCATGGCCAATCTATTTTTGCCATTTCACTTTGCACCTACCTTTAGCGCCACATGCCTAGGCCGCCTCCTCCCCCCCTCTTACCTCCACCAATTAGTCGTTGCCATCGCTTGGCATTTCCGTTGGAATTTCCACCGGCTGTGGAAAAGGGGAAAAACTTTGTCCTTTTTTTTCCGTTCGAGGGGGAAACGAACAATAATCATTCTGCCTGCCTTCTATTATCATTTCTGGTTCTGTTTTTTTTTTTTTCTTCCTATTTTTAGTTGCTAATTGAAGCTACAAAGTTGGAGGAAAAAAAAAGAAAGTATCTTGGAAACAAGAGATACACATCCAAGTACAATCGATTTCAACGACAGGTGTCTGTGTAGTATGGCATAATGCCTCTAGTTAAACATTTCATAATATGCAAAGTTCAAAGGGCATTCACACCTGCACCTGCATACAGTTACAAACTGATGGAAAAACACCTTTTACAATACATACATACATATATTTCATGCATTTCTATGCGTTGAGGACAAAAAGCATGCCAATTAATTGTCCGACAGGTGGGGAGTACTTGTGCGAGTCCCCCCACCGCCCAGCTTGATAGTTTCCAGCTTGTTGGATTTGAACTCAACTGAACTTTTACGAGAACAGAGCCACCCTTCCAGCCCCCTATTCCAGCCCACACAGCATTTTAATGGAAGCTTAAAATTAAAAAAAAAATTTCGCAATGTCGGCGACAACGTCACTGCGGGCATTTCTGGAGCAAGTGGGCGGTCTGAGGCATCCAAGTGGGGGATGGGGACATACTTCCACTTGTAATCAAGACATCAGCCGTGGGCGACTCCCAGCCAGTGACACACCAGGAGTGAAGAGCCAAGTGCTTCCCACTCCGGGCTATGGCCTTAAATTAGCTTACTAAAATTAATCGAATATTTTTCCAAGAGCCCCAAAGGCTTTGACATTTTTCCGATCCAATGAACTTGATATAAATTATAATGGAAAATTGTTGCAGGAAAAGCATATATTAATTTTCATTTGGAAATTCTCAAACCAACTAATTAAAACTACTCCAGGGAGCCAGGGGACCACAAAACAAATATTTAGCCAGTTTTCTAGACCAGAGAACTGTCAGCCGCATTCGGCAATTTATTCAGTTACCAAAGGGGGGCGGGGGGCGTGTGGCATGTGGTAGGAAAACACAATTGTAACTGCGGCAATTAAAGGCCCCGAAACAAGGGCCATAAACCGAACGATGGACGACGCAGTGCCCGTTGTACCACCACATAAGCCATGTCCTGTATGTCCTGTTGTATCCCTACCATGTGAGTGTGTGATGGCCATATTTTATGGCTCGCATCGCGGGCCACCAAGGACACTGTGGGTGGCACTATGCTACTTTCAGAACCGAAAACTGAAAACTTTTCACAAAAATTTAATAATTAATGGAGGTATTTGACGTTTGCGATAGAGAAGTTTTCTATAATTTATCAGAAAACTTAAACCAGAAAAGGTCGAAGAGTGCAGGGTAACCTAATTGGATCCAAAAGATAATCCCTTCTAATGCCATCAATATCACTACTAGATGGGATATCTACTAATCCCACCAACACTTGGTTCCAATTTATGGCCCTGTTCAGGCAGCCAAATCCCAGCCAAGAGCAGGAGCCAGGAGGAGGATGAAAACCAAATCCAGGCAACAAAAAAATTATAATGATTTGACACTGATGCTCTGTTCTTTTGGCGCAAATTGCAATTCTCCGGCAATCAAACTGGCAGACAGGAACAACTGCAACAGCCACAATGGGCAGGAGTGGGTGGGTTAAGCTGGCAGGGGTTGGGACTGGGGCTGGCAAGGGTTAAATGCGGCGCACTGAGCACTGACAAAACATGTTTCCGTCTCTCCTCTGGCAGGGCCATGGCTGTTTGTCTGGCCCCCCAGAAAGGAAATGAGCAGGAAAAAGTGTTGTATTTCCCGCCAACTGAAGCTCCCCCTCCCATTTGCCACCCACTCTGCCCCCAGAGGCCGTTGCAATGAATTGCAAGCAATGAAAATGTTAAGTACACAGACTTGCCACAATGATGAGCAAAAATCTGGGCGAGAATGAGGACCAGAACCAGAACCAGGATGAGGACGAGGGTAGAGACTGTTGTGACAATTGCAGTTCTCCAGCTGCGAACTTTGCTCCTGCGATTGTCCTGCATAATGACGATGCAATTTATTTGCGCAAACTTTGGGCCTGCCCCGGCCAGGACCTTTTTTTCTGAAGGACCCCCAGCTGCAGAGGCCAATTGGCTCCGGGTTGGAACTTGGCCAAAGCCATCATCATGGAATGGAATGTGGCGAGGAATATTGGCTGTTAAATGTCCTCGAGATACTTTCCTAGGATATGCAGACTGCATTATGCAATGGTTATTATTTCCTCTTAAAAATATAAACACGGATGTGGATTTTTTGGATAGAAAGCACTTTAAAGCAACTACTACGCACATGTGATCATGGACATCCTTTGTTAGGACACTCACGGGTGCGGTTAAGTATAATAGGATTACCCGTGGCATCCTTTTAGTATCCCCCCCACCGACCCGCTCCTGCCGCATTTCATGGATTCCCATTCCCATTCCGTTAAGAGCGTAATTTGAGTCCTTTTGTGTCAGCTTCCATGCTAAAAAATTTCCGCAACGTCAGGACCAAGACACACACACACACCCACTCTAAGAGCGGGAAGCACATTTTCGCATTTTCCGCCTGCAGTTTTAGTTTCTTTTGTCGCTTTTGGCGACATTTCGAATTCACAGAGCGAGAGTGTCAAGCCCGTGCATTGACATGACGACCGCAAATGCGTCTCTTCGTTCTCCACTCTCCACTCTCCGTTTTCCATTTTCCACTTCCCATTTTCCATTCCCTCTGCCTGGCCGGCTTGGATATGGTGTGTGTGGGTGTGGGTAGAGAGAACTGTGCACAGCCTACACCTAAAGTACACTCGGAAAAATTGCACAAAGAATCGTAAATTCGGAAAGAATGAGTGTAGAGATACCCGGTACTAGTACTCTTCTCTCTTCAACTCCATGTTCTTTCTCTTAAAAAAGCTTTATTTTCATCCAACCTTCAACGCAAATAAAGAAAGAATGAGTATAGAATACCCAGTACTATCATAGTACTCTTCTCTTTTACTCAATTTTCTTTCTCTTAAAAATTGCTTCATTTCTGAAGTCACATTTGCCTTCTTTTGGGGATTTTAAAGAAAGCTAGTAGAAAGTGTAGCCAGGATTGTAGACCGGTACCCGGTACTAACATAGTACTCTTCTCTTTTACTCCATGTTTTTTCTCTTAAAAAGGGCTAATTTCTGAAGTCACATTTTGTTGCCTACTTTTGGGGATTTTAAGGAAAGAGTAGAAAGTGTTGCCAGAAATGTAGAGATATTGTAGAGATACCCAGTACTTGCATAGTACGCTTCTCTTTCACTTATTGCTCTCTCCCTTAAAAAAGCTTAATTTCTATCATAAACAAGTTTTATTTCTCTTTCTTAATTGAAGTAATTTTTTATTGCCTACTTTTGGGGATTTGCTTATTTTTGTTTTCTAAATTTAAAGAATTATACAGATTCGAATAACATTGGAATATCTGTAGAAATACCTGGTACTATTACTCTTCTTTTTCCTCCATGTTCTTTCTCTTAAAAAATCTTAATTTATTTCTCTTTATTACATGAAGTAATATTTAGTTGCCTACTTTTGGGGATTTTAAAGAAAGCCAGTAGGAAAGCATAGGAAAGACATCCATAACTTCTTTAAAAATCATCCGATTTTGATGATATTTGTTTTCCAAAAATTAAAAATTTATTAAAATTTGGATAATACTAGAATATCTTTACTTAAGGGGAAGTAAACACTCGAAAGAATATACTTTATGAGGTCATAGATGATACCTTCTCCCTCCCACTGATATTCTACGAGTACCGGGTATTAATCTTTATTGTTTATATTTTTCTCCATGTTAGCTGCACTCTCAGCCTGCTCTCCACATTCAAATTTCATGCGTTCCAGGACAGTGGAGCTGCCGGGCAGCGACGTCATCCGTTAACGAACAGGGCGTGGCGTCGCCCTGCACAATCTGTTCAGTCATTCATGGCATACTTTATCAGCAGCGGGTAGTTGGGGAGTAGGCCATCCCTCACCACCCACTGAGCCACCCTCCTGGCCACCACCGCAACCACCCACTCTGACCAGGAGGAAATTGTTATAGTCTCCGTTATGGCCCGTGTTTGTTGTTTTTGGTGTTGTGGTTGCTTTGCCACCTAAGTGCTCCGACACACACACACACCCTGCTCCGCTCCGCTCCGTTCCGAAATTCTGCTCATCGCCGTCATAATGTGGGCAATCTGGTCTATTTTTAGTGGGCTCCGGCCAGGAGGAGCTTCATTGCAGTCATTGCAGTCATCCGGCGGGTCTGACTATTGCGAGCAGCTGCTATATTGCTGCTGGTCCAGGGATTCCCTAAATAGTCGTATGATTCCCCTACACCGGGAGGAAACTAAATGGGATTAAACACTACACCTACACCCACCAACTAGTCTGGCTCGCATTCCAATCCCAAACAGAGCAGAACTGTGAAGCAATCCAGCAGATACCAAGTGCAGGCCCAAGTGGGGGTGGTGGTGGTGGTGTGTCTGGCCCTCTGAACTGTGTTAATATTTGCTCGAGTTAATTAAAAATCTTTTCTAATTTGCATAAAGTTTATGCCGTCATTTGTTTGCGGCCTGTTGCCCTACAGGGCGCCATCCGGTACACTGTGGAAAATTATTTAGGTTGTTTCGTAATACGGTGCTAGTTTAGTTCAGTTTCTTATCTTTAGAGAAGTGTTGTGTCATTAAATTCTTATCTGAAAGATGTGAATATTGATTGAAATAGTCGCTTTGTTCTAATTACACTGAGAGAATTATTTCCATGGGGGAATACCTCTATAAAAGTTTCATGCCCTGGGAATGCTTTAATGGGTCTCTCTCGTGGCACAACTTTTGTCTGATGATTATCTCGCACTTGGTCTTCCACATCCACAAATTCCTAGCCCGCGTCCCTGTCTCTGCCCTGCCACTGCCACAACCCTTTTGTCTCATTTAAGAGGCGCCTTGCAATTCAGTTGCAAGAATGTGTGACAGCTTTAGGCAGCTGAAATTCCATCCGAGACTTTGGACCTTGGTCGCCTTGGTCTTGGTCGGCCTTTGTTTGCTTTCTCTCTCTCGGCACACCCACTCGCCCAGGCCCAGACCCAGGCCCCTCTTCTCTGCCTCTTTCTCGGATTACACTAATTAACGAAATGCACTTGGCCAGGGGGGCGGAGGGGCTTGGGTGGGGGCGATTGTCAAATCGAGATTGCAAAAACAACAAGCCCCGCCAACAATAATTATAGGACCAGCAGAGCTAGGATTGAAAAGAGTGCCCATAGAAGCACTTGAGGATGTGGCATGGAAACTGAGACTTGCTAATTACCCGGCATTTAGGAGGAAGTCGTATCAAAAGAAAGTTTTCCCAGGACTTGGTGTAGTTTCTCCGAAATCCTTGAATCGTGGTCTTCCACTTGAGGTCCAGGCCCAGTTTTTATGACGACTCGGACGATGATGATGTTGCGGTGGAAGTTGTGAAGCACGTACTCCAAATGGCCCCCCATTCAAAATATGCCAGACAAGCGGGTGCGGGCGACTGTTAGGGGTTGAGATTTCAATTAAAGCCGCCAGTGGGTTCCTCACACACACCTTAACCCGCTGGTGGACATGGTCTCCAGCGCCCAGTTAAGGGCTTGGCCAGGACCCCCATAAACATTCTGCATTCGTGTTTACCTTTGGAGCTGGCGCTGGCTATGGAGCTGGGTGTGTCTCTGGCCACAGTTAACCTTTATGTGCTCTCGGGCGTCTTTAATGCGCTTGCCAACACTGGCCACTGGCGGAAAGCCAGCCGCAATTAACAAAATCCAATAAATGCCGGTCAGCGAGCATGGAATCTCCTCCAGCGAGTGCATCTGCCCCTCTGCAGTGGGAATAAATAATTACAGAGAACTCGGTAGTAATTTTTAATCATGGCTGGCTTAATATGCCCTTTAGTGACAGGTTTTTAATACAAGACGGAGATATAGACCATAAGAGGACTACCTCTCCATACCCTTTCCCAGAGCAGCTCTGATAAGGAATTTAATAAAAACCGACAGCAAGGTATGGAGGGGGGCAGCTCCCCAGTGACCAACGCCCTCGGCCCAGCTCCTCCCTTGTGGGACATGCAAATAACTGCAATAAAATCGCAGACATTCTGGGGGGCAGTCGGAAAACTTTTATGATTACTTTGCTTTTCGTTCACTTTGTAACGCCCTCCGTTTCTGTTCCTCCTGTTCCAGGCACTGACCAAGTTCCAGACCTCACAGAAGGTGACCAACAAGACCGGCATCGAGCAGGAGGATGCTTTACTCAACGAGTCGGCTGCCCGGGAGACGTCCCTCAACATGCAGATATTCGACCTGGAGAACGAGATCAAGCAGCTGCGCCACGAGCTGGAGAGGGTGCGCAACGAACGCGACAGGATGCTGCAGGAGAACTCGGACTTTGGCCGGGACAAGAGCGACAGTGAGGCGGAGCGGGTGCGCTTGAAGTCCGAGCTGAAGGACCTCAAGTTCCGCGAGACTCGGATGCTTAGTGAGTACTCCGAGCTGGAGGAGGAGAACATATCGCTGCAGAAGCAGGTTTCCAACCTGCGCAGCTCACAGGTGGGTCACTGATTCCATGTCCCAGGAGTAGTTCCTAATAACACCATTTGTGCTGTCCTCCAGGTTGAATTTGAAGGTGCCAAACACGAGATCCGTCGTCTCACCGAGGAGGTTGAGCTGCTAAATCAACAGGTCGATGAGCTGGCGAATCTGAAGAAGATTGCCGAGAAGCAGATGGAGGAGGCTCTAGAAGCCCTGCAGGTGAGATATCCTCATAGACCACCTCCAATTTCAAACCCTAACTTAATGGTTTGTTTTCCAGGGCGAACGTGAAGCAAAATATGCTCTGAAGAAGGAACTTGACGGCCACCTCAACCGAGAGTCCATGTACCACATCAGCAACCTGGCCTACAGCATTCGCAGCAACATGGAGGACAACGCCAGCAACAACTCGGACGGCGAGGAAGATAATCTGGCACTGAAGCGGCTGGAAGCAGACTTGACCACCGAACTAAAGTCACCCGACGGCACCAATCTCTTCTCGGAGATTCACCTCAACGAGCTGAAGAAGTTGGAGAAGCAGCTGGAGAGCATGGAGAGCGAGAAGACCCAGCTGAAGACGAACCTTCGCGACGCCCAGTCTAGTCTGGACAAGTCACAAAATGAGTTGCAGAACTTCATGTCCCGCCTGGCCCTTTTGGCCGCCCATGTCGACGCTCTGGTGCAGCTGAAGAAGCAGATCGACGTCAAGGAGCAGGGCAAGGAGGACCAAAAGAGGGAGGAGCTGGAGCAGCAGCTGCGTGGTGTCATCTCGCAGTACGCCAACTGGTTCACACTCTCCGCCAAGGAGATCGACGGCCTTAAGACTGACATTGCTGAGCTGCAGAAGGGTCTCAACTACACGGACGCCACCACCACCCTGCGCAACGAGGTGACCAACCTGAAGAACAAGCTCCTGTCCACGGAGCAGAAGTCGCTGGACCTGCAGAGTGACGTCGAGACTCTGACCCACATCTCCCAGAACGCCGGCCAAAGCTTGGGATCAGCCCGCAGCACATTGGTGGCTCTCAGCGACGACCTGGCCCAGTTGTATCACCTTGTCTGCATGGTGAACGGAGAGACGCCCACGCGCGTTCTCTTGGATCACAAGAGCGACGACATGAGGTAAGTCGGAGAACCATATTATTGGATGGGCATATTGTATGTGATGCTACTTTTCAGTTTCGAGAACGACTCCCTGACTGCCATCCAATCGCAGTTCAAGTCGGATGTGTTTACCGCCAAGCCACAGATCATTCAGGACCTTCAGGGCCTGGCGGATTCCGTGGAGATCAAGAAGCACGTGGACACTGTCAGCGATCAGATCAAGCATTTGAAGACCGCCGTAGAGCACACCATCGACCTCAACAAGCACAAAGTGCGCTCCGAGGGCGGGGATGGTAAGTCGGATGCACTAAACCCTAAGGTCCACTACCTAACTGCTTCTGTTCTTAGCTCTGGAGAAGGTCAACACCGAGGAGATGGAGGAGCTCCAGGAGCAGATAGTCAAGCTGAAGAGTCTGCTGTCCGTGAAGCGCGAGCAAATCGGAACCCTGCGCAACGTGCTCAAGTCAAACAAGCAAACCGCCGAGGTGGCCCTCACCAATCTCAAGTCCAAGTACGAGAACGAGAAGATCTACGTCAACGACACCATGTCGAAGCTGCGTAATGAGCTGCGCAGCCTGAAGGAAGATGCAGCCACATTCTCAAGTAAATCCCTAGAATCTTCTTCAAAAATCGGTACTAATTCAAATTATTTTTCAAGGCCTGCGTGCCATGTTTGTCGCTCGCTGTGAGGAGTATGTGACCCAGGTGGATGATCTCAACCGCCAGTTGGAGGCAGCCGAGGAGGAGAAGAAGACTCTCAACCAGCTGCTGCGCTTGGCTGTCCAGCAGAAGCTGGCTCTCACCCAGCGTCTCGAGGAGATGGAAATGGATCGGTGGGTGCACTTGGGTCGTTAACAGTCAGCTGCAACTCCACTTTCCCCAACAAAAAATTATACCCCACCACCCACACATCCCTTTCATAAATAGAGTTACTCATCCCCATGTCTAGTCCCTGAATCCCATGAGACAATCCAGCAATCGGTAAGCATCTGCATGAGGCAGAAAACGTGTTGCATGCCCGCCCGCCTGATAACTTGCTGCTGGAATCCGCCTAACCCTACCGCTGTTTACTGTTGGATCGATTAAATAAATTTTAGTTTTGATACTTTAATAATTTTGATTTAAAATAGACACCCTTACTAACTAGCTTCTTCCCTTTCTGCAGCGAAATGCGCCACGCTCGCCGCCCTCTGCCCGCCCAGCGGGGAACCAGCGGTAGGTCCTCGTTCAGCACGCGACCCTCGAGCAGGAATCCAGCCAGCAGCAACGCCAATCCCTTCTAACATAAGATCAGCGTGCAGCGTAAGCTTTTGGCTTTGGTTTATACTTTGCTTAAGTTGTAAGGTCGTTGGAGTTCTAGTGGAGAGCGATGAGCGACATCCATGCCAGACATCCCCGAACGAAGCTATAACTATTCAACTTTATCCAACTACTATCTATACTGTATTTGTTTGTATTGTATTTGTATTTATTGAGAGTTTAGTTAGACGAAAGTGTTGCGTTAGACAGGAAGGCAACGAGCGATTATTAACGGTTAGTTACTTAAACGTCCAATTAATTTAATTAAACAAAGAAAGAAGAAGGAAAATATTAAGCAAAAAGATTGAAACGATAACGTAAAGAATTGTATTTCTTAAAATGAAAACTACGTAAATGATGTATTCGATGACTCCTTGGTTTGATTCGATTTCGGTTTTGTTAACTTTCGCGTTGACTATTTGATTTTGTTATCAACGCTGTGCGCAAGCGACTAAATCGACAAGCTAAAATGATTATTAAGTTGATGTTGAACAAACGATATTGATATTGGAAACCAAATTATATGTATTATGACCGGCCCGTCGCTGTCAATCGGGATTCAAATACAGTGGTCTGCAGCCATTGTATCAGGTCTATGAGTAGCAAGTGGCTACGTCTCTAAGACGATTCTAACTGAAGATGATTTTTGTATTTATGGGCGACCCATCGCCGCAGATGAAGAAAATGATGAAAATGTAGCGAAATAATTATGATTTGCAATGGAGAAAAAACTTAGTTTTTTTTTGTTGGTTTAATTAGCAATAATTGCCGATATTAACTTATGATTTGTGCATTATTATTTAATTCAATTAATAAATTGCAACACAAGAATATCAAGCGATTGAATGCGGATTTGTATTTTATTTATTTTTGCATTAAACTGTTGCTGTAGAAAATGTAGAGAATATTTTTACAGCGGAATATTAAGCAGCCTTAAACACAATGTATTCTTTAAACGAAAAGTAATTAAACTATGGTGATTACCAAGCAGCTTAACTATCTTACAAATAACAAGAAAGCGTTAAAGTTAAATAGATATTATCGTAGCTAATTGATCACGAAAGTAGAGTCAGCAGCCAGAGCACTTTCCGTAGTAGTGTCTATTCAAGTCCCCTCCAGGAAACCACTCCTACCTTTGTTGCTTTTTTTCTGGGTTACTGATGATTTCTGTTGTCAATCGGAAGAGATCGATAAACTACATACAATTTATATATACAAGATCGTGTATTGTGTAAATTACCGAGCCATTAAATTGAATTTATATTTAATAAACACAGATACATACACAACATTCACACTGAGACACAACGTCCATGATGATGATGGGTTCACAACAGGAGGAAACTCACTGGGGAGTTGCCTATAGAAATTATTTATGAAATATGCCACAAGAATATGAACAACTCTAACCAATTGTAAATATATATTTATATACATATGAACGTTAGTAGGAGGTAATACCGAACGAGTAACAAGCGAACAAAACAAGATGCATACATATTTCAAAATGATTTTATTGTAATTTTACCGTCCCTTTTTGCGAGCGAAGAAAACAAAGTCTATTTACTCAACTCACTTGAACTTGAACCAATAACGAAAAGCATATGAAACTCGACTCACTTTAAGTTTCGTGTCCAAGCAAACAGTCCGAGCAAGAAATTCAACTCATACATCGATCGATCGTACGCCCAACAAGCCAAATATTGATAGCCAATATGCATAACTACATAAATAATATAAAATACTCGACCGGAGGATATTTAAATTAGAGACCATGACAGGTAGACAGATAGAGCAGATTAAACCGAGAGCAACCGAACAAACGGAAAATAGTTTTCTATTTCACAGATCGATAATGCAGATACAAATGATAAGAGTGCAGATTGTAAGTGTAAAAGCAATTTAAGATTTGAACGATATTTAATGTAAGTTTTACGATAATTGCCGGCTAAGTGGAAATACTTTTCACCAGCTAACTGTGGACATATGAGAAATGCAACAGAGTGTGCAAGGGATAACCCATAACATAAATTATACAAAATACTTATTGCAAAATATGTGAAAATAAAGAAAAATTAGAAAATACGTGTGAGTTTTCTTACGGGAGGAGCTTCAAAACTGATGAAGGAAACCACAAATATGGTGGTTTGGTTAAAACAATTAATTTTGGTTAATATTTAATTAAAGTATTGAAAAATATGAAGGTTTTTATGTTCTACCATTAATTTATGAACAAGGGCGCCAAATTATGAAAAATTACGTATACGTAGTGGTGCATCAACTAGAGACTGCCAGTGTTGCCCGGTGTATGACAATTGCTGACTGCTACAAGGCAAGCTTCCTTTTAATTTTCGTTAAACTTATTAGATTAATAGAATTTAACTAATTTAAATTTCATTTATTGTAATCCTTTAAGTTCAAAATACATTAAAATAAAAGATATTTACATTTTTAGAAAATTTTAGCTTTAATTGACTTTCTTAATTTAGAATTTTTTAAATCAAATTTCTTTCTTAATTTATCCTTTTAATAGACGATTCAAAATGGTATATTTTATATTTTCTACATAACTAAAACTATGTTATTTCTAAAAGGGGTACGAAATAGGGTTTACAGGCAGCAGGGTACGCCAGAAGAGATAGAACACCCTGGCCGCCGAGATGCGGAGCCTCATCCAAATCTCATTCCTTTCGGGACACATCGCATTTTGGGTCTGACCCACCTGACTAAAGATGGGGGCCGCCGATCCCCGAATACTAAAAAAGCTGGAGCTGGAGGTCGGCGGGATGGTGGTTTCGAGCGATTTGATCTTCTCACTGAGTTCCGCGACCACAGCATCCATCTTCTCCTTTCCCTCGCGCACCTTTTCCAGTTCACGATTTTGGCTAGGGATTGGGGAGAATATTATATTACTTGTGGATTGGCCTGAACAGCTTCTTACTCTTCCAACTTTCGCACTTTCTCTACTAATGAAGCAATCTCCCCATTCATGGTCCGAATAAGTTCGTCCTTGCGGGACACCTCCCGCTGATACCACTCCTGCTCCTGCTTGGTCTTGGTCTCCTTACCCTCCATAGTGACCACCTCTCTGATCAGCTGCTCGTTCTCGTCTTGGAGCTTTTGGGCGACACGCTGCAGCTCGCACAGCTCCTGTTGCAGGGTGCGTTGCCCCGCTAGGGAGCCAAAGAGCTCCCTCTTCGTCTGGTTGGAAATCTCCTCCAGCTCCGAGTACTACCAACAAGTAATGATTAGAAAACAGTAGTCCCATCCCAAAGACTCTCCCAACTTACTTCCTTCTCGCGCCGTTGCAGGTTCATCTGGAGTTGCATCCTGTCAGCGGTGAGGCCGCTGACTGTCGTGGAGAGCGTTTCACAGGATGTGCGGACCTGGTTCATGTCCATGGTAGATTGTTTCAGTTGAAGTTGTAGTTCACTATTTCGCTTCTGCTCTACTCGTATCAGTGTGTCGCAAACGTGCAATTTATTCCTAGTCTTCATGGACTATGAGTTTAGAGATTACAAACATGATTTGGAGAACAGGATGTCAACTCACTCGTGTGTGCAGGTTCTGGACCACTTGCTGCAAGTGACGCACCTCCTCGCGCCTCTGCCGCCAGGCGTGCAGCATTATGGTGGTGAAGACCTTCATGCTGGACACTGTCTTGCGCTGGACATCCGAGGTCCAGAGCTCTGGCTTGGGCAGCATCCCCTTCAAGTGCATCTCCGGGTTGCTGTCGCATTGGCACTCGATCACCGCATTCTTGTCTCCGTCCATCCTCAAATCAGATCCTGCTGATCCGCCAATTTCGTAATAAGACAACTAAACTATAATTTTAGGGAGGTGTTCGGGTTTTCTCGAAGCGTGTTAGAAAAGTTTCAAAAAATATACATTCCTTACTAAATTTGTAAACGAGTTGGGGAAAAGGACTGGCATTTGGTAGGGTTTCATGAAGTGAGTATGAAGTTTTCCCAGCCTACTGCGAATAAATCTTGCACATTGATTATTTCGCAAGAAATAGCCGGAATCGGCCAAGGTCATCGGGGGTTAACGGGCGAATTGCACGCACACCTTTCCGAATCAACCAGAGCGACGAGGTCTCAAGGATTTTCACGTGGGTAATACCCTCCAAAGAAGTGCTCTAAAGGAATTTAAGGACCTCACAAAGGTACATATAATAAATATCAAAGGGATTTTTATTATTTCATTTTATTTTGACATTTTTAGAATAATAGTTTCCAGAAATTTCATTATTTTACTATCATAGGATCAATTGTCCTTTTACTTTCTTGGAAAACTATTACTAATAATTCTCGGAACCCTTTAAAGGCAATTATTAATTTCTATTGACTCATCCAAAGTTCAATGGTAGGAAGGACTTCTGCTTTACTTTACCAAGGACCCTAAAGCAGAGGCGGTGGTATCAAAATTTTTTAAAGGTTAATATTTTTAAAACTATTTGAAAGATTTATATTTTATTGAAGACTAACTATATTTTATTGAAATTACTAAGGTTGTATTTCGTAAACAAGCTCTCTTGTTTAGACCCCCGCCCCTGGAAATCCGCAATACCCTTCACATTGAACGGTTAGCTCCAACATTGTAGGGTTAGTTGCCCTCCCGCTGTCAAGGACACGTGTCACAGGAAGTTCATAGAGTTTAAATCGCCAAGGCGAGACCCCGACAACCGGAAAAATCAATAATGTCGTAGTATAATACCCGGGGTACATGTGTATATAATGCAGAGTGACTCCCTTAGCACGTGTCGGCTTATAAGGGGGGGACTACCCATCTCCATGAAGAATTACCTTTCTGGGACTGGATAAATATCGCGTGATTTTCATGAAAAACCCTCTGCAATTGGTTAGTGGCTTTTCGGGGGGAGTGAGGACTTCTCCGCCATTGTTTGATCGATGTCTGGACTCCATTAACTGAGTGTGTTTTGTGGTGTTTTTCGTTCGTGCCATCAAGGCATTGCGAGTTGGGTAAGGGCCCCAATTCCCCTACCACTTTCCTCTTGAAATTGTTGTGGAATTTCAATACAAACATTTGACATAATTTCTATTTATTTGGGATTAGCTCATGTGAATACAGGGCGCACGTGCTATTTTTTCTTTGTTTTTAATTGTTCTTAGTATAAATATTTCTAATCTTTCTGACAAAATTTCGGGAATTTCGACTCATAATTCAAATGGGTTTTGACCTCATCTATTATCAAAATTCTTGGAAGAAGCTCTTTTTTCAAATGAAACGTACTTATCTCTAACTTTTTTTTAATTAGGTGTGAATAATTATAGTGTACAATATTCTATTAAATTCAGTGTTTAAAAGGCCATTATGAATCAGAACATTCCACATTCTGACGAAAATGGAATCTTGAATGTCAGAGGTCGACCGGCCAGAAAGTGAAAGTTGCTCCAGAATGCAGAACAGGGAACAGTGAGTCATGGACCCGGGACCCTCTGCTGTAGGACATAAATGCCAAAACAAATGCCGGCGCAGGATAATATCCTTTTTCCAGGAATCGTACGCTGATTCAAGCCTCCCATTCTGCCAATGGGGGGGTCTGGCAGTCGGATGGGCCCCAAGTCACACACACACAGATATCGAGCGGTTCGTGGATTTTCATTCATAAAAGCGGAAAAGCTTTTCCGAGGAGACCGCACGAATTCATAGGATGAGTCATTACTAAAAGCACTTTAAGAAATTTTATTATTTACATTTAAGAAAAGACTCATTTTGTTCTCCAAAACTCTATAAATATTAAAAATAATTCTTAAAAATCACTTTTTGGAAAAAACTAAAAATAAGAAATTCTGTAAAATTTATTTGGAAGCTTATTGGATCACTAACAATGAACCTAATCTCGACTGTGGTCAGTTATGAAGAATTCGATCATCATACTAAGATTTAGTTGGAAAATGTGAGCGACGTGACTCAGCACAGCTATAAGCCGACTTAAGCTACGACTCTCTTAAAAAGATTTTGTCCCTAGCGTTTGGTTTCTTCTCTCTCTCTCTTTTAAGCGTAGCTTAGATCTTCAACAATGTTGTTTTTTTGGTAATTTTGCGTCGGAGACTCCAACAGCTCTTCTAAAGCTCTACTAAAGCTTTGGGTCTTTGTGGGGACAGCTCCATATGATATTGAAACTTTCGGTGTAGACCCTCTTTTTATTTTAGTAAGTCGTTTAGTTAGTCTTCAACTCGCTGGCTTCGAGATCGGTTGTGCGTGATTCCGTGGTTTTATCACCTTTACTACCTTTTCGTGTTTCCTTATTTATCTTTCCGTCGTGCTCAAAGCTTTCGAGTTGTCTCTCGATATCGGCCTCTCTCTTGGGGAGACAGGTTGGAATACCAGAAAACCTGTGGACTCGTCTGTTTGAGATAAAAGTAAAATAAAAAGTAAAAGAGCTGCACAAAATCGTATAAATTCAATTGAGCTCCGAAAGTTTCACTTGCTTTTGAATTACGAGAAAAAAACAACTGAAATAGCGATACGCTGCCTCATAACAGCAAATAACACAAGCACGTATTGATAATTTCGATTTAAAACGAGCGTTTTACCGATTAGATTACACGGCACATCGAAAAACCTAACCAGGCACCCACTAGAGACCAAAGACCAGAGACGTCGCAGGCATTACCAAAATATTTAACAAAAACAAAGTCGAAATCGAAAGGGTGAGAGGGAGAGCGCGAAAACAAAATATTAAAATTAAAATCCGCCGCGCCAGGGTGATCGCATAAAAGCATAAAATAAAGCCCGGAATTCCCTAAAACGACGTCACATCCCTGCGCGGCGCGCAGACTCTCTCTCTCGATTTCTTACCTTTTCATTAGTTTCTGTTTCGGTTTCTGTTCTCCTCCCGTCAAAGTTTTGCCGTTTTCGCTGTTGTTGTTATTGGCATTGTTATTCCGATATTATCGCACCCGCTTTGTGCCCGCGCAAAAATTAAAAAAAAGACAAGAAAAGATAAAAAAAAAAAAAGTTATTTTTTTTATATATAAATAATAAGCGCAACCGGTTTCTGTAATAGTTGTCGCTTCAGTGTGTGTGTGCCAACACTTTTTCAACTACAAATATTCATATGACTTATTTGCTCGTTTTCATTTAACTAATTTGCATAACGGCACCATTTTCGAAAATTCTGATCGATTACTAACACTGCTCCACAAGAGGAGCCCAGCCCGCGGAAACGCAAAGTGCATACTATTACTTTGTGTATTTATTGGCTTGTGTTGAATTTTTGCAGGTGCCCGCGATTATTAGCAGTTCGAGTGATCATCAATGCATATAACAAGTTTTCAGATCACTCCTTGACTTCGGTGAGTCCCCTAAAGTGCCGTTAACTATTTTAATCTTTGGACCAATCAGAGGCAGTGGGAAAATCCTCATCGAAAGCATTATTAATTGAGATTCTAGATTGCTTGTCTCTTGGGACAACTTTGTTCGCCAGTGGCGTCAAAATTCGATTTATTTTGTATTGGCAATCAAGATAATTAATTCATTTGTATTTCGTCGTGTATGTATTTACCAACAATAAATAATGAATTTAATGAGAATGTATTTTCCCAAGTTTGGTCCTTGAATTTTGGGGAATACCTTACGATCTTATGAGAGTAATAAGATCCCTTTTGCAGTGTAACCCGAAGCTTTTCAGGGGGCAATTATCCAGTTGCGTATTAAATAATCTACTGTGAATGCAAACGATAAACCGAAATAATGGCCAAAACACCTGTGTACATGGCAGCGCAGTCGCTGTTGGCTTTTTGCCGCTTTAGTGGCGCTGCCGACGACGCGTCGTTGTCCCCAACGAAAGTTTCTTACGACCACGTGTGTGTGTGTGTGTGTGGGGGGTGGGGACTCTGTGGGGACTGGGGGTTGGGAAAAGCTTTTGCCCCACTGAGTTCCACTTGCATTTGTTTTTTGCGGCCACTCAAATAGCCCGGAGAGGTTTCCAATTGTTTCATTCCAAGATCGACTCGATGCCTTCGTGGTCGTGTTCGCGCTCAACTTTAATTCCTTTAATTTCGTTTTCAATTTCTTGGTGGTTCGTGATTTGTTAATTCTAATAAAATAATATTAATCATATTAAGCAAAAGCCAAGCAATAAGAGCGGTTTTGTGACTCATCCAGAAAATAATAAATTAAACCATGTCTTCTTATTGGACCTCGTCTTAATTCGCAGGTAATTGTGGACAGAAAAAAAAACAAAGTTTTAGTTAATTCGGAGTAAGACCGAGGAACTGCAGCCAAGTCAAGTGAAAACCGGCTGCTGACTCACGTATCGAGAGTGTTGAACGAAAGAAAAACAAGGCGAAAAACAGAAATATTTATTTATTTTTAGCAAGTCATCTACGCTTTACAAATCTCGAGTGCTAACAAAGATCTAAGGCCAAGTCAATAGATGATATTCCGTGTATATGGTATGCCTAAGTTTTCCCATATGCGCCCCCCCAGCCAGGTCCCTCTAGTCACGTTAGATACGATCTGGAAGTGGGTAAAGCCCTATATGCAAATCATCAATCAACAGGAATTCTAAATCGCGAGAGAGTGTTGTTGGAATATAATTTATAAATATAAAAATGATAGGAAAGCGTGAACAATATTATTCTGATTGATAATTCTGGATGGATAAGTGTGTGTCACATGTCGGGAATAGTGCTTAAATCCAACTATAAACATTTTCAAATATTAGCTTTTGAAATTCGTCGATAATCCCACTTTATGGGGCTGTAAACTTCAACCCCCCAGCTAGAACCACTTTTATAGTTTCGGATGGAACTAGTTCCATCGATTTGTCAGCATGTCGGTTATTTATTTTTATTTGAGCTGTAAATTGCTTGACGCCAAAGATCGTTAAAAACATTTGCCTGTCTGGGTCTGGACATTGGCAGAACCCGTTCCACGGGGGGCTCCAAAGACCTGAGGAATTTTTGGCTGCTTCTGCCTGCTACTTTGATGTTGATCTTAATCTTAATTTGTGGTGCTGGCGCCAAAAGAACTTTTTTCTCTGTCTTTTCGCTATTTCGCTATAGGAAATTGCATAAAATTAGCATATTAAATGATCGACCGAATTGTTTTTATTTTATTTTGTTTATTTACCTTTTTTATTTTTCGCCAAAAAGTCATAACTGGCAGATAAGCGACGCCGATCGCTGGGCATCCATTTCGCCCATTAAAGGAAGAGGCGTTCAAGTTTTATGGGTTTGAGGCCTACGGTTGGTCCTATTTAACCTCTTGTCTTGCTAACGTCATTGCATTCTAAATTTGTACATTTAATCTTACTTTTGGTTATCTTGGAGTATTGTTTTTAGAATTTATGTGCCATCCACACCTGGTCACTATCAGTCTGAACGATACGCTTTTCCGCCCCTATCTGATGGGCTGCGATTTGGCTGCTTTATGAATGGTTTTAATCGCCTGTCGGTTTAGCGGATGATATAATCGCCAATCGTATGGGGAATTGCTAATATAAATATATTTGGTCAGCTAATTGCCTGGCAAGTGACTTGCCATACCGTTGAGTGACAGTTTCAACTGGCAAATCGATTCAAATTGAGGGAAATTCCAGTATTTGGTTTCCTCAATTCGGGGGAACTGCATCCCAGAGGGTAACTGACCTATTCCCGCTCTGTTTATCCGCAGGCCCGAGCGGGAGTCACGCGTTTTCTGAATGATTTTGGCAACAGTGGGTGGCACACGAGCACATTCCTTAGATTTTTCAATCTATATTGTAGCTATAGCTACTTATATTGCATTGTGACTCACTCAGATTCGTGGAAATTCTTCGTGGCCCAGTCAAAATTCAGATATTTTGTTATTAAAAATCTTTCGCGTTCATTCATTTTAAGCAAATTATACAATATATATCCTTCGCCCAGCATAGATCTATAGAACTGTGTTCTTGCAAACTCATTAGAGCCCGCTGAACTGGCGCCAAATACTCAAGGCGGATTGAACGGTGACAAGTGCCGGGCGTTTTCGTTATCCGCTGATTTTGAAGCGGAAATGCCAATATAGCCCAAAGCCCAAAACCATATGCCTACAATATATTCCACTTGTATACAAATATACTCGCTTTGTGTGTTTATATTCAGTGCAAAAACAAACAAACACCCGTGGTTGCATTTTAAGGTATTTTTAATGTACCTATGCATCTTTTGCTTGGATTAGGCATATTTTCTGCAATGCTACATATATTGGCTAATATTCAGATAGAATGCCGAATATACAGCTCATGTCTATGTTTCCATTTCGGTGTTCATGACGTGTTTGAGTCACAGATTCAGAGTGACGCATTAGTATTCTGTGCCAGGCTTTAGTTATTTTATTTCTATTTTATCAAAATTTCGTTTTTTTTTAATTTTGTATCTGACCGGAAGTCTTTAACCGAAATCCTTTATGACGCGTGCCTATCGACGTTGGTCCAATGGTCCGAAATTATATTTAAGGTTATTTTATTAGAGGATTAACTCTAAATACGATATACTACTATTCATGCCGTGCTTAGCTTTAATTTATTCGTTTGTTCCCACAGTATTTCCCAGTAAAAGTATATTGACATTGCTGATTAAGTTTTCAATTAAATTCTACACTAATACACTACAAATGTCACTTGCAAACTCATATTCATATAAGTATGTAGTTGAACAATTTTGAAAATTGGGACAACAAAAGAGAAAATTCCTTGGAAGCTAAAGCAATAAATACACGACACAAAACACGGGCAGATACATATCGCTCGGGCGGGCGGGCAATCACTTTAAATAAAATAAATGTTTAATATATTAAGATAAATAAAAATAGCAGAAAGCTCCGAAGACGACAAAACTTTTTCTGGCGAAGCGTGCCCAAAGAATTCTGTGTTTCTTCCCAAAAACATTTTCCTCGGTTCAGTGTTCAGGCGCTGGGCGAGTACTCAAGACGTATTGCCGAGTGCTATTTCGTCGGTTCGATCAAATATTTCTCTCTCTACAATATCTATAGATCCGAAAATATATAGCAGCACAGCTATAGCGGGCAGATCGGTTCAAGAGCAAGCGACAAAACACAAAAGAGTTCATTTGGTGCGGTTTTCGGAAACAGAAACCCTTCGTATCTCGAAACCCAGTGTTGTCAACACTGTAATTGATTAACTATTTTGAAATATCGAATATCCGGATAATTTGATTCTTATCTGTTGGGAGAGACTTTCCATCAAAGTTCGGCCGTGATAAGTGAAAGGTGATTGATTAACTTTCTACCGAATGCTATTGAACAATATCTGTATATGAAGAACCTATATAGTTTCGTTTTTGTACAAAATTACATATTCTGGCAGTCGTCCAACTGCCGTTTCATATTCACAAAATGCAAATAATTTAGTGACGTAATTCTCCACCAATATTCTATGCCAAAGTTTGATCGGTTTCAACAATTGCTTTGTGAAAAATAAGATTTTTATATTCCTTTCCAAATATAATGTAGGATGACAGCACGTGGGAACTTCGGGTTTGATTTATCATTTATTCCTGTGCTAATTTCGAGCTGAGGCTGTTCCAAAGGTTAATGGCATTGATTTGTTGTTCCTTTAATGAAGACATAAATATTGCCGCCTTCGAGAGCTGTGGCCAGGGAATATGATTTGTAGACCAAATACTTTCAGTTGACGCACAAAAAACATTTGACAGCTGTAGAAACTGTGATCGGAAAATCGAATTCCTCTGGGGAGAAACAGATGTGTTAGATTGGCGAGGAAGTATATAGAGAGTGATATAGAATATCAGAGCTTTTTGGATGTAAAAACTATGTCGTCATAAGTGCATAATCCATAAAATGTTAATCATCAGTTGGAATTAAAAGTCGAGTATTCTTATACCATATAAGATTGGAGTATACCAATCGAATTAGCTCAGATCGGACCAATGCACGGCATTAGTTTTGTCAGCCATTGACGTGTGTAATACCCATGGCAGACCAGTGTCTAGACACGATCAGAGAATAAACTCTGAGGTCATACAGCTACTTAGTCTTCGCCAGAGCATATATCCACCAGGTTCTATACGTATTCGACTCTGGCCGTTGACAATGCGCCATCATTGATAAAATGTTTTGTTTGGATTGCTCCAAACTCGCCAAAAACCAAAATAAAAAGCTCTCCCATCTCCGGGGAGGCCAGTCTGCGAGGCAATCTATATACAGCCACCCATATACCTGGTATATATATATGAGGAGCTGCTGCCGATCCGCCAGGCAGAGTTGTCGCTTTGCGGCCGCGTTACGCAAAAAGTTTATTTTTAAACAAGGCGTCCGGAGCTTTAGCCGGACTATACCGGACCAGACCCGCACCCGGATCTATCCGGCGGCGAAGGAAGAACAACCACTGCACCGAAACTGCACGAGCAGTATGTGCATTTATGAAAACATACATATTCCTAATGACCCCTAAATAGACCCATTAATGTTGTCAAAATACACCACCCACATAGCAAGCAGTGGCCTCCTCGCAGTTCTCCTCATTTTTAATTTTCTTTCAGACTTTTTCGATTTGGTTCGTCATAGCCAACTGGTCAGGAGAAGCACTCTTATGTATATAGACAACTTTGTACATATGTACCACTTCCACCTCATAATTCAGAATAAATTGAAGGGATCTGGGGGTCTTATTTTCGGTTAACACCGTCATCGTCTGGCTTGTCTGGGAGGTCTTCGATTTCGTGCCAAGGAATTGTTTCGGCTTTTGGCCATAACTTTAAAACACAGACAAACACTATAAACTTTGTTGTTGCCAAATTATCTATTTTTAAGTGTTATCTATTCGTTACTCAAGCTGATAGGCTTCGACCTTCTTTAGATGTTTATTTTCAAACAAAACATTTGATTTTTTGCAGTAACAGGCCACGAAATGTTTCCCAACCAGAACAACGTAGCCGCGTCTGGGCCCGGCCCGGCGGCCGATGGCCAACAGAGCCTCAACTACAACGGATTGCCGGCCCAGCAGCAGCAACAACAACAGCAGCAGCAGCAACTGTCACAGTCTACGAAGAATGTGCGGAAGAAACCGTATGTGAAAATCACTGAGCAGCCGGCGGGAAAGGCCCTGCGTTTCCGCTACGAGTGCGAGGGTCGGTCGGCGGGTTCTATTCCCGGTGTGAACTCCACGCCGGAGAACAAGACCTACCCGACTATTGAAATTGTGGGCTACAAAGGACGCGCCGTGGTTGTTGTCTCGTGTGTGACCAAAGATGTTCCGCATCGGTAAGGATCCTCGTTGAATCTGTAACCTATTTGAGGCTAAACTTAAACTTCTTTTCAGTCCCCATCCGCACAACTTGGTTGGCAAGGAAGGCTGCAAGAAGGGCGTCTGTACTTTGGAAATTAACAGTGAAACCATGAGGGCCGTTTTCAGCAATCTGGGCATCCAGTGTGTCAAAAAGAAGGACATAGAGGCGGCCCTCAAGGCGCGTGAGGAGATCCGCGTGGATCCATTTAAGAGTAAGATCGACCTTTGAACTATTTTGTGAAAGAAACTTTACCAAACTTTTACCCCCCAGCTGGCTTCTCGCACCGTTTCCAGCCCTCTAGCATCGACCTGAACTCGGTCCGGTTGTGCTTTCAAGTATTCATGGAGAGCGAACAGAAGGGTCGCTTCACCTCGCCCCTGCCGCCGGTGGTCTCGGAGCCCATCTTCGACAAGAAGGCCATGTCCGACCTGGTCATCTGCCGGCTGTGCAGCTGCTCGGCGACGGTGCTGGGCAACACCCAGATCATCCTGCTCTGCGAAAAGGTGGCCAAGGAAGACATCTCCGTGCGCTTCTTCGAGGAGAATAACGGGCAGACTGTGTGGGAGGCCTACGGGGAGTTCCAGCACACGGATGTGCACAAGCAGACTGCCATTGCCTTTAAGACGCCGCGATACCACACCCTGGACATCACAGAGCCCGCCAAGGTAAGATTCTCAGCCCCAAAAGAGGAATGTATTGACTTATACCATTTTCAGGTCTTCATTCAGCTGAAACGACCCTCGGACGGAGTCCTCAGCGAGGCCCTGGCATTCGAGTACGTGCCATTGGATTCAGGTAAACACACGTTCTGGAATCTTCATCGGCACCTCAAACGGAAGCCCGACGAAGATATTTTTCAGCAGATCCTTTCGTTGGACGCCAAACGGGAGGCGCCTACGATCGAGGTCATTGATTTAGATACACCCAAGTTGGAGGTGCCAGTATTGGAGGCGCCATTTATTAGTCAGGAGGAGCCCATGCAAGAGGAGCCATCTTTAGAGCAGGAAGAACTCCTCCAGCAGGAGCAACTGTTCCAGCAGGAGAAAATTTTACAGCAAGAGGCTTATAGCCAGGAGCCCTCGGGCCAGCAGGAGCAAGTTTTCGATCAAGAGCAGTCATCTATAATTGTCGAGCCCGATCACGGCTCGGATCACTCGCCCGAGGATATGGAGGCTGAGGCACATCGCCTGCGTTCTGAGCAGGAAAAGGAAATCGACACGATCATTGATGAGAAGGTCCGGGAGCTGGAGCAGCTGGAGCTAGGTCAGCAGTTGGAAGCACCTCGCCCACTGTCGGCCAACGACAAGATCACCGAGTGGATGAAGTCCAACGAAATTGAACAACAGCCTCATGAGCCAAGCCCCACCATGGAGGGTGACGTCCTGGACTCCGGCTTGGAGGTCACTCTGGACATTACAGAGGAGGACAAGACCCTCAACGATCTCCTGGAGCAGGTGGCAGAACTGGATGAGATTTACACGGACTACAAAGTCCAGAGGGACACCTACAATAATACTTTACAGAACGAACTGTCTGGCGTTGTTGGACCTGGACAGAAGGGAGGTCCCTTGATGGTGGAGGACAGCTTCGACGATGCCGCCACTTATACCAGCCTACAGATTGCTTTCAAGAATCCCGTTCTCATACCCATGGATGACATAATGCCGCCAACGCCGCCCATGTCCCAGTGTGCCCCTGAAGATGCTCACCAGCACTACGACCCCATTGAGGTTAACTCGCAGTCCCAGAAATCAGAAGCCGCCCCACCCCGGCCAGCACCGCCTCTTCCGATGCCGGCCATCCTGACAGTTCCGTTTCCGCCCGAGGAGGAGAAACTGCCGCCCTTGCCGCCCAAACGGATCCGCAAGCAGGACAGCAACGCTGAGAACCGCTCAATCGAGGCGAACACGGTCCAGGCCAGGCCCTCTACGGCGGAGTCGCCGCTGAACAAGCGCCTGCCTCCGGCGCCCACTCCCAAGAATCCCAACTTCAACACCCTGCCCAGGCAAAAGAAGCCGGGCTTCTTTTCGAAGCTGTTCTCCCGGCGGAAGAGCAAGCCGGAGTTGGCCCAGGACCAGTGCTCGCTGCTAGACTCCAAAGCGAACAGTCGTGAGCCAAGCATAGGACACTTCAACATGCAGGACCCCATGAGGGCGTCGCTCAGGTCCTCAAAGTCGGCTGCTCCCATTATTTCTACTCCAGCTCCCAACAAGTCCAGCCCCGTGAAGGCCAAGAAGCCCGGCTCCAAGCTGGGCAAGCCCGTGGGCCGCAGTGTGAGCAGTGTCTCCGGAAAGCGACCTGCCTACCTCAACGCCGACGTGGTGCACATTCCCCTGAAGGGGGACAGCGCCAACAGCTTGCCCCAGCAGCACCGGAACGAGGCCTACTCCCAGTCCAGCACGATGTCGGTTGGAACCGGTCTGGACAGACGCACAGCCTCCGCCCTCCAGCTGGCGGACATACCGATTAGCGAGGGCGGCATGGAGCTGGTGGCCATTGCCGACCGCCAGAGCCTGCACAACCTGGTCAGCTCCATCGAGGGCCACTTCAACGTCCAGCTGGACCCCAACCTTGATCTGACCGAGGCCGAGCACTTTGCCCTGTACACCAGTGTTCCGCCCCTGGCGGCGGCCAGTGAATTTGACGAGACCTCCGCCTACTACGCCCCCGTGGACGCCGGGGAGATTCTCACGCCCGAGGAGGTGGCCAAGCGGTTGGCAGCAGCCAATGGCCTCAACTAGGCCGCCAATTTGTTAAAACCCATTTGTTGATAGGCAAACGAACGAAACTCTCAATCGAAGCAGGTCGGACACAGGCCAGGAGCCAGGGAGAGCCTTGTTTCCCTCGGCTCTGGCGTCCACTTGCGGGAGGCCAGACCTCCCGAAAAATTTGTATTTGTTTTATATTTGATAATTGTGCTAAAGTATCCTTCCCCAGCAGCCATTGATTGGTTGAATATTTTGTAAGCGATACCAGGCATGAAACCCCAACCAAATCTCGCCCAAAGTGGGTCGAGAATGATTTGTTATTGTCCAGGTTGCCCATTTTGAGGGTTCGAACCGAAACCAACTATTGTATTTAAGCAAATGACTCAATTTTCAGAGTAGAACATTGCGTTAATTGAAACCAAATCCCGAATCTATGTACAACTTGTGTGTATATTTTGTTTTATAGATCCAGCGCACTTGAAGCGGAAACGTCAGAAGACTGGCGGTGATCCCATGCACCTGCTGCTCCAGCAGCAGCAGAAACAGCAGTTGCAACAGACCGACCATCCGGATGGCAGTAAGTCATCAGTTGTCATTGTCCCTGTCCCTGTAATGCCACATAGCTCATTGGTGTTGGCCCCATTTGTGGCGTCCCGTCTTGGGGGCGCCTCTGTCCGCCTCTCTCTCTGTTTCTCGATATTTTCCCCCATCTGTGTCTGGGTCTCCTTGGGTACTTTGTCTTGGGATGCCAGCCATCCAACTGATCCTACCTGGTCGAATAGTGTTCGTATTTGACTTTTTTTTTTTTTGGTATACAAAGACTTAATTGAACTAGTCATCGCCCCTGATGATGTATTAATCGAATAGACTATTAGCAACTATTAGAAATCACTCACTGAATGCACACCCACAATCACGATATTAACAAGTAACTAATAAACAAATAACGAGGAAAGGTCCTTACTATATTTATATATTGATTTACATACATAGTCGAAATTATAGCAATATTTTTGGAGCCGACAGGAGTCAGGAGAAATGAGAAACTTATTTGTAATCAACATGAGACATGAAACATGAAACATGAACATGCAATTTTTGTCGTTTTTTCGAGGAATATTTGATATTTTTATATTAAGAATAAAATTAAAAGTTTGGTAAAAATATTTTGTAAAATATCGTAGCTTAATAAAACAAAAAGAAAAGAAGTTCAAATGAATATTATTTGTTTAAACTTGGAGTTTTTAGATTTTTAGAGAAAGTAAGTTTTGCTCCCAAGTCTTATGAAAAATATTCCTTCTGAGTAAGTTTTTGAGGCTTTTTCTAGTTGGTTTTTGATTTTTTTTATTAACTTGTTTCTTTAAAAACTTCATTTTATTTATGCATGATTTTTTTGTTGTTTATTTTTCAAGTATGTTGTGATTTTTATTAGGTTTTTTTATATTTTTAAATTAAGTTTAAAGCATAAGTTAAAAAAACGCGCTTTCTTGATGACTGGCCCCTTTTGTTTTTGTGAAATTGTTCTACCTCTTTATTTCATTATGCTTGTTTTGTTATTGTTTTTGTTTTTAAATTTTTTTTGTTTATTAATATTTTTTATTTGCTTGCCGCTCTTAGGACAAACTAACATGAATTGCTGGAATGCGCCAAGTATACCTCCCATTAAAACCGAACCGAGAGGTAAGTGCTTAACCTTTATTCGCATTAAATATTAATTGGCTAATGCTGATAACCGATTGCGATTAGATACCTCACCTCAACCCTTTGGCCTGGCGTACCGAGCTCCTCCAGAGCTAACGCCCTCGCCGCAGCCCCTGTCGCCGTCGAGCCACTACAATCAGAACAGCACCCCCTCTCCCTACAACATGGGCTCTGCGGCCACGCCCACCAACGGCCAGCAGCAGCAGCTTATGTCGCCCAACCACCCCCAGCAGCAGCAGCAGCAGTCGCATCCGCAGTACGGAGCCCCCGACCTGGGCAATAACTACCACTTTGCCCAGCAGGTGATGGCGCAGCAGCAACACCAACAGCAGCAGCAGCAACAGGCGATGCAATTCCATGGAAACCCCTTCGGAAATGCGGGAACTAGTCATTGGGAGTCCAAGTTCGCGGGGGCAGCAGGAGCAACGGACATTAAGCCGGCTCCTGGCACCAGCCACAACAGCAACAATCTCAGTAATCTCAACAATCCCTTCACCATGCACAACCTGCTGACATCCGGTGGAGGTGCTGGGGCAGGCGGCAATCTGCAGTGGAATCTGCCCACAAATCATCTGGTAGGTGGAGGAAGCTACCAGAGTAGTAGTCACACATTCTAACCCACATATTCGTTTCCAGCATAACCAGCACACGCTCCACCAGCAGCAGCAGCAACAGCAATTGCAACAGCAGCAGCAGCAACATGTCCCGCCCATGCATCAGTATGATAACAATGCCCCCAGCAACAACAATAACAATAACAACAACAATAACCCCAACAACACCAACACGAGCAACCAAGCGGATAATGGTCCCACGATCAGTAATCTGCTGAGCTTCGATAGCGAGCAACTGGTGCGCATCAACTCGGAGGATCAGCAGATACTGCGCCTCAATTCGGAAGATCTGCAGATTTCCAACCTATCCATATCTACGTAATACCTTATCGAAACGAACCCATTACCACTACGATTGCAACCTGAGCAGAAACCCTGGAGGCAGTACGAGATGATATAGCATTTAGCCCTATCGACCTGGTCGTCGTCTAATTGATTGTTTTAGCTTTGTCATAATTAGAGATAGTGCAACAAAAAAATGTAAAATGTGTGTTTTAGGATATGTTTTTTAAAGATGAATAAAATAATCGTTTTAGCAGTACTTTGCTCTCAGCATTTAACCCATTTCAGATAAGTAAAGTAAATTTTCAATTATCTATAATGATTGGATGGTCTAACGAGAGTTTAATTGTTTAAAAAAAAGTACATTTATTTTTATATAATTCGCACTCAGTTAACGTACGGAGTTGAGCTGCTATTGAAATGAATATACGAGTCGGGTGTGTGATTTTTTTTTTATTTTTTATAAATAAGGTGAGTATCTTTTAAAAGCTACTCTCCTTAAATAAAAACTAACACCCGTTCAAGATGGAGACCCGTCGAGTGGACTTTACCAACATTAAGTGCAATAGTTACGACAGAAACTTTTCCATTTTTGAATATTGTTATATTAAGGCTGTCAACCGAACCCTGAAACATGTCTCCCTCAAGGTCCTGCTCTTGCAGGTTCCAGTAAATCATTTCAAGGTAATCCTTGACTTTTCTATTGCAAATCTTTGGATATACACCTCCATATATTTAGGTAAACATTGCGCTCTATAAGCGTTCTAATGGCCAGTCGCCTTTCAACTATAACTTCACTTTCGATGGCTGCAAAATGCTCGACGAAGTCCAGAATCCCTTCCTATCCTTTTTGTTCAAAGCCTTTAAGACCTACACAAACATCAACCACTCGTGTCCATATGACGTAAGTCTGATTTAAGCATTTTGTTTGTGATTTTTGTTACCTATTTAAATTTTAGAATGATGTAATTGTGGATAGGCTGCCCACCCTCTTCATACACGAGAAGCTGACCACAGTCTGGCCTTTTCCGGAGGGCGACTACGTGTTTTCAAGCAACTGGATTACCTCGGGGGTCAACCGAGCCAATGTCAGGATACATGCCTCGTACTCTTGATGAAAACCGGTCACTATTAAAAAAAGAAGTTACTTTTTCAATGCATACATTTTTAACTAACAACTGCCTATAAGGATTTAACAAACAAACTCAAACGTCAGATCAACAGAAAACATTAAACAATAAACTATTCGGTAAACTTCAAGAGGCTCTCAGACGGTGCGTCCTTCTCCTGCTCCTTCCCATCATCGCAATCGCAATCCTCATCAGCCTCAGGTCCCCCGTTTTGGGGGGCACGTGAGAAGAGACCCTTTAGCTTGGTGACCGCACCCGGGATCATGGTCGGTGAGGGTGGCGGGGTCCCTGGCAACATGTAGTGGGCCACAAAGTGCAGCATGCGATAGGTGGCATGCTGGTACACCTGGCTCTGGGCAAAGCACTGGCGGATTCTCTGGCCCAGAGTGGCGGCCAGGCAGTTCTGCAGAGTGACCACCTGCTCCTGCTTTTCCTGGAGCGTTTGCTCCAGTTCCAGTGAGTGCTCAAGGAGCTTGCTAATTATTTTAGTCCAAATTAAGGGAGGTATATAGTGAACGGAGGAGGTTGGAAGTTCTTACCTGTACTTGTCTTCGACGGCTTGCTTGTCCTCTTCCATCTTGGCCATATTCTCACTCAAGTGTTCGATAAAGTCTCGTTTGAGAGACAAGTCGATGTGAACCAGCTCCAGCTGCTGGCTCATCTCCTCCAGGGCACACTGGCTATCCTGATGTTCGCGCTGCAGCTGGGTGAGCTGCTCCAGATGATGCCTCTGCTCGGCGATCGCCTGGAAGAGTTCAGTCTTTTGTGATGCATGGACTTCCTGCAGATTTACGATGTCCTGGTTTTTGGCGGACAACTCCTCGGCTAGCTTGTCCTTTTCGCTTCGAGTCTGCACCAGGATCAAGCTAAGCTCCTCGTAGGATAGCTTGGTCTGGGCATTGTCACGGTACGATTGTCTCAACTGGTCATTCAGAGTGGCATTGCGGCGCTTCTCAACGCAAAAGAGTGAGTTGTAAACATGCAACTGGTTGCGATTCTTCACGACCTGTAGGGGAGAAACAGAATCTGTAGAAACCAAGAAAGCACTTCCATATGGACACCCCATCTCTAAACCCACTTACACTCTTTTTAAAATCCTCCACCTGGTCGCTGAGGCAGCGCACCTCTTCGCGTCTCTTGCGCCAGGCATGCAGCATGATGGTGTTGAAGATCCTGAGGCTGGCCACACGGGCATCCTGCTCCGGAGCGACTACAAAGCTCATCTTCCCCTCGACTCCATCGCAGAGCGGCAGCACCAGCTTGGCCACACTGGCTTCTAATCCTGCCGGAACTGCAACGGCAGATTCCTCAGGCTCGTCCACCGTAATCGGCATCTTGCGGGGCGAGGGCACGTGGGCCACCACCTGGTAGTTGCCGGTGCGACGCGCTTCCTTGAAGTCCATTTGCGATAGGGACTTGCGAACATTGTAATTAATCATGGTAGCAGTCTGCTGGCGTTTAAGGGTCAAGTACGGTGCCACGGCAGTGGAGGTCGAAAGGGACGGCTCCTTGACGAAGCTGCTCTTGGGAGCCACAGTGTAGCTGGACTGCCCCGAGCTGGAGGTGGAGGTTGTCACTGAGTTGTCCGAGGACGAGGGCGTCAGCATCCCAGCCTTGGATCTCTGGTTGACCAAAGGGTTCTTGTTCTCCTTGTCAACACTGAAAAGGAAAAGAGTTTCCTAAACCAATACGATCTATTAAATGCATCTCTTCCTTAAAACTTACATCATTTCCTTCTTCAGGTATCTTGAGCCATAGCTGCGACGCTTCTTGAGCTGTCCTTGGATCGCAGACTTTGTGTAGAGTGCTCTTGGCGATCCCTTTTGGGAGGTATTGTTCAAAGATGAGGAGTTAACCTGACGGATGCGAGGACTTTTCGGCCACATGGTGCCCAAAAATAAATCAAATTTAAGTTCGACGAGAATAAATAAAATCAACAACAACTTTTGTACTTCGTTTCAAACGTAGAGAAACAAATTATAGAACTGAACAATGCTTTCAAGACAGATCTATCGGGGAACGAGTCCAAAGGTAAGGCCTACTCTTTTCAAAATTGGAATGTTTAGGAATTGAACCCCATTCTTCACAGCAATGCCTTCATTTTAACTAAATTAAGATATATTTAGATTTTTTACACCGTTTTCCACCGGACTCCTTTGAAATTCGGGAATGTATAGGAGGGGCCCTCATAATACTTGGGGATGTTTGTGTCTTTTCTAATTTTCACCAGATCCTTGAACACCAGAACATTTTTTACGATATTTGTAATTGCTTCTAGTGAGAGCCATTAAAAAATGGTAATTGTATGGTCACTTATGCCCCAAACTATTGCGAAAAGTTATCTTTCCAGCAATAAAATGGAATCATAACGTCAACAAAATTGATTCTTTGGCTCTTTAAAGTAAAATGGTTTATTTTTAAAATAATTAAGATATTGCCTCAAATGACATGTTACAAATTACGTCTACCCACAATCCGGGCCGAGTTCAAAGCCGGAGAAATATCCTGCTGGGGCACCAGTCCGTCTCGCCCCCAGCTATCATCCACTCAACCATCACATCCGGCTGAGTTCTCACACATCGTAAGTAACTTGATGTGGTTGCCTTCGCATCCGTTTTCTTATTTGCGGCCCATTTTCCCGGGGGGCACAATTTCCGCTACATTGGGCGCCAAATGTGCGTTTAAACGCAACTCACCACGGGATGGTAAAGCTTATTCCACAAAACTCCCCACTCGAAATAAAAGTGTTGGAAAGTGTTTGAAGGCCGTCCCTAGGACAACTTTTGTCTGTTGCCGTTGTTGTTGATGGGTGGGTGGAAGGTGGGAGGTAGGAAGACCACTCTGTGTGGTGGCCAAGGCGGCATCGGCTTCATTAACGGTTCGTCGCTGGTGGCAGAAGGTTGTCGGTCTCCTGGAACAGCTTGAAACAGAGTCAGTATAGTCCAGAAATCTGCGAGCGGAAAATAACGTAAAATTCAAATCGAAATCAAAATCGAAATGTGCTCATAAAACAATAGATTAATGTAAATGAATTAATTCGGCTCGAATTTCCCATCCGAAAGTGGTGTGCTGGTGCGCGTGTGGGAGTGATTAAAATCGAAAACGAACATAAAATTGAGAAAAATTCGAGTGGAAAATTGAAAATCAACAAAACATATTGAATTATTGCTCCGGCTGAAAATTCTGATTTAGGTGAGTTCTGGAATCTATCTATAAATAATCTCACTGCCGCTGCGAGATTACAAAATTCCGATTTGTTTATAAATAATTGGCCATTAAGAGCAAATACAACATATTGGGTTTGTGGCAGAATATTTCATTGATGTTCGCTGGGTTTCTCCCAGCGGATCAATTAAAGACTCTGAAACTGGTATCTGGGGATCTTAGTCATTTCCCCCCAACGGGCTACAGGTGTTAAAATCTCAGATGCTTACGTCTTGGGGAAAAAGTTATCTAATTACATTAATCATGCCGCGATCTTTAGCTTCAGAGCGCCAAGACAACGTCACATTATCATTTGGCTATTGAGATGACCTGTTTGGGGGCTCAGATGGGGACACTGACGTGTTATCTGGAAGCAAGTCAATCGAATAGGCGCACGCCTCGACTTCTGAGAACTTGGACAGTTGGAAGTGTATTTTTTAGAACGTTCCTGGAAGACAATGCATTATTAATCGCATATAATGTTGGCAATGGTACGACTTGTTCGCGTTACTGGCATTTGCAAAACGTTTATCCAATAAGTGACCGCTTTTCCTGGGAATCGCTGGTGGCCTAACATGTGCTGGCAGTGACTTAATAGATTCGAGTGTTTTTTTTTAGCCAAAACAAAGAGTTATACGAGAAAACTCTAATTAAATTTCCTTTCCCTGTTTCGCTTATATCAATCAACCCAAATGATATCAGGTTTCTGTACACTTTGCGTCACAATCACATAAACAGTCGGACACCTTATCTGACCTTTGAACAATTATTTCCCCACATTCCACTCTCCGCTTTAAACCAAACAAACTGTGAAATACAAACAAAGCATCAAGCTCTGAGCGAACTCTGAGTTTGTGTCCAGTTCTGCTTGCAAAATCGCCATAAGTTCTAATCCTACACACTGTTGTTGTCCGTTGCACCCACTTCGCCCCACAAATCGGCGGGGCATTAATTAATTAACACTTGTTTGTGCTGTCTGTGGCGTTTGCTTTTTAGCTGCTATGTTGTGGCTGGTTCTGGCCAAAAGGCATCAAAATCAAAACAATCTGCCGTCTATCTCGAAGTCTCGATGCCAGAGTTACCTTAAGTTGTGAAATGATGGAGTTGGAAGACACTTACTCCATCATACACCAGACAACCTTGATGTACCTCTAATAAGCACTGTAGATACTAAAGAAAAAGATCATTTTTTGAAGTTGAAAAAGCTCTTTCAGATACAGATACAACATCTCTGTATTGCATGCGGAACGTCATCGTCTTCAGGTAACTCCCCAACTGCATACACCGATTACATAACGTGCAAAGTGACTGGAAACTGGAACTGCAACTACTTGCACTCCCTCTTTCAGTGGGATCCCGAATTTTCCCCACTCTCTGGAGCTGATCATCATATGGTAACTCTCTCTCTCTCGGCAGATTTCCGCATGGGCAAACACACACACACAGACACCAATACACAGGCAAAGTGGCCCCAATTGAAAGCGAGTGTGAGATACAATTGTATCTGGTTTGGCCACTGGAATGGCAAATGTGGCGGGGCTGATGATTCATCGCGAGTTCGGGGAATCCAAAGCCAATCAAGTGCTTTAGGCCCAAAGCCACGACACGGCAGACGGACAGGTTTTCGGCTTCGGCAGGCTTTTCATATTAACAAGATGGGTATTGGCCAATCTATAAAGCATTCAATTTTGTTTAAATTTCTTACTAATATTATTTTGGTTTTTAGTATTTCTAAGTAAAGCTTAGAGCCGACTTCATTAGAAGCTAATTGCTTTGTTTAAATAATTCGCAAGGGAACAATGTTTAAATTAAACGGAATAACCAATAATACGCAATATTATTATTTTGATTCAATTATGCAATAATCTAGAGTTCGGTCGTAATTATGTATAATTTCTTAGTAAGATATTTAAGTTCCGCTTTCTTCCTGAAATTCTTTTCCTTTTTTCATGAATGACTCCCCAAGGGGCGTTAGGGGTTCGGTTTTACGCAGGGCATCTTGGATTCGACGCAGTATTTAATTTTTTTTCTTAATAAATTCGGCATTGCCTTTGCGTCTTTTAGTCATGTTTTTGCTGGCCAAACATTTTGAGTTCGTTGGTAATTTTGCCCATCGGGTTATCGATACGCCTGCCAGCCCCGTCCGCCTCCTGGAGGTCCCTCCATATCACTATTATGTCTTGAATGTTAATGCGGTCTGCGGTCTTTGTTGGGCTGCCTCTTTAAGGGCGGCGGCGACCTTTCGTCGTGACTCTATTGCACATACACAGAGAAAAAATTTTAGGAAAAATATAAAATTAAAAAATATAAGGGATTAACCTAAAATATAGTTTTTAATTTTTTAGCAATCAACATTATTTTTGATAAATAGTTTTAAAAAATATCTTTGGCTATTTTTGTCAGTGCATTCAAGCTGGCCTTAATGTGGCGCTGAACGAAGAGGAGCAATAAAAGCGGCAGCAACAACAAGTGGTTGCCCAACTATGCGCTCCACTCTTTCGCCGCCCCCTCGCCATGGCACTTCTCTCTTTCTCTCCTCGTCGCTCCATCTCCCTTGCACTCGCAATGATGGGGCTCTTTGGGGCTTGGCTTTGTTTGTCTGCAGTCAGTCACCCGGTCTCGCTCTGTCCCGCTTACGCGTGTGACCTTGAATCGCACACATGTGCCGAAATTGCAGGGGCTGCATGGCGGGGGGAACTTGGCTGTTGCCTCAGCCTCTCTTTCTTTCATCTGGCTTCTTATCTTCAGAGCTCCTTCTTTTTGTGGAGCGCAAAAAACAAGCTCATTAACGTGTTGAGATTTCTGTGACGTCGGCCCAGCTTGGCGACGTCATGGGCGTCTTGTATCCAAAATAGTATCTGCATCGAAGTGATTAATATTTTATTTTTAGCTCAGAGATAGTTCTCAAATTAAACGATAAAAAATAACAATATTTCCAAATATTTTGTTATCAATAAAAATATTTATATATTTTTAGCGATTCCAGTTAATGGAGGATCGCTAAAATTTGTTGTATTTTTAACAAGTCATCTGATTTTATAGGCATTGTTGTTGTAATCATATATAGACATAAACGTGGACCAGAATAATAGCTCACAAAATGCATTTGGTCCCCCAAACCGACCCTGCCCACGCCACACGGAAACTTTGTTGTTAGTTCGAAAAATCTGTGGGGCCAGAAGAAAATATCTGAGCGCACAATAATGAATTATTTCTGCCCGAATTGCAGCAAATAGTTTCCCCCCCTCCCAAGCCCGTACATACTATATACCCGATTGTTTGCCTGCACTTGTGTTTATTTAAATGACTAAAATCTGCCGATGGAACAGAAGCCAAAAATTGAGTTAATAACTCAGCCTGACCTTAGACGCTGTCGAGACGTTTTCCTCATTTTGGGGAATTTTGCTTGCGCGAATCGGCCACGTCCATATAGATTTTATAATTTACATTGGCCGAGGGCCGTGATAGTTTCAGGTCTGTCAATTCCATGGAAAATCAATAAAAATATTCATCTGTCAATATTTAATAAATAGGATCTATTGTTATGCACCTGGCAGCCCAGATGTTCGACAATCAGGTGTATGTATATTTAAGCTCATTAAATATGTAGGGGATCTGGAAGGTGAATGATTCACATGCTTCTGCTCTGATCAATTAGTGTTCTGTCTCTTTGATCTTTTATTTCAAAAAAGTGTTTGAAATTCGAAATATTTTATTTTGCAGTTTTTTAAGTTTTTTAAGGAGAGTTCATTAGACCTAACACTTTAGGGATTATCTTTCGAATTTGAACCAATAAACTTTATTTCCCTGAAAAATCACCGGAAAATTCGCTCCAGGAACTGGTGCTTGTTTATAGCAGAAAATCGAAATCGAAACACCTGCCGTGTGGCATAAAAATCTCAACACTTGTCTGAAACCCACTTAAAAATCTATAATAATTTTTTGCGCTTTGTTACGTCATAGGAACGCACTTGAAAAATTTTGTATAAAAGCAACAAAAAGGCAAAAACCAATAAACACAACTGCAGACGTAAGAAGTCCGGGCATCAATGGACGGGGAATGGCCCGAAATGAAAACAAAAGTGCCCGCTCCAAAAAAGCAGCGCACCCACCGATCGCCGTATCAGGGCAGTCAGTACAGTTTATCACGTATACGTATCACGTATACGTACTGTTGCCGATCACAAGAGACCGAGAGAGGGAGCTCGCGTCGTGCTCGCGTCGCTGGCGATGTTAAGCTTGCCTGGTAGCTACAGAGAAGCTTTTTCTCACTTTTAATCTGAGCTTGGCCGGCAACGGACGTGCGACTCTGTCCCCAGTAATTCGACCGATTGAACGAATATTGTGCAAGTCGCACGCGACTATATTTGAGTGTCTTTGTTAATTATACGCGACACAACAACAACCACGAAGTAAACTACAGATGTGTGTGTATAAATCAATGTCCGCTATTAACTGGCTGCGGCTGCAGTGTCTATAAGAAATAAAGTCCAAACGCCCGTAGCTTCGGAAACTTGTTGTTTATCGGCCCAGAGGCTGACTCGAAAATTTGGCGCGTTTTGTTTGTGACTAAGACCCGCCGCGCGCGATAAGCCAGACAAACAAAACACAAACAAGTGCATAAAATTCGAATTTAATCAATTACACGTGTCGGTCCAAACAAAGAGATAATTCGATTATTGTGTCGCAGAGTGCATTCGGGTCGGGCCAAATTAATCTAAAAATTGATTCAAATTGAAACTAATAAAGTTGTTTTCGATCAAACCGCAACATAAATCCCATAAAAGGTTAGCCAGCAATATCAGTTTTAAGTTAAAAACAAATCTAGCAAATCTAAGGCGTAGTTTGTAAAGCACCGCTGTCTAGTAGTCGTATCCGTGAGTACACTGCACACCCAGGCAGTGGAGTAACTCGATTGCAATGACACTGCAAGAAAGCGAACTGCTGCCCTGGCGCATACCCTGGCTGAAATATTCATAAATTATAATCCCAGATACATAAATAAATATCAACTCTTGCTGTGGGCAATTAGTTATCCAAGTGCCGCGTGAAATGCAAATTTTATTTATAATTTAAACAACGAGAACTAGGCTCTGTACTCGCGTGTTTTCTGTCTTCTGTTTGACAAACATCTATCTCAAATTCGACTGAAATGTCAAAATGTCAACAGGCCAAATAAATCATAATTCCCTTATCTATCAAGATGAGGACTAATTTGGTTTTTTCTTCTTGCTGGCAGTGTAGCTCAACTGATATATAATATATATGCCAGCAATAAATCTCCCAACAATGCAGGCGGCTGCTGATTGCGATTAAATAAAAATAATACTTAGTTGGTGTCGAGAGAGCTCAGTTTGCTTTCTGTTTGATTTGATTTACATACTGGTCCAGATCGTTTATGCAGGCAATTATGCCGGAACTATTCCCCCGAGTAGACGTTTCCTCCAAAATGCATAATTATTCTTCGAGCTCAACAGAAATGCTAATTGCCTTCAGATTTTTTTCTTATATATTGTTTGAATAAACTGCTACTTACTTGTATACATTTCCGTTGAGCGATAAGGAGCTCAGACTAAGCTACAAAGAATGTATTTTCTTAGTTTCTAATCGAATCATCTCAAGAGGAATATGGTTCTGAAGTAGTAGTATGGTAGCCTCGAGGCTGGCGAAAAAAAATGTATCCAAATGGAAATATTTATATTAACGAAATGTAAATATTTTTACAAGTCGGTAAAGCAACCGGGGAAAAGTTTATAAAAATTTCTGATCCACGGTATCTGGATCATTTCGTTTATTTCATTTGTAATCAAAGGAATACACAACCTGGCACTGCAATCGAAAGACACAAAATGCCATAAAGACTCGAAGACTTTCCGCACGCACACGGCTCGGACACTGGGTATCCATAAAAATAGAATGAAATGGAACAGTCATGGTCAAAACTTACTTAAATATCGATTTATCTGCGCCCAGATAGCCCCCAGCTATCCCTACTTGTATCGCCAGAATTGAATGTTTTCCCAAATTGTTGAAAGCAAAAAAAAAAGAATACAAACAAATCCTCGATTTTCACACCTTTTGGCCCGTGTGTGTGCCAATGTGTTTGCTTACATTCGACCTACAGAGTGGGAGCCATAACTTTGCAACTTGTACTAAACAGACCTGTTTCCAATTGAAAGTTATTGTAAAGTGAATGCCAGCGCCAGAAAGGTCGGAGGTGGTGGGAGGAACCCCAAGTCAACATTAAAAGGTTCTTTTTAAATATTTCGCAAATTTTATATATATTTAGTTATGTTCTTTTTTGTCATGGCATAGCCCTGATAAGAGTTATTCTAAAATATTATTTCGGACCATTTTAATGAAAGCATGAAAATGAGTAATTAATTTCAGCAGCCATTGTGTTGCTGAGTTCTGTGTTATCACTTCCAGCAAAGTTGTCAGGCAATTCTACTAAACATTTCTCGGTCCCGAAATCGTATTCCACTTGAACAACCACCAACTTTACATTTATGTGTCATTCACACTTGGGCCTCCTTCGAATAGGAAAAGTTCACACCCCATGTCGGAGGAAGCAGGCTCCCATTACGCATACGCCATGCTGGACCTGAATTCTGAATCTGAATTGATTGAATCGTGAAAAGTTTTATGGCAAAATAATTAAATGCTGCGGTTTCTTCAGTTTTCGGGCATCGCGTGTCGGTCGTTTTTCTTTGTGTGCCTGTGGTGGTGTGAGTTGTGTGAATTTTCCGTTTTGTCTTGGCCATTAGAATGGAAATGGCTCTAACGCTCCACTGGCCTGGTCTGGTGTGGTCTGGTCTGGCCTGGCGGGCTGTGGTCGGGTTCGGGTCTCGGCACACGGAACGCTTTGGGTTACGCCGGGCATTATTTACTTGACTGCAAAAATGCTTCCTTTGATTTGCTTGAAATGCCATGAAAATCGATTTGCTGTATAATTTAACTTTCCTTTTGCCCTGCGCTGCTTTAACAGTGAGTGATGAGGGAAGCCAAAAGTAACCGGAAAATGTGAGGAAATTAATTGCTTTTTAATTAGTTGGGCACACGTTAACAGTTTACAGGTGATGTGCAGGCCTTTGTGTTCTCTGTTGCAAAAATAAAAAAAATATATTTCGGTTTTATAGGTTCGGTTAGCTGCTGAGTCACTGCCCTACACAGTCGGAAACCCAATTGTATATACCAACGAGGTTATCTTGGGGCAGTGACATAAACTTCAGTCCTTGTTCTATCTTTAGAAGAACAATCTTCAGCACTTACCCTCATTTAGCCCCTAATTCGCCAGGAAAGTCTTTGCCGCGGGATTACCCACTGATAGGCGGTGTGGAAAACCTTATCAAAATCAGCTTAGTCTCTTAACAGCCGACCAATGGAAATCCATTTGAGCCGCCTGTCTGAACAAATTAAATAAGAATTTTGTGTATGAAAATGCTCGAGCAATCAGCAGATAGAACGTTGAATAAATGCTCAAAAAATTACGAAAATAATCAATAAGGGCTAGAAAAGATAGTCTAACCTATTATATATTTTTCCACCTTTGGCCTAGAATATTTCTAGAATACATTTCTTTATTTTCAAACATTAGAAGTTTATTTTCCAAGCAGTGCTGGTGTAGAATCGATGGTGACCTTAGAAAAGTTCGGTTCGGGAAGTAAACAAACATTAGTTATTTATATATGCGATGCATATAGAACGGCAAATGGATTTCCTGCAAATGACAGCGGGCCAAGACCCGCTCAAGGACACTGTCTAAGAACTAGGGGGAATCATAATTTTCAGCATTTATTGATTTTCTCGTATGGGGCGGGAGTGAGAGGTGGAGGTACATTTTTTGTCATTGCCGGCGAGAATTCATTTCTACTTTCGGGTGACAGGCGAAATTCGTTCAAAAAACTTTTTATTTGAATTTAATTTTTTCGTAGATACACATGAGTGCCGAGCATAATGCAAGGCACTCAGCACCCACACTAGGACACTGGCAGGACCTCCAGTCACGCACTGACACACACACACTTACACCCGAGCGTCGGCTTAAGTACTTGAGGTGCCAATGGGAAAAAGTGAGGAGAGTGACTGCCGGCCCCACAAGTGGGGGAGGTGGTCTGTGTTTGATGTGGAGCCTTGTCGGTCGGTCGGAGGGGCGGGAGGCATGTGTGTGTGTGACTGAGTGTGATTAGGCCATCGGTGTGTGAAGTGTGTGCGATGTGGGAGCGGGTGTGGGTGGCGAATTTTCGGCCCTGGCTTTCATATTCAACTCCCACTGCCCCCGACCGATCCCGATCCCGACCCATTCCATTCTCCTCTTCTATTTAGCTGTGTGTTTATTTTCGGTTCAGAACGCGATTTTCCAATCGATTGAGCACGTGACAAGGTTCTAGCTACTGAAATATGTATGTCCGACGACAATCCCGCTCGGAGGACACACTGCTCGAAGCCCCGGCCCAGTAACTGAAAACCCACCACTTCCTTGGCCGTCCCAGGACCGGATATCTTCATTTCCAATGCCCTCTATTTTTGACAACGTTTAATTAACATTTTTCTGCAGCCTAACTCACTTTTATTTTCCGTGGGCGAAAACCTTTTTGTTTGCTTTATTTATGCGCCGATTCGTGGCTCTGATTTATGTCGCCGAATTTTTCCGAGACCCCTCCATCCTCCATCCATCCACTCGCCCTAAGCCCAAATGCGAATTAAATTTGTGCGTGGTTTTTTCTCTTTCAGAGCCCGGGCCCGGGCCTTGCCGTCCCATCTTAAAGTATTATTCAGCTTAAGTTATTCCCGAATCGAGGAGGAGGATACTCCGGGCTAGACAAGCACAAAAATAGCGGAAGAGGGTTTCTGGAGATGAATCAAGCAATTACGCTTCTGGAGAGCTTTTTTTTGGGCACTTAATAAAATAGAAAAATTAAACTGTACGGCTGGAGGGGGCAGGCCGAATGCGAATGGAATATTGATATTTGTAAGCAGAGTATTACAATTTAAATTGAAAATCGAGTCCTTCTTAATCAGGGGAGTGCTTGTGGTTGAAGATAACATTTTGAGGCAGTACTGCCAGCTATGTAGGTTAAAGGGCTAATTGACATACTCACAAATTCTAAATATACACCATCTGCTCACATATGCGAAAGGATTTAACCAATTAGCTCGCCCATTAGTCCCTTTCGCTATTTTCGGATGCCTGCCAGCTTCGAGGACCTCAATGTGTGGCAAATGAAAAAGGATAACAGTGGCGCATTCGTTGCGGCTTTGTTTCGTTTGATGGCAAACTTTCGTATAATTAGGCCCTTAATATTTAAATTTCAATTAAATTTGGTTACGACCTTCAGATATTTCATAATGTATGCAAGCCACTGAGCAGCAACAGCAAAGGGTTATCTCTCTTTATTCCAATTCGGTTGCAGACGATATCGCAGTGACAAGCCATTGCCCGGAAGTTGCAGAGGATGGTACTGAGGGTTTATGGATGAGGATGTGTGTACTTTGCGAGTAAGAGAGATTAGCGGCTCTGCTGTCGGAGGCAGCTAAGCACCAGCTCGATAAAACTTTCCTGATGTCAGACTGCCTTTGGAAAGGCAAACAATGTTAATGCACTCGGAAATGTTTTTTAGACTCCCAAAAATTCAAATTTTCAACAAAATAGGGAAGTACTTCAAATATTCCCAATCATAAAATTGCATTAATTGGCAAAGCACCATTTATGCAATTTTTACTGCCATAATCTCATCAATATTGCGTTTTATCACGTTTTGGGAATACGTATATGTACATATAATTCTATGGTTTATATTACGTATACGCCTTGTCTGCTGTTGGTTTTCAAATATTGTGTGCTCCATACTGATGCTCACTCGGTGCAATTGAGTCTTTAGTTATTGCGGAAAAATTTTTAATACAAAAGTCAAATGTGTCATAAATATAAATCGATGCTTTGATATTTTGATATTCGAGTGTTTTTACGGTTGCTGGCAGCACACTCCGACCCACTTTCGCTTATTACTCAGCTCAGATGGTCGGCACACGTGAGATCCGACGGATGGGGGACCGAGGTAGACCCATAAAGCGTCATGTGGTTCGTAAACAAGGCCGAAGGATATATGCGGGGGACATGCCACCACCCACAGTGGTGTGAATTGCAAAGAAACCGAAACAGAACAACAGGCAATGACAGTAGCAGGAGCCACAACACAAATCCAGTGACGGACAAATTGTTTTTGCAAGGCTATAAATGTAAACAAAATTAACATATGCAAATTTTGCAAGCCCCCAGTGTGTGTGTATTAGTGCCTTTTGTTGGTGTGTGTGTGTGTGTGTGTGGGGCTTGACGCCAACGTTTGGCATTTAGACAAATAGGCTGTCTGGTGGGGCTCCTTGAAGACTTTCTGCTGGATTGTATCATCCTTGCGAGTTTGCTTCTTTTGTTGAAAAGTTGAGTTATGTGCGGAAAATGCAAAATACTTGGGTGGCACACACACGTCGGGGCCAAGTTCGCCTCCTTCGGCCTCTTTATGGCTGCGACTATTAAATACACATTACACGGACAATGTTATTATCCCTCACACAAGCGAATAACAATGATAGCCTTGATCGATGCGCCGCCAGTAGTCGGTATCTGAATGCTTACATAATGGCCAGGGGAAATCGTTAAGCTCAAAGGCACATGTTTTCGGGATTGTTACGATTACCCGCTGAGATGTTTGAATAAATATTAAAGAAGGATAAAACAGGAAGTCAAGAGTCCGCACAATGAACTACTACTCTTAGCCCTCAAATCTGTACGAGCACCCGGTAGTGATAACCTTATCACCTTTACGACCTTCGGAGTCATGCTAGAGAGATTCCCCGGCAACACCCATTCTTGGCTTCGATTATCACCAAAATGCAACAGATTATATGTTATCAGCCTACCTTTGGGGGAAAGAAAAAATCACACAGATAAGAGGTGCTCTTGGGTCGGTGGAAATTGGGAATTTCACTGTTGTTAAATCAGATTTTGGCTCTTACGAAATTCTTGGGGGATAACCAGTAGTAAAAGTGTTGGGGCCGGTCCCAGAGCCACCTCTTATAGTAAGTGGGCTGAACGGAACTAAGATAGGCCACTAATCAGGTCAACGTCACTGCCGTTTTTCCCCCATTTGAGAGATTATAATTCCTTCAAGTCAGACAGCCTGACCAATGCTTATTTTCAATGCGATTAGGTTAATAGAGTACCTAATTAAAAAATAAATTTTTTACAAGTTCCTACAATATTCAACAAAAATAAACGCTCTCTTTTAGACATTCTCCTCATAGATAATTCATAGACAACAATGATTGAAGATGTCACAAGGAAACAAAAGTTAAATGGGAGTGAGGTACTTCGGAAGGGGAATACCAATATATCAAAAAATACATTAGCAATATGAAAAAAATTTAATGACAATCTATCATTTGTTTAATTCGCAGGCAATCAACACTGAAATCAAATGGCTGACGATTTGGGGGATATAGGTACGTATAAACAGCCATCAATTTATGGCACATACTAGCCCGCATTAGTATAAACAGATCCGTCCATAATCCGCCTGGTAGTCCTTCCTGGTTCTCGGGTTAATGAATAATCTGGGCCCATAAGTCAATCGACAATGCGCTTAATTAGGCCGGGATGAAAAAGCATCGGATTGGCCGGGAATTTTTAGTGGCTAATTGAACATTGTTATTGCCCATGTTCTGGGTGAATAATGTGGAATAATGTTGATGTTGCCATCCGAAGCCTGTGGCAGAAACCGAACGCAAACGCAGACAACAACAAGCATGCCCGGCAGAGTGGCATAATAAGTCTGGCAAATTGCTGCGTAACTTTTGACGTCAGTGCCTCGACATCTGGCCATAGCCGAGTTCAAATGAACACTAGTGGCAGGAGGCAGAAGCCTTCCAGCCCTCTCACACCCTTTCGCCAAAAACAATGGCAACCTAATGCCACTGCCTTTCATGTACTATATATATACGCTCTATAGTCGGCGGGTATCTGATGGATTCGGAATTATCCACTGGCACGCAGTTTTCGATTTCCGTGTGCCCCGAGATGGATGATTTCAAATTCACATTCTAGTTTGTCGCTCTTTGACATATCCCTGTTCGAATTACGGAAAAGGTCATATGCCACAAAAGGATTATTATGCATCCAATTTGCCTCAAAAAGACTACTATTTCTTGTAATTAGAGCTAGATATTTTCTAACAATTTCCATTTGCGGAATTGGTGGCTTCGATTTGCGGTCAAAGGTAATGGGGCGCTCCACTTAATCTTCTGGGGCATTTCTGGGAAGCCCCCACCCTGCCAATACTTCCCCTAGCTTAAGCCAAGTTCTTCCTGGCACTCGGACTTATTGATTTTTGCGTATTACCAACCCTAGAGGAAATTATCAATGCCAGAATGGAGGAGAGCGATGGCGCCACGGGGGGCGGCCCTCCCCCGTCCGGGCAGCCAATATTCCCGCAGTCCACATCCCTGCCGGTAATGCCGTCGCACCTGCCACTCCAGTTCCAGAGCCCGGCACCACTGCCGCAGCCGAGCACCAGGTGTGGACCCCACCTGCGAATCGTGGAGCAGCCGACGAACAATATAATCCGCTTTCGCTACAAGTGCGAGGGCCGCACCGCAGGCTCGATTCCGGGCATGAACTCCTCGGATAAGGGCAAGACCTTCCCCACCGTGGAGGTGTGCAACTACGACGGCCCGGTTACCATTGTGGTGTCCTGCGTGACCAGCGACGAACCCTACCGCGCGCACCCCCACTGGCTGGTCAGCAAGGAGGAGGCGGACGCCTGCAAGTCCGGCATCTACTCTAAGCGCCTCCCACCCGAGGAGCGGCGGCTGGTGCTCCAGAAGGTGGGCATCCAGTGTGCCAAGAAGCTCGATATGCGTGAATCCCTGGTGAAGAGGGAGCGCATGAATGTGGATCCCTTTGGAGGTAGGTTTCCACTTGAGGTCTCTTTTCTTGAAACTAATCTCATCCCGCTCCTGATTTAGCCAAATTCGATCACAAGGACCAGATCGACAAGATCAACCGGTACGAGCTGCGTCTGTGTTACCAGGGGTTCATCAAGAAGGTGCCCCTGGACCCCATTGTGTCCTCTCCGATTTATGGCAAGAGCAACGAGCTGGCCATCGTCCGACTCTGCAGCTGCTCCGCCCCGGCTTCCGGCGGCACTGGGATCATCATGTGGTGCGAGAGGGTAGCCAAGGACGACATCGAGGTGGTATTCTACGAAACGGACAGGGATGGCCACGAGATTTGGAGTGAAATTGCGGAGTTCAAGCCAACGGATGTCTTCAAACAGACTTCCATCGCGTTCAAGACGCCGCGCTACAAGAATCCAGAGATCACAACAAGTGTTAACGTAAGTTTTGCTCTGTGAGGTCAGAAGCAAAGTAATTCAATTCTAATGAGCCAATAGACTATTAGTAATAGTAATTTCGAAAAATTTCCCAACCGCAATAATCTGATTAATCGTATATGCCGTCATCTGCACCTTTTTAATATACATACTTTCTCTCTCATCAGGTGAAGCTGAAACTTGTACGACCCTCGGATAAGGCGACCAGTGCCCCCCTGCAGTTCGAGTACTACCCCAAAACAGGTACGGTAACTTTTGACAGGCTGCAGCGCAAATTGAAGCGCCGCCAGGAGCTGGACATCTTCCAGCAGATTCTTTCCCTTGACAGCGAAACGACAGCCACGAAATACTCCTGCCCGCCGTTGGACCTTAACGATGAGGAGAACAACACGGTGTCCTCCGACGACCAACAGAGCTCGGGGACCCTCAACGAATTCGAGATTGCGGTTAAGAAGTTGCAGATGCGACACCGAGGCGAGTCCCACGAAATGGATGGCGGCACCGTGACCGAATACACGGATAACGATAACGAACCGGACATGGAAATTGAGTTGGAGGTGCCGCAATTGCTGCCCCAGCTGGCCGATGACTGCACGCAGACCTCCACGCCCATGGAGGAGATCCTGCAGCATCCGCAGCTGCAGCCACGACCTCTGACCAATGTGGACAAGATAACCGAGTGGATGAAGAGCAGCGAGTTCGAGCGAACGGACAGCCTAACGGTGGAGAACGGGGACACCATATCCCTGACGAACAGCACCGCTCAGACCGCGTTCACCAATGTGAGCAGCTTGACTGCCAACACGACCATTACTAACCAGTTGGACGACGAAGGCAATGGATGCCTGCCCACCACGGCCAACGGGTCGCGCCGGGACACCCTCGAGAATCCCGCCGTGAAAGAGCTGCCGGAAACCGAGAAGATGGAGCCGGAAATGGTCTCAGCCAGTGCCCAGGCGTCTGTGGACTTGGACGAGAACTTCGATGAGACGGCCACGTACACTAGCCTTCAGATAGCTTTCAATAATCCCGTAGAAATAGGAGCTCCGACCAAAGGGAACCAGCAACAGATTCACTACCCACCCACCAATCCATTCGGTCAGCTGGACGACGACGAATTGGTGGTTCTGACCAATCCACCGGCACCGAGGATTAAAGTTAATGCAGCCCAGACACCGGCCACGCCGCCAGACTCGCCGCCCCTACCGCTCCCACCGAGGACACCCTCGCCCGATCCTGAACACCGGCTGCCGCCCCTGCCACCGAAGCCGCAAAGGAACTCCCAGGACCTGAGTGTCGTTAGCGATTCGATATCCATAAACCGGTCCAGAAACGGCAGCCTCAGCTCGAACAGAACCACTCCCTCGCCGATCATTATTATGAGAACCCCAGACCAGAGTCCCACCAAAAAGCTACCCACTCCCAGTGCGTCTCCGAAGAAGCGCCAGGGATTCTTTTCGCGGTTCTTCTCCCGCCGCAGGAGCAAGGCCGAGGACGATGAGTCCTTGACCCCGGGAGCAAGTCCCAGCAAGCAGCAAGCGGGCGGTTCCAAAGCCACCACTCCCACCGGAAGTCGTGAGCCTAGTGTAGCCCACTTTTCTCTCGGGGATCCCAATCGCAGCTCGACCAGGTCCATGCAACCCTTGGGCAGGAGCGAGACCCGGAACGGCAAGCCCGTGGGGCGAAGCTCGAGCAGTGTTTCCGGGAAAAGACCTGCCCACCTGGACGCGGATGTGATTCACATTCCGCTGAAGGGAGGCGACAGCGAGAACAGCCTACTGCGGCCGGAGAGCTACTCCAATGCCAGTACCCTGAGCTATGGAAGGCCGCTGGATAGGAAGACCCTGAGCACCCTTCAGCTGGCGGATATTCCCATCAGCGATGGCAACATGGAGCTGATAGCCATTGCCGACAGGCAGAGCATCAAGAATCTCTGTGAGGGGGCCTATGGCGTGGTCCTCGATCCCAGTGTGGACTTGTCCGAAGCGGAACACTTTGCTCTATACACCAGCAAGAGTCCGGAGCCTCCGGAATCCGGCGAGGGCGGAGCGGCAGGTGGCGAGGCGGATGCGGCCGATTTCCTTAGCGCGGATGAGATAGCTCGGCGTCTGGCGGAAGCCAATGGATTGCAGTAGACAATGGGGATTGGGGGATGGAGATAATTGGGGTTTCGGGTAACTGATTGCATTTTCAAATTAAAATGAAACTTTTATATTTTAATCTAATTGGCAACACAGTAAAACTCAATATATTCGAAACTCAGAGCTTAAAAAAAGAACCCCCTATAATGTCAGTTACCCGGGGCTACCCGACACTAGTTAGTCCAACACAGCTATAACTATAAAATACGTTTTCTAGTCGTCTTCTATTTCAGTATTACAAACTACAATGGCTACACAACTTACTAGATTTAGAAAATGTTTTTGAGAGCACTTACCGAAACAGAAACTATTACTATTTTCTAACCACCCCGATATCCGAATATCGTTATAGACACCCGCATCCAGCACAGTCGTAAACTGATTGAAAGCATTAAGCGCCGACTAATGGAAACAGAATACTATCCATCCAAGCAGTTCAGAACGTCCAGTAAGTCCTCGAGAATATTCCGCATTTTTATTGGTGCTGGGACTAGGTTTCCATAATACAAATACATCACATCTACGTACATAGTTCCTAGAAACTCACACACACCACCCACACCCATTTTAATGACCATTTTGAGTAGAAAATTTTGAATATATAGATATACATACATTATATAGAGCAGGTGTTGATACACTGTGGACCAAAAGCGTTGGAAATTTTTTGAATAGTAGTCGGTAAAAATCTGGTTGATTAGGGAATAGATTATTGAGCGCCGTTTGAATTGAAAATATTTGTTCTACACATTCTAATTGTATTTGAATTTGAATAATAAACGTTTTTGAAAAAAAAAGTCATCCCGACAAGAGTTAGTAAAGTAATTCTTTTTTTAAAACTAATAGTCTTGCCTTGAAAAATCTTTAATAATTTCTTGCTGTTAATTTCCTTCCAATTAAACCACAAATTAAAATAATATTCTCTTGAGAGATTTAATTTTGGCAAATGGCAAGGTTGTTAAATGCCTCGGATCGCCGAGGATTTTCTCCATTTCTTGTTTTTTGTCTAGTTCTCCCCAAGCTTCATATTATAGCCCCCAAAGTTGGACATCAAACGAGAGTAAGTTGATATTGCCGCCTTGGAGGCAAGTTGATGTTGTGGCTGACCGTTGTCCTTTTTGAGTTTTCGCTTTTCGCAAATTGCTTTAGTTTCACCTCAGTTTCGCCTCAATTATGTAAATGCTTTTTGCATGCGGTTTACCTCTCCGTTCATTAAACTTTCCTCCGGCTTACTGTCATTCAAAGCATCTGGCTAATAACGTCGTATTTGTGCTTCCAGGTCCAGTTTCTGTGGTGCCCCCGCCTGAGCCAGGTCAGGCCACGGCACAGGCTCAGGTGTCGCCCAACCTGGCGTTGCTGTATCCTGGAAGGAGTCCCCAGCAGTTTGTGCAAGACATCAAGTTTGAGCCGGCCTCAGTGGATATGGATAGTCGGAGTAATCACTGGCCCGCTGGGAACTTTAACTATCCCTCGCCCCATTCCACCTGTAGCACAGTGGACAGTATACCACCGATGCAGATCGGCCAGAACACAAACCATTTATATTTGCCAGAGGCCTCAAACGTTTCTATGACTTCCTGCAGTCCTACTCACTTTAATGGTGGATCCATGACTCCCATCAACCAAAACAACAACAACAACAATAACATGATGATGAATAACAACATTAATTATATGGGAATAAGTGATGTGAACGCCATGAAAATGAATGTTATGAGTCCTGCGGCGGCGAATAATCAACATCAACAGGTGTTCCAACAGCAGGCCCAGTTCCAGTACCAGACGGAGCAAAATTCATATGTGTCGCAGATGCCTCCAGATCAGTACCTTCCCCAACTGCAGCCGGAGCAACATCAGTTCACCGAGGCTACCATTCAGCAGCAACACACCGAGGGCAATTTTGAAAATTTGAACTTCAGCGACCTGATTCGAAACGGCACCCCAATGGAGGCCATCGATTCGATTGATGAGACCCTAAGCGGCTTGGGGCTGGGAGGCGACGGATCTGTAGGTTTTGTGGGAACCCCACAAATGAACAACCATTTTGCCAATTACTAAATATACATATAAGCTTAACAAGCCACCAGAAGATTAACCAAGCTAAGAGATATGAATAGAGGTCTCCAAAAGACTACAACTCTCGTTATCCACATTTGTACATAAAGAATAATTTGTAAAAAATGAGACGGAAATGCGAATCTCATTGCCCTGTTAAAGCCCTGTTATGACTTTGTGTAGTTTTTAAAAGCGAAATTCATATTGTAAATGTTTTTTCTAAAATAAAGTATAAATTAAGATTTTTAAATTATGAGTATTCTAAAGGGAAAAAGGGTCCATTCGGTTTTATTTTCAGATACCGGGTCCAACAGTAAAAGATATTTGAAATACTAACAGAGGCCTGTTAACCACCGATGGCATTTAACATTTCCCAACACTGTTCGATAGACGATTCTTAAGCGGGAAACAAATTTCGATATAAATATATCTATTTTGGGGGACATACCGATACTTTGACGTCCCTGGATTAAACATCAAGAAGAAGACGTTGGTAAATTATTTGCAATTTTCGTTCATCATCCCGCCAAACTAACGCGTTGCTCCATTCAGACGGATTTAAATAGTTTGAAACGAAGTCCCGCTCCACCTCCGAGAGAAGAGTCGAAGAGATGAGTGAAATCAATACTACTACCAGCAATGCAGAGGGCGATGAGAATAATCCCCACGAGCAATCCACAATAACCATGGTGGATGTCCTCGAGCAGGAGAAGGAGCTGGAGGATGAGTATGCCGCTGTGCTGGGCGCCTCCGACGAGAAATCGTGTACGTACGCCAAGGGGCCCATTGGACGGCAGGCGCTATACTCATGCCTGACCTGCTGCCCGGAGTCTCGCGGTGATCTGAGCAAGGCAGCGGGAGTTTGCTTGGCCTGCTCCTACCGGTGCCATGAGAATCACGAACTGGTGGAACTCTACACTAAGCGCAATTTCCGCTGCGATTGCCCAACCAAGCGTCTGGGCAAATGCTCTCTAAACCCCCAGCTGGAGGGCGCCCAGTCGCCGAACTTGGCGAATCTCTATAACCAGAATTTCCAGGGATTGTACTGCAAGTGCAAGCGCCCGTATCCAGATCCCGAGCGCACTTCCGAGGAGGTGATGCTGCAGTGCGCCGTCTGCGAGGACTGGTTCCATTTGCCACACATGAAGGCTCCCGGCTCCAGCGAGAAGTGGTTGGACTCGTGCAGTGAAATGATCTGTGACGGCTGCATGGATGCCAAGCCGTTCCTTAAGGACTACACTGGCTTAGCCCTGAAGCCAGTAGTGGACGAGGCTGAGAAAGACGCCAAGGCGGACAAGGATGACAAAAAATCCAAGCCAGTGGCGGATGACAACCAGCTTAAGGATGAATTGGATCGCAGCATTTGCGATATTATGAAAGTGGCCGAAGGAGAGGAAGAATCTCAAGCAGACGATGAGCCTAGCAAGAAGCGTGCCAAACTGGATGATTGCCGTCGACCCAAGCCACTCCAGCAGCTCGAGGGTGAGTATATAGTCCAGAGATTAGTATATGCCTAATGAGAACTAACTTTAATTGGGAATCAAACTCAATACATAAACAGCAAGTCAAAGTTTTTCTTGCCATCGCCCAAGTAGAGGAAACCATGCTCGTGCGAGTCGATCTTGTGGAAGAAGGTCATGCCCAGCCAAAGGCACGATTTAATGACCACCAGGCGCTCATTCTTTTGAAGATTCAAAGCGAAAGCCTGGCCCAGCGGGATCACACAATCGATGGTGTCCAGAAAGTCAATGGCGTAGTTGTAGTCGCTTCTTTTGGCCAAGTTAATCTTGAGATCGTTACGGGGCAAGCGATACAGTTGGTAGTAGGATTGATTGTCGATCTGCAAGCTGTTGAGGCCCCGGAACATCTGGTTCGGTATCACACGGCCGTCGGTCATCTTGTAGAAAGCTCCTCGTGGGCAAATGGCACACTCTTCGGTTATAATAAACACAATGGCAGCCAGTCGCTCCTCCTCCTTTAGTTTGACCACCTCAGGTCGGCTAATCCCAGTAACATGATTACCCACCATGTCAAAGGTAGGATCCTGCAAGGAAGTAGATCCATTAAATCTCTATACCCACCGCTGGAAAGGACACATACCAATTTAACGTAGGTCAGCATGCTGGGATCGCCAATGAACGGCTCCCTGGCGAGAATAGTGGCCTGAAATATCTTGGGACTCTGGACGAAAGGCAGCAGCTGCCACTGGAACTGATCCAAACTATAAAAATACTTTCTGTCCTTCAGACAATCGTTAGTGTAGCCAAAAGCAATGTAGTAATCCCCCTTGGTGGCGGTGATGCGACCCCACAGATACATGCCCGAGAAGCGGTTATCATTTTGCAAGGCAATCAGGGAATTTTCAATCAATATGCGCTGCTCCGGCGAAAACTTCATGCCGCAGTACATCAGGGAGTCCAGCCCATCGGTGAAGTACTCTAGATTCATGGTAGATCTTTACAATTTAAACTTTTTGTATGTTAATGTGCTTTAGGCTTATAATGTTTGATTGAAAAGTCAGAACTAGATTGATTTGAGAGTCAGATGTGACTATACTTTTAATCTTTCTATTGCAGGAGCTGCCTTTTGGTCCAACGACTGGCGCAAGTCACTCTGCCAGTGCTCTGATTGCCTAACCCTCTACAAGGAGCTCGCTGTTGAGTTTTTGCTGGACGCCGAGGACTCGGCCAAGACATATGAGGAGCGCGGCATGAAGCGAGCCGAGGAGAACTCCAGCTACGAGCAGGGCATCCGCGCCCTGGCCTCCATCGACAGGACACAGCAAATCGATGCGATCACCGAATACAATCGTATGAAGGACAAGCTAAAGGAGTACTTGCAGGATTTTGCTGCCAGTAAGAAGGTTGTGACCGAGGAGGACATCAATCGTTTCTTTGCTGGAATGCGCAACGAGAACAATGCAAGCTTGGGCCAGCCGCACTTCTGTCGCTAAGCAGAGACAGGCGCATTATTATGTTCCCCTAGTATTACCCACATTCCTCATAAAGTCAAGACCTCATACATACCCATGTAGAATTATAAGATCGCTTATGCTGCGCTAAATTGAAAATGTAATGTGTTTCTATGGCCTTATCGGAGGGGACTGACTTAGAGCGCGCGTTTTAAAAATTCTAGTGTTACCATGTGAAAAAACTTTCGATCGTTGCCCATCTCTAGACAAAAGTTCTATCGATATGTACCAATCGGTAAAAATATCGACAGAAAGACTAGTGATGTACAATATCAGCTGTACGTACCGATTGACTATCGATAGCTCAAAGTAGAGATGCAAAAACATCGATAGTGAGTACATCGATGTTTTCCAACATCGATGTTTTCAAACATCGATGTTAAAAACATCGATGTTTTACTGAAAACATCGATATATCGCTGAAAACATCGAACAATTTTTAAATTTTTAAAATTTTTTTTTAGTTTTTTCTATTTTTTGCGCAAAATAGTTATTTCATAGTTGAATAAAAAGGAATAACATCTATATTTTAATTTTTTTATATTTATTAAGGAATTTTTGCTTAAAGAATATTTATAAGGAACATTTTGCTTAAAAAATAGTAACAATTATGACTTAATCAATAAGCCATTGATTTTGTTTTAGAAATAGTAATTTGTTAATGGCCTTTGGTTGAAGGCGAGATCTTCGTTCATTTGCGATTTGGCCCGCTTTGCTAAACGTTCTCTCTGATTCGGTTGAGGTGGCCGGCACACAGAGGTACTTTAATGCGCATTGCGCAAGGGAACCGCATTGGAGATAATTAATCTATAGCAATATAAAGTTATTAATCAAAAAATATTAAAAATACATCAATCTTACCTTCCAATATTCCAGAGGGTCCATTTTTTGTGGGGCATTTTGGTAGGTTAAGTACTGCCTAATTTCTACAATAGAATCTGATCTATTTGTTCTGGGTTTGTTCTTTATTTTTTCTGCTACAAATCCATATAAGTCGGACGGGTTGTCTACTTCTAGGGGCGGTTCCTCGTTGGGACAAATGTTCTGCAAATCTTTAACTAAGCTCAATTCGTTTTCCACAGCTGCGACTGCTTGCTCTGCATTTTTTTGGTTGTGGAATCCTTCTCGCTTGAACCTTGGATCAAGGATTGTTGTTATTCTAGGAACAGTTCTTGTTTCATAGGTTTGTAATCTGCTCTGTAGTTGGGTTTGTAAAAAAAGGCACGTATCAACGCCTACTTCAGTTTTCATTTGATACTTAAACTGGTCCATTTTAAGTATAAGGCCGAGAACAGTCGGAATTATCAACGATACTGTCACATTTTTTGCTGCTGATGTATTAACTGTCGCCGTTTCAAATGGCTCTAAGAGACAACACAAATCTTCAATAACAGAAAATTGTTCCTCCGTTAAAGGAGTTGGAGCCTTTAAGGTTTTCAGCAAAACTCCGCAAACTGCTTCTCGAACGACCAAAATCCGCTTCAGCATATAGAATGCGCTGTTCCAACGCGTTGGAACCTCTTGTACAAGATTTAAAGGCTTTTCAACGCCTTGCGCGGAACGTAGTTTTGCATAGGCAATTGCGCTGCTTTTAAAGAAGGTAACAATATTTTTTACTGACTTTAGAACGCTTTGAACATCTTTCAAAGCCAAACAGCTCTGAACAATTAAATTTATGGAATGGGCAAAACAACCAAGGTGTTTTTTTTTCAAAATTTCGCAAGCCTTTATCATGGCTGCTGCATTGTCAGTTACAATAGTGCTTACTTTGTTAAATATATCAAAATCAATACATATTGCTTTGATGGTTTCTGCAATATTGTTGCTACAATGATTTGTCTCATCTAAGAGAGGCTGAGTTGCCAGTACTACTGTTTTCAGCTCAAAATTTTCTATAAAGTGACATGTCAATGTAAGATAACAGGCATTTGCCTTAGATGTCCAACAGTCAGTAGTTAAAGAGCAAAACGGAATCGTGAGAAGCTTATTTTTTAACTTTGCCATAGTTTCTTCATACATTTTTGTTGCATGTACATTTTGTAAAGTAGTGCGGCTGGGCAAAGCATATTTGGGGTCAAGTAACTTTACAAAATTTCTGAAACCTTCATCTTCAACAATACTGAAAGGTTGTATATCAGATGAAACCATTTTTGTAAGGGCCCTATCCAATTGGATCTTTTTTGCTGAAGCGGTATCGTACAATTGAGATCGGAGTATAAATGCATCCATTGGCGCTACTTTAGCTTTTTTCATCTATTTTAATTGGGTGAAGGCGCCTCAGATGATCATACAAATTTGTTGTGTTTCCGGAAGTTTTGTATTCCTTTCCACACAAACGGCATTTCGCAAACAATTTGTTCTTGCATCTATCAAAATGTTTCCAGACGTCTGATCCGTTTTTTTTGGGTTTTTTGTTACCTGGAGGTTCACAGTCTATTTCACATTCAAAAGGGTCAGCGATCGAAGCAGCAGACGCAGGAGCAGCAGAGGCAGGAGCAGCAGATGCTGGAGCAGCAGACGCAGGAGCAGCAGACGCAGGAGCAGCAGACGCAGTAGCAGCAGACGCAGGAGCAGCAGACGAGGGAGCAGACGAAGGATCATATTCTGCAAAGTAAAATCGTAGTCAAAGCCTAAAGTAACAACTGCGGTGCGGTGTACTTACTTGTTTTTTGCAAGAACCTTTCCATATTTACTAAGAATTTCCTCGCAGAGGAACCGCCCAACTATGTTAAATCTTAAATTACCTGTAAATATGATGAAGGCAATGCATATTATTAATTCAATTAATTAATTTAATTGTAAAATTGTAACATTTAGTTACTTACCTCTGTAACTTTCGGTGTCTTTTTTCTTAGTGAAGTTAGAGATGCTAAAACATCGATGTTCTGAAAAATACATCGATATATCGACTTTTTAAAAAACCTCGATACTATCGATAGTGACATCGATGTTTTTGCATCCCTAGCTCAAAGACATCTAAGCGTGCAGAATATCGTAAACAATTCGCATTTTTCTGTAATTTGACAAATTAACTTCGAAAAATGAATGCGCCACCAACATTCGAATCATTCCTGCTGTATGAAGGCGAGAAGAAGTAAGTTAAAAAATGAAACACACATGTAGTAACACATTTAATTTACTTTTATTTATTTTTTGGCAGAATCATTAAGGAATTGGATACAAAAGTGACAAATGCGGCAATATTTACAATAAATAAGGAGGATCATACTCTGGGAAACATGATCCGCAAGTAAGAGCTATCGTTTACCTTTATTTGTAAAAATGAACCCACTTATTTCGATTGCAGCCAACTGTTGAAGGACCCGAATGTTTTGTTTGCCGGCTACAAAGTGCCCCATCCCCTGGAGCACAAGTTCGTCATCAGAATCCAGACTACGGCGGACTACTCTCCACAAGAAGCCTTCATGAATGCTATTACCGATCTGCTGGCTGAGTTGTCCCTTTTCGAGGAGCGATTTAAGGTAGGATACTACATGCTGCCAGTAAACAGGAATATTTTCAAAGCCCTTTTCTTTCCAGGATGCCATTAAGGAGAAAAAGGAGGGCGGAGATTAACTTTAAACTATAATTAAAAGCCAATAAACTCTCTCTTTCGTTCCACATTATAATTTAAAATTTTTCCTTTTTACAATATTTTTACATTCAAAAAATACGAAACAACCGCAAGTGATTCACACGTCGCATTAAATAAATAAAAACAATTTAAAATAGACTACATTCCACGCATCTGTAAAAACGCAAGATCACAATTTGAAGTATAGAATGTTTTTTGTTAGCTAGAGTGAAGCTCTCTCGACGAGGTATGTTGAAAGGTAGTTCATCTGATCGATCTCGCAATACGGTTAAGTCCAAGGGTCCAAAACAAGGTAAGCAGGAATTTAATTTAAAAATTTGGTCTATAACTAGTAGGTCTCTTCGTCGGCACATTCGCTGGTATCGTGGCCAAAGACTGGAAGGGAAGACTTGTCTTTAAGGTTCAAAGAATAGGAATAAAGATTGCAACTCACCCTCGCAGGACTCGCAGTACTTTCTGGGAGCAGGAAGCTTTCGGTCCTTCTTTTCGTTGTTGTTGGCTTCAGTGGAGGGGGGCGGCGAGTCATCCCGATCATCACCGGCCTGGATGGGACAGTCCTCTGTCTCGTGCTTGTCGAACTCGTCACAGATGTCGCAGAAGAGTCGAGGAGCCGGTTTTCGCTTGGTCAACACATCAAAGGCATGGGGTCTGAGGTTCAAATAAAATATTAAAATATATATTTTAAGTCTGTAATTAAATCTTAATACTTGGTAAAGTCCATGGGGAGAGTTTCTAGGGTCTGGACCTTGGCCTTGAGGGCATCGTTCTTTTGCTGCATGTCTGCAATGATCGAGTTGAGGAAGTTGATCTTGGCCAGGCTACTGTCGTTATCAGAGCCCTAGAAAAGTATACAAATTTTTATTTAAAACATCACCAAATAATTAAGGAAACTTACCTCCACATCGCCACCACCACTGGACTTGACTGTCGCTCCATTTACCTGAGCCTTGAGTGAGAGAATCTCCATGGACCTTTCCTGATCGAGCGACTCCAACCGACGCCTCAGTTCCGTCATCTCGTAGCTAGCTGTCTTTTGGGCTTCGTTGGCCAAGTGCAGGGCCGCCTCCAGCTCAGCGACCCGCTTTTGAAGCTGCTCCAGCAGCTTGGACTTCATGGAGGCCGTCTCATCCATTTCATCGATGACCTTTTGGTACTCTGCCAACTGGGAATCGAACTCGTTGCCCTTCTCCAACAGGGCCTTGCTCTGCAGCAGGGATTTCTGGAGCTCCTCATTAGCTTGCCTCAACTGGCTTATCTGCTCGCTTAGCTTCGATGTCTCCTCCAGGAGGTCCCTCTCCTTCTGCTGAGCCTTTTCCAGCTTATCCTGCACTTCGTTGTGGCTTCTCTTTTGGTCTTCCAGCTGGCTATTGCTATCTTGAAGTTGGGTTGTCAGACTCTTTAGAAGCTCATCCTTTTGGCCAACCGATTCCTGCAGCTCGGCGTTGGCTTGCTGGAAGTGACTTAGTTGCTCTAGTACCGCCTGCGATTTGTCTTGCAAGCTGCCCTCGTTCTCCTGCGCCTTCAGCAGAGTTTCCTCCAGATTTTTGTTTATTTGCTTTTGATTTTCGAGTAGCTCCTTCACCTTCTGGAGTTCTCCTTCATAGTCCTTGACAAAGTCCTGAGCTTGGCACAAGGCTACTCCAGCCTTATCGCTGCTTTCTTTGATTTTCTCCAGCTCCTCAGATAGCTTTGAAACCTCACCCTGCAGGTGCTTCTCTTTTTCTTCAAACAACGTGCGTTGCTCCTCCCAGTTCTTACTTTGCTCCTTCAGGGTCTCTTCTAGTTTCTGCCTAGCTTCTTTATCCTTCAAGACCTGCTCCTTGAGCACCTGGTCCGTTTTCAAGGATTCTTTTAGTTCTTCGTTTAATTTTTCTAGCTTTTCTTCTAGAGTCTTCTCTCTAACCAAAGCCTCTTCCAACTTTCCCTGTAGTTCCTGAGAAGATTTCGTTTTGGCCTCCAGTTGCGAGCTTGTATCTGTAAGTTTTCCCTCGAAATCCAAGACCAGCTCCTCCTTAAGTTTGAGGGACCCCTTGAGTTCTTCCAGAGATTTTTGAAGTTCCACAACATTATCCGCTGCGTTGATGGCGTCTTTCTCGATTCCCTGCTTACTCTGCAGCGCCTCCTCCAGTTTCTGCTCGAGTTCTTGCTGTTTCTTGCTTCCCTCCTCCACCTGGACATGGGTTTCCTTCAGCTCATCCTTCATGGCTGTGAGCTTCTCGATCAAGCGCTCGGCATTCATGTCTGCCTCCATCTCGAAGAGCTCGAATATGTGGTTCGTCTCGCTCTTTTCCGCCTGGAGCACTTCCAGCACAGTGGAGAGTTCGGCATTGGTTTGGGATATGTTGGCGTTGGCCACCTGGATGGCCTCCACTAGAGTCTTCAGGTCCGATATCTTCTGAGCGTCTTCGGCGGCCATCTTCTCCTTGTGCTGGATCTCTGTGTTGGTGATTTCCAGCCGCTCCTGCAGATCCTTGATGGTCTCCTGAGTCCCACTGCTCAGCTGCTTGTTCTCCGTCTGAGCCTTGGACACCTGCTCCTCCAGCGTCTTGATGGATTCGCTCATCGAAGCCTCCTTCCGTTCGCCCTCAGCCTTGAGGTTCGTTTGAGCATCCTGACTGTCTTGCAGCTGCTGGCGTAGATCCTGAAGCTCCTTTTCCTTTTGCAGCATCTCCTGGCTCCAGGCATCCGCCTTGCTGGTCAGCTCCTTCTGGCCGGTGGCCAACTCCTCCGAGAACTTGGACAGCTTCGAGTGCAAGTCGGTGCTGGAGGAACGCTCCGCCAACAGTTCCGCGTGAAGCGTTTCGGTAATCTCCTTCAGTTGATCTTCCAGGTGGGAAGCCTCTGCTCGGGACTCGGCGTAGTCCTTGTTGACCTTCTCCAGAGCCCCGTTGGCCGCCTCCAGCTGTTTGGTCTTGGACTCCACATCGGTCTGACTTGAGCAGAGCTTCGACTGAGTCTCCTCCATTTGGGACTTGAGTCTGGTGATCTCTTCCTGCAGCTTGGCCGCCTTCTTGGTTTCCTCGTCGAGTGAGCCATTGGCTGCCTCCAGCAGCTTGGCTTTGGCTTCCACATCAGACTGAGTTGACTTCACCTGCGCTTGGGCCTTCTCCGCCTCCGCCTTGAGCTGGCTAATCTCCTCCTGCAGCTTGGCCAGGTTTTTGGCTCCCTCCTCCCCGGAAGCTGCTGCCTGCTGCTGGAGTTGCTCCAATTGGGTTTGGCTTGTTTTCAGGGCATTTTCGGTCTCTGAAAATCTAGTCTGGAGTTCCTCAAGTTGCGAGTCCTTCTCCTTGGTGGCTTCCTCCTGGCTCTTCTTCAGCTGCTCCTGGCTAGCCAGTAGACTTTCCTCCACTTGAGTTTTTTCCTCCAACAGTTTCTGGAACTTCTGGATAACGGCGTTGGAATCGACTATCTGGAGATCCTTTTGAGTATTTTCTTCCTTGGCCTCCAGGAGTCGAGAGTTGGTTTCGGCCTGCTCCCTTTGGCAAGCTTCCAGTTCGGCTTGCTTGGCGGCCACTTGCTGCTCAGCGGCCTCCTTTTCTGCCTTAACTTTACTAATTTCGGATTCTAGCTCCTTCCTGACTAGCTTCTCCTGGTCCACCGACTGCTCCGCTTCTCTTAATTGCTTCTGTAGTTGCTCCTTTTCTTCCTGGTTCTTGGCCACCTCTTCCTTGAGCTTCACGATCTCCTTCTGACTTTGTTCCAGAACAGAGTCCTTCTCCGCTCCCCCAGCCTGCTGGAGCTTCAGCATCTCATCGAGGGCGGAGCTGTCAGCCTTTTGGACGTTCAGTTGGGTGGTGAGCTCATCCACCTTCTCGCTCAGATCCTTGATCTGCTCGTCCCGCATGCGCACCTCCGTCTGCAGGATCTCGCACTCGTCCGTTTTGTTGGCCCGCTCGTTTTCCAGCGAATCTGAGGCCGCCTTCAGCCTGAGCAGTTCGCAGCTGACCTTGTCCAGCTCCTCGGATTTGGCGGCCAACTTTAGGGCAAAGTCCGCCTGCGCCTCCAGCGCCTGCTTCTCGTTCTCCTCCTTGAGCAGGGCCAGTTCCCGGCGCAGATTCTCGATGCCGCTCTGCGACAGCGAGAACTTCTCCAGGGACTCGTCCTTGCCCACCAGCTCGGCCTGGAGCGTGGCATTCTGTTCCTCCAGATACTTGACGTTCTCCCGCAGACGTTGCTCCTCCTCTTGTTGCTCCGCCAGCCGGGACTCCGCCTCCCTTTGCTGGGCATTGAGTTTCTCCTGCAACTGGGCGATCTCCTCTTTGAAGGCACTGTCATCGGGTGGCGAGACAGGGGGCGGCACACTCTGCAAACTAGGCGTGGCTAAAGGGGGAAATATTATTCAGCTGGTTTGTGGAAGAATGGTTGGTAGAATGGTATTACCCGACACCAAGTTGGTGATCTTTGATTCCAGATCATGGATCTTTTCCTTGTAGACCTGAGACTGAGCCTGAAGAAAGATAGGAACTTGTATTATTGGGTCTTGGGTTTTGAATATAGACTGGCTAAAGGATTTGGATAGATCTCTCCTAATTTATGAATTTATTTTTATAATTTTAAATTTAAAATAAATTAATTTAAAGGCAATTATTGGGGTTTGTTTAATTGAAGCTTTTCTTTGGGGCTTGGACTTTTTTATAAAAAACTGTAGCATACTTTCTGCCACTAAAAGAAAAAACCACCAAAATTGAGGTGAATTTTTTAAATTAAACAAATATTTATGGATTTTTTAAGCCAAAGACTTGAATTTATTTATTTTTTAAAGCATAAAAAAAGGCATTCTACACTGTAAAAAATAAAACCAAAGCTAAGTATCAATAAATCAATTAATGAAAGGTAAAAGATACTATATCTTAGATAAGAAACTATCCAAATCCCCTGTCCCAAGTCTAAATATTCTAAATCTCCTCCTTACATTCAACTCATCACCACAAAACTGAGCCTCGTCTACGGAAAACTGCAATTCTTCGCTCTTCTTGCGCTCATCCCCCAACTCGGTCTCCAGCTCGACTATTCTGGCCTTCAGCTGAGGATCGGGATCAGAATCGGGAATATATAGAAACAGAATTAGCAATCGTAGTCAAGACCATAAATAAAACAACATTGTTGAAATTGTTAATGTATTTTTCTTTATAAAGTAAGTAAGTAATATATATCGTATATATCGTATAAACTAAACCAACAGCAAGAAAATTCGCTTTCGTACAAAATAATCAAAAATTGTTGAACAACTTTTCCATATTCCATAATATTTTCGTATTCTTTTTTTTTTTGGCCAAATAACCATTTATTTAAGATAGTTTTTTATTCGTTTTGGTTTTATGGTTGGCCTTTGTTATTTTTCGCATGTATCTTGTAGATACTTTATTCTGTATTTGGTTGTATTTCAGCTTAAAACGCTGTGCAGACTTCATCAGTTGTCTTCAGTTTTCAAATCCTTTCTCGCTCCGAAGAAAGTTGCTTTTGAGCCACTCCAATTCCAACATCCAGGACATTTCAGGACATTCACTTGACACCCAGGGGGGTGAGGACACTGTGCAGGATGCAGTGACTCTCGTGCTTGCCCGACCAGCCGCGGAACTCGCGCCGCAGATCAGACAGCCTTATGCTATGCCGCGCTATCAGACGTCTCCAGCGATCCGCTTCGATCAGTATTTGCTATAATCATACAAGTACTATATATAGAAAATCTGCAAACAGCCTCTCTAATCTCTAATTGGTGGTTGGATTGGTTGGTTTTGCGTTAAACAGGATCAGGATGGATGGTTGGATGGGTAGGTAGGTAAGTGGGTGATAATTTTGTTGCTAATTTTCAACTCAAACTCACAGATAACAGCTACCCAGTAAGGTAATTACAAGTACAAACAGTTTATTCAAAAAAGTAACCAAACAGAAAGCACTGAAAACTGAATCATCCCAGACAGTCACCTCCGAAAATAGTCTCCCCAGAGGTAAGGGCTGTAGGCTTTTGAAACAAAATGTGGCAAGGTGTGAATAATTAATGCAAATAATAATAGGTACTATAGTAAGTAATACTATCTTTAAGGTAAATGATAGCTGAAGGTTGGATTGTGAGAGATTCTTCTCCAAAAGAACCTTAATTTATGAAGGAAGATTCTATATACTTGTATGTATATTTAGGATTATAGGATATGGTTGCAGACTTGTCAGATAATCCCCTTAACCCTTAACCCTCTGTTAGCCGAATTTAGACCGAGTTAGATGACCCCTTCATGCCTAGTTAGACCTTCTCTCAGCCTTCAAGATTAATTGGATGAATCATTGTTGGGGAAAATGACTGACGGATGATGACTGACTCGGGTTTTCTGACTCCACCACTCTGGCTTCTGGTTAAGAACGAAAATTAGGGGGTGCTGACATTAAGTGAGTTTGAGTTAAAATCACAAACAAAACAAAAAAACACAAGACCATGAAAACAAAAAATGTTAACAAAAAACAGGCAACAGGGAGGTAACCAAACGAAAAGGAAATGATTTCCCCAATGAGTGTGGGAGTGTGGGAGGTGGGTGGTGGGTGGTAGGGGGTGGTGGGTGTGCTGAGCCAGCAGGTGCAATGCAGAAACAAAAACATAACACAATTAATCGAAACCGAAACTGCACAAGTGACTGGGCAGCTGGTCAGCCAACTGGAAAGAGTTTCTTTTTATCGCAAAACCAGACTTTCTTTGGTTTGGACTGCTGGTGTTGGGGCTGCTTCTGTTGCTGGAGTGGCTGCCTGTTGCATGTTGCTCCTCCTGCCAGTGATGGTGGCTTTGTGGTGCTCGTTATACTGCTGCTGAGGGTGGTGGGCACCCAGAGGTGACGCTGCCTGGGCTTCTTGGCCGGCAGGAGATAGGGTCGCGATCGGTCCGCATAGGGCAGCGGTGTGTACATGGTATCGGTGAAGATAATTACCTCGTTGATGTTCTTCTGCAGCTGCAGCGCCTGGTTCTGGGCATCCTCTCGGTCCAGGTCCCGCTCCACCATCAGCTGCTCCACATGTTGTTGCTTCTCGCGCAGCAGATCCTACAGAAGGGATCAGGGTATAGAAGCAAGCTTATGATATATGCCCGACAAACAGACAATATAGAGATATAGGTTGTGGGTGTATATGTACAGTAACAGAAACAGAAACAGAAACAGGGTGCAGCTTGTAGCAATAGCTTGTGGCAAGAGCTTGTGGCATTCATTACCTTTACCGTTGACAGCAGACACACATGCATTATAGCGATATATACAGAGAGACATTCAAAGCGTGCAGGAAGTACTTGAATAGATCTTATTTTTAAGGGATACGGAGTGTAATAAAAAACAAAGAGTTCATTGCCAGAACATTTATTATTAAATTACAAATTCTGTTTTTTTTTTGGAAGGTGGGATAGGTGTGTAGTGTAGTGTAGTGTGGTATTAGTATCTATGATTAGTGGTACGTCTTAAGAGCTAAGTGTTAGACAACAAATGTACACAGGGAGTACCCGAACCCAGTGGCCAGCCATCGCCCATGGGTTGGACGAGAGCTCTCCAAGCTTATAGGGCTACTTAAGACCAAAGGAACACCTTGTGGATATTGGTTTTTTTTTGTTAGCATACCTGCATGGAAAACTGGGATTTCGGCGTCGCTAGTATTGGCTTAACGGGCGTGCTCGACTTGCGCTGCTAGGGATTGCGATTAGAATTGTAACTTAGTTAGTACCGAGGCTCGAATCAAAATCAACAAGGGGCGTCAATGGGTTAATGGGTCAAAGTTGAAAGTAACAAAAATAAACATAAACTGTAAAGTGTAGCCTAACTGTTTGGGGTTTGGGGAAGAGCAAGGAAGGCTCTTCTCAAGGACACCGCTTATACCTGGGCATTCATGCGCATGCGCGACGTGTTCGTGGTAGCGATACTGTTCATGGTCCCTATGGAGGTCAGGGATTCCCTCGATCCGGTCCTTGAGAGGCGCGTCTTCTTCGAGGACGGCGACAGGGAGACCTTTGCTATCGGTACAAACACACCGTACTTGGGCTTGCATTCGAAATATCTACAAAAAAGGGGGGAGGGGGTTATTATAATCCAATAGATATCCCATTAGGGAACAGTACCTTATACCATCAACAGCTCCATCGTTCTTGCCACTGGCCTCGTCCAGTTCCACGCCACACCAGTTGCCAGGAGCGAACTGCGTCTCACCCAAGTAGCGTAGAAGGCCAGGACGACTTCCGAATCCCGAGGAGACAATCACCCGATCCCCCACAGTAAGCCCGTTTTCTGAAAGAGTATCTTAGAGTATCTCCCAAAGACTGAGATGAGACTGAGATACTTACTGCCGATTCCGGGACTGCGAAGCATGGAGCTCCGGATGCTGGCCGTTGGGGACACAGTCCTCGATCTGTCTGGGGAGTTCTTGGCCAGGGGCGAGGTCGGGGTCTGGGCCCCGGACATCGGGTATGTGGTGAGTCGCGTGAGCCGAGAGAAGATGCCGCACTTGGGTTCGCACTGGAAGTAACGCTTCCCAGAAACACAGCCATCGTTTTTCCCTAAAAAGTGCGAGCTGGTTAGAAGAGGTCCTCCAGGACTAGAGTATAGATCTTACCATTGGGCTCGTCCAGGACTATGCCCGCCCAGTCGCCAGGGGCAAAGTGTGTCTCGCCGATGTAGGCAATCTTTCCGGACCGGATGCCACCCACCCAGACCCGCTGGCCGATGATGAACTGGTCTGTGTTGGCCGTCAGTACGGCGCTGTTGTGGTCTGCCGACCGATGGGAAATAAATATCAAGTTGGGAGGTCCATTAGTCTCTATCGCCAACTAAGTCATCAATCAAAGTACACTTTTTACAATGCTACAATTGGCCTGACTGCGTTTTCATTTATCTCCCCAGTATGGTTCATTTTTTATTGCCCGGCTATGATGTCATCTATTTGCATATCCCGGGGCCTCAATGGAAAGCCATTGAGAGCGAGTGATCCCCCGCATAATGGATATCGATGTTTAAACTTGACTTGAGGTTAAAGTGTTATTCTAGATAGATACTCTACAGGTCTCTGAGGTCTGAGAGGTCTGAATGAAAAACCATTAAGTGGAAAATTGCAGGAAATAAGCCGATTATTGCATGCAACCCAATGAAGTCATAACAACAATTTGCCAGCCATCCAGCCAGCGTGTTGTGTCAGTAGAGTTTATATCATTCCTGCTGGCTGGCTGGCTGCATCCACCCACACCCATTAGATATGGCAACTGGCTCATGATTCTGAACTGAACTACGCCTCAAATTTATTACCTCGTTCTTTGGAGGAGAATTCAAAGCTTAAATGGCTTTTCAATTCATAAAATCATAACCTTTTGTCTATAAAAACAGCTCTTAGATTCATTAATTTTCAAGCTGAATATTCATATTTTATTAAAAATAATTCTGCATAATTAATAAAACTCAAACTTGCCTGTAAAAATATTAGGCAACCCAACTCCCTTCACTTAAATTACCATAAACCCTGCTCAGCCACTTAATTTAATATTTTCTAATCATTTTATGGATTAAGTTTCCCCATCAATTTATTTCCCATCAAAACCGTAACGACTGTGGCCCGAATTCGTTAGCCCTTACAGACCTTAACCCTAGAAAGACCTTGTCTTGAGTTGACTTGCAAATATTGTCGCAGCCACCGTCTGGCTCATTAGAGACGCAATTACACCCACTGAGATAACCTCATTAGGCTCTAATTTGACAATAGTTTGGGCCTCTGAAGATACATGTCTTGGATTGGATTGTATCTTATAGATCGTGTACGTGGAATAGTCAGTTTGGTCATAAATTGTGCGCTTTTTGCCGTTTAAGGAGCGAGCAAGTAACCCAGATGCATAAGATAGCCACCTGCGCACATGGCCAGAACCCGCTTTGCAGATACAAGATACAAAGATACTTTTCATGAGCCACCCACAATCGAGTGGAATGCTGTGTATGCTTACCTGAGCTGCGACGTCGCCCAGTGGCTTCGAGATAATAATCATCTTTTTGCAGATACAAAAACAAAGATACAAAAACAGATAAAGATACATGCTGAGATGCTGGGAGCTGGAAGGAACTTACAAGATGCGCGACTTCCAGCCTCCGACTTGAGGGAGCGGCGAGCGGGCGAGAAGCGGTCCCAGTCGGACGTGGGTGAGAGCGAGGAGCGCGTAAAGCGTCTGACGGTCTCTTGATAGAGATCTGTACATTATATAGATATATATATATACAGAGCCATGAGAACTGCATTCGCAAATAGTAGTATTTAGCATTTGGCGTTTTTGGCCAAGTTGTTAGCCAACAACAACAACAACAAGCTCTCTCATAGCCTTATATACTACATATGTATGAGTGGTTATCGGTATTGGTTAGAAATTAGCGCATTTGTGTTAAGCCCAATTTGCTCATTTTTTTTTTGGGTTGTGAAAGTTGGCTAATAAGATCTTGGCCGCAAGCAGTTGTGGTGGTAGAGGTTAGAGGCAGCGAACGAACGGTAATCCGAGATGTTATTAGACCCGAAATACAAGTCCAAGAGGCTAGAGGGGCTATTATCTTAGATCTTAGATCTCTCAGATCTATAAAAACTAACCATGACTGAGCTACAATCCTGAATCATAAACGTATCTCACAAGACTCCCCAATTATCATTCTTGAAAAGCTTTCATGCCAAAACACTTATGGATATTCTTTCACTTCCCTTTGGAAGCCCCACTTTCAAAATCAATCTTTCTTCTCTCTTTCTGAGGAGAAAGAGCCATATAATTCCATAAATCAATTAAATTGTCGACAGTTTGGTAACGTTTTCAAAGCTCTGAATGGCAGACAGCAGGAGACTCCACAGCACAAAGGAGTATCTGCGGAGAAGACACCACAAAGATTTCAATTTTCAATTGCACGATTTCGGTTTCCGTTTACTTTTCAGATACAGATACAGATACAAAGCTCTATACAGTCTTGTAGTTAATTGTGTTTTTGTCAGTTGGAATTGCTTTTATTATTTTTTTGCTTTTTTTTTTTAATTTACACCAGCCATGCTGCTGTGCCTTCTTCAGCTACTCGGCTACTGTTTTTGGCTAATCAAGCCCAGGCCATGACACGCCAACTGGCTGGTCTTCAAGGTTCGGATACAGATCGTGCAAGACTATTTGTTATTATTTGCCATTATACATCATGACGGTAGCAATTTATTTTGTATCTCGACCTGTTCATAGATACTTTTTTTAATTATCTTGTGTGTGTATCTTTTGCCAGCCAACTTTCACTAATTGTAAGGGGCGGACATTCTCAGTATCTCGCTGTGAGTGCCTGGCTTTATGTAATGTTTCGAGCCGGCCAATGCCAGCCAATAAATCACACTCGACTCGATCGCTACCTTCGCTAATTTAGCCCCCCCTGCCTGACAGCCATTCCCCCCCTCCAGATAACATGCAACATTTAACTGTGAAACGTCATCTGTAGCTGTCGATTCTAAAAATACGCACGCACCTAGATGACGAACACGAGCGATTTCCTTGCAGTTGACATTCAGTGTCGCAGCTAATGAACTCATGTATCTGACAGATACGCAGCGTACACTGCCCGCCGATGGGTGATTCATCAAAGCACACCGCTGCCAGAGATGCTAGTGGCGCCGCTGAAACTTGGCTTCGACCCACTTTGTGCACGACTCCTCTACGATTCTGGCCAAAAAGATACACACATATTCGCGGGCACCTTTTACGGAGCACCGATCGCGCGCTGCCCGGCGATAAATCAGCCAACAGTGCTGGTCATGTCACTAGCCCATTATCTCTCGAAATGATTAAACAAACATTTAATTAAACTAAACTGTGTGCAGGTATCTTGGCTACAGTGTAGGTTGCAAATGCAGTTTCCAATGTAGGCTTGGACACTGAGAATAAATCTTTAGGATACTACGATATCTACAAGATATATCTACAAGTATCTGAGATACTTTTACTGCTCTGTGATGCAACTGAGCTGCCCACATGTCGTGCAGTTGCCTCCAGGCTCGGACTTACATGACTTTTTGGCATTTTGAATGCAAATCCATCTGCGAGTGCCGACAAAAGCTGATTATTAGCTGTCGCAGTTGCAGCTCGAGATCGAGCTCGAGCTCGAGAGGTTCCTGATCACTGTGGGCAGTTCCCAGCAGCTCCACCAAGCCAGCTACAGTAGAGCTTTTAATTGAGGTAGCAGTCTGGGTTAGTCGTCTGAGTTAAGTGGGTTTTGTGATAAAAATAAACCACCTGGAGGTGTGGTTACAAGCCCCCTTTTACTTGTAAGCTTCCTTGTCATTAGTTAGTGTCCATTTTAGTGAGTAACCACTGCCACTAGCATTATATTTATCTCAATCGATTTAATCTCCGCTCATTGTTCTGGGCGCCCATCGGTAATTGCATCGCTAATTCAGAATGAATATTTATTTATTCGATTGCTGGAAATGTTAAATGCTTTCAACAGGAACCTTTGTGCGACAAACTAGAATTTCGCCAAATAGAAAACTGGTTCTCCAGATGAAGATGCTTACGTGACAAGGCGTGTCCCACATATATATTAATTATAGATATATACTAGATACCTATACTCTAAAGTAAATACCCAAAAAAAAAACAACCGGTTGGAACGCGTATTTCGCATTACAATTTCGATTTGTTTCGAGAGCTTAGAACGTGTTTCGAATAATGCGACAAAATCGAGAGGCCATGTGGCAGCAGAAGGGCAGCCTGCCAGTTGAATGAACATTCCAATACCAGACTTGGGGGGCTAATGGATTTCCCCCTTCAGCTATGGCAAAAAGCGATTAAAATTATGACTTATCATAGCCGATAGTCGGCCTTAATAGACCTTTGATTGCGCCTCTCAGATCGTGGGATTGTTTTGAGATTCTACTTCGATTCGAGCTCTATCGTCTATGAATTAATTACCAGCCTGATAAGATATCTAATCTTGAAGATAGAAGCACTATCTTTAGTGTAACTAGTTAGAGATTTCTTTAGAGACAAGTTAATTAGACTCTTATTAATTATGATATTCCCAAAATGATCCTCATCATCAAGCAATTAATTGAAAATTAATTAAAAATTAATAATGTCATGTAAGGAGATTAAATAAAATCGCATTCAGCAAAAGCCCAATTAAAGTCATGTGTAAATTATTAAAAAAATGCCATAAAAATATAAAAAATAAAAATCATAATTACCTGTGTAAGCCGAATTAATCGAACTCAAGTCATCGCTTTCACGACTCATGCTGGCTGTGTCTAAAAATTAAAAATTAAAAAATAAAAAAAGAAACAAGCACAAAAGCGCAAAGGTGAGCAAACAAAATAAGAGCATAAACTTAAAAATTAAAAAATAATTACACCCATGGCTTTATTCGGGCCATGGTAACGGGCCAAGAAAGCTTAGCCCCCAAGTGGTTATTAGTTGTGGGTCAACTTCCCACCCCTTGAGAGTCGCCTTCAAGAAAGATTAGATAACCAGATGAGTGTTGGGTGAAGGTATGGTTGGAGTGGCTTTTCAAAGAAATTGGAGATACAATACTTCCCGGATCTCAAGCTACACAGATTCTGCAGAAAGAGGGGCACGTTTTCAAAGCTCGTAAGCCAAAAAAAAAAATATCAAATTACTAATTTGATATAATTATGATTTTTATCATAAGATACCACCTCTTTGATTTATACTTGTCTTTCAAAGTCAAACTTGACATACTTTTAGCCTAAAAATATATGCAGATGAGTTGGCTAACTAGCCAAGATTTTAATTCTAGACCTATTCTAGTCCACAAAGTCCCAATAAAACAAATGTCACTCCACCTGCCCCGGGTAATAATATCTTAAAACAACTCTTCTCATAACATAAGCATATGCCACACGAGCCATCCATCAATATCTCAAAAAATCTCCGAAAACCAGCTCCTATCTATCTGAAACTCAGAACGAAACTAGACACGAAGTATCTCTGACATTTGACTTTTTCCACCTGCAATCAATGACTGTTTACCTTTAACACAAATAACTGCCAAATCACCGAAAAACAAACAAAAATATTCTCCTTAAAATAATACTCTTCTCCCTCCACTTGTGATTAATTAATATTCAGAGAGACGCGTGTGTTTCGATCTCCAGATAAACAAACAAAAACAACTTAATTATGGGATTGTTTTTTGCCGAATTATGAGTCTTCAAGAAATGGCTAAAAGCTATGTATTTGGTCAGTGGTCTGCGGTGGTGCAACCCACACGCGATTGCCATTCCAATTAATTTTGATGGAGCGTTCGATCGCCGGCTAAGGTGTGGGCGGGTCGCGAGCTATAACTGTTTTTCGAAGATGGACACTAATGTCATCATTAAATAGAAGTTCATCATCCATCATCTTTGGCTCTCAAAAACCCAATATTTAGTCAAGCACGTGTATTTCACATTTTTATTAAATTTATTTTCCAAGATCTTACTCAAATATCTTGAGAACTCCGGGGAATATCTTAACCCGGCACTTGAAAGACGAGAGACCTTAAGTGACGTGTTAATTTGTTTGACTTTTGCTTGGCCTGTTCTGGCTTAGAGCTTTATTGCACAAAAAAATAATTAAAGGCAGTCGAGTGTAAGCAAAACAATAAAATGACCAAAAAGTGATTATTTTTTGCTTAATTGTTTGGACGTCAAGTTGAACTTGCTAAAGCGAGAGCGAGATCCGGTTTTATTATTTTAAAGTTTAATAAATAAACTAAAATCTAATCTAAGCTAAGATGTGAGGTCCACCGGATACTTCCTAATGAACTCCACCATTAGGCTTATTTCAAGCCGCTCTTGCCAATAATTCATTAGAAGCAGAAAACTGCCAAAAATAATAAAAATAATGGGTTTGTTTACACGAAACTGGGAGCCAGAGACTACCAACAAATCACTCTCCGAGATGGTCAAGTGGAACCATTTCATAATCGGCACTCGTGTACCAGCCATCAAAATTAATTAACTTAAGGTGGTTACCACCTTTTCAATATTTTTCTTTCGGGCATTTCATTTGCCGATTTGTGTCTAGTCAAAGAAACTGTAATTAAATTGCCGTGCAAGTCGGCAAGAAAAGTAAAAGCCATCGGCCGGAAGGCAATGAAAGGTGCCGCCACATCATAAATACAAAAAATAAAAATCATTTTCGAGGCGTGTGAAGCGTAATTAGCCAAAGAAAAGCACTAACAGCAATTAAATGCCCACAAATGAACACCAAACACAATGCAAATTAGCGACAGTACGCGGTACAAAGGTGCGTATACGTGATATTGCTCATACGCCCCAGTGGCACCAACCACCCACGAGCTGAGCTCATTGGGAAGCTCAAAACAGAACAATATTTGAGTTTGTAAACAAACCAGGCGACTAAATTGAGTGAAATGACGACAGATGTACAGAAAAGTATCTAGAATTTGTTCAGAAGTTGGTGTGAATTGTGTGGCTGTCTGACAGCTGGGAAGAGCCGTCTCCCAAGGTGATGCCTTCAAAAGGCTTTACAGCCCGCCCACGAAAATGTTTACAGGTGGATTGTATAATCAGCTAGTATATATGGTTCTATATAGAAAATGTCACCATATTTCAGCTTGTTTCAGTTGTGTAAGCAGCAGCAGTAGCCTTGGCCCATGAATATGTTTCTCCAGAACTGAACAATCGGCGTCTGAGATGGAAAAGAATTTCACTTCCCAGAGCTCTCGTTTCTAATTCCAAGATAACACTTGGCAACAGCAACCCATAGTTCTTTGTGTTGGCAATGATGTCGTTTGGAGAGAGAATAAAACCAAAATACCGAGACTCTTATCAAAAACAAAAACATTCACAAAAGTGTACCGCTGATAAAATACCAGTTAACAACAACACTTGGCACTTGGCCTGGCCAACAAGCTCAGACAATGTGCGTTATGCGAACGGAACGTGGCAGAGAAAAGAAAGCCACAAACGGAAAGAAAGTTACAGACAAACTAACAACTAAATTTCGATAAAATAAAAAAAATCAAAATTTGCATATAGTGTTGGCCATCGGATTTGGCAATAGGACGTCAACACCGAGCCGGGCCTTAAAAAATAAATAAACAAGCGACAACCTCAATGAAATTGCACTAAAAGCCAACCTCTTGGCCAATATGCTAATGTTGTGGCTGTGAAAGTCCTACCATTCAGCGTGCGTATTTTTAGATTGTATCTATGTATCTATGTATCTAAGTATCTCTCTTTTTTTTTAAATCCAAATCAGCAATAACAAATTTTATATCTAATTAGCGGTTAACCGCAAACGAAGTTTGTTATTGCTGTTTGGGGGGAGTGTTTTGTAGATACATAGATGTAGAATGTAGTCTTAAGGTTATCGCCGACATTTCAATGAGAGTGGAATGGAGGGGACTGGGTCTGGGAACACGTGCTTAGCCCATTTACAAGCTTTCGAGTGTAAATTTGCTTGCATAATGGAGTCCAAACAGGAAGAGGCAGATGTTAGCGGAAAATCCACAATTAGCGACTTGGAAATCGACAGCTAAAGTTGAAGCTTTTTATTGAAAATTTTTCTTGTTTTATTGCAAGATCGTGGAAGCGACTACAAACCCTACTAGCTATTAGACAATACTACTAGAATCTATAGAGAAACATGTATTATTCTCCAATCCCTAAAGTTTCTCTATTATTTCATTATTTTTCTATTGATTTCCAAACCCAACTCCTAATCAAAGTTAGTCACCATTATTTATTGACCTTTTTTTTATTATCTTGGCCTTTATTTTAAAAGAAAAAAACCTTCAAAAAAACCAAAACAATCCCTAAAATATAACCAGAGATAAGAAACTAAAAATGTTACAATTTAAATCACAGATATCAGCAACGAAAACTTAATATCTTATCGCCACAAAAGCAATAAAAACAAGAGAACTCGGGCTTGGTTTTAGAATAAAAATATTCATTAACCAAAACACAGTTTAAAAATCACAACAAAAGAATACATTTGATTACCAAATGCTAATAATTTTAGTTTTTTTTTTTTAAAACAGCCACCAGACTACACCGCCAAGGTCAAAGGCTGTCACTAGTCACAAAAATATGAGAAACCGGTGCCCCCGAAAAATCAAAACAATAGCCACCGAAAATAAAGAAAAGGGCACCGAATTATGTTTTCCTTTTAGGGACTCTCCAAGGACACTGAGAAAGGGGTCAGCCTGCCACTCGAATCACCTTTCGTACAAACTGGACTCTGTTGTACTGCCGTTGGGCTTTCGATTTTGATTTGAATTTGGATTTGGATTTTCGTCAATTTCGTTTGCGTGTTCACTATATAAGCTATATAGTATATAGAGCCGATCAAGTTCAATTGGCTGCCATCTGAGGTGGAGGCACGCGTTCAACACGTCCGTCTCGCGAAAACTCGTACAAGTAACTGAACGGCGAGCGTGAATCGCAAACCGGAGCTACCGCAAACTTTGAGATACTTTTTTGGGGAGCGGGAGAGCTAACTGAGAGGCAGTTTTTTACTGAAACCCCAGCTTTGTTGGCCAGTGCCTCGCCAAGCAGACACTGTGGCAATTCCTCGCTTTCTGTGTTTTTATTGAATAAACGACTACAGGCGTAAAAAGCGTGCTTTTATTTTTTATATTTCGCACTGACTCGTAAGTTTAATATATTTTGCAAACAAAATGCGCAGCTCCCGCTACTCTTTCTGTGGATTTCCTCTTTATTTCTGATCGGATATTGATGGATCGTCCGACGGCGGCGCCTTTCCATCAATCAGTCTGGCTCTCTGGGGGCTTTTGAAACATTAAGTACTTACCAGTACCAGATTTTAGATTCTTGTCTGGGTCTTATTAGTACTTTTTCTAGTGGTTCTCTGAACTTTCCGGGAAAACTAAACATTTCACAAACTGCCTTACATTCTGAGTCACTTGGGGGACTGGTTTGCACAACGATGCGTGTCTAATTAGTTTTTCTTTTATTCTGTTAAGTTTCCAGGTAATAAAACAAATTAACAAACATTTCGTGCAATTTTATGCACATTTGCTGGAAGCTGAAGAGAAATATTCCAACAAATCAGAGGCAATTATTTATAGATTATTTCTGGGGAACAGGAAAATGGATTATGTTGGGAAAGTGTTCTCGAATTAAGTCTTGTAAGTGGAACACTTTTGAAGAATAACTAGAGAGATCTATAGGATCTAGGATCCAGAAACTAGAAACATTAAAGAGTTTACTTTCTAACTCTTCTGTAGCTTGTCAAAATAGAAAATTGCAAACAGTATATGCCAGAATCTAAATAATCCCAATCCCAAAACATAGATTGAATGAGACAGACACCTGTCTCAGATTCCTCTTAAGGGGTTATACGCAGTTGCAAGGCCCAAAAAAGGAGCGTTTTTAGAATTTTCCTACGAAGAGAACTTAGGATGTGTCAAGGCATATATTACTTTCTTAATTACTACTCTTTAAGCTACTTTTAAGCAGATATTAGCATGTCGATCATGAAATAATATCTTCTAATTCCTATAATAATATCTCCAAAGAAGTAGTTTCGAGAAAAACTAGCTTGAAATTTAAAGAATGCTCTGTGGGGTCGTTGAAACCAATTACTTCTCACCGCTATAACTTTGTAACAGGATCGAATATTGAAATAGCCATTTCTACATAATCTACATCAATTTAAGTTTTTATTTATGAAAATGAGTACTTTTTCATCATGACCCTCTTAAGTTGGGAAAGGGTTTATCGGAAAAAGTCGTATAAATGGGATATTTTTGAAACAGAAGTCCCAAGTAACTGTATTTTTATATAGATACTTTCGAAGATCTGGGAACTTGTATAGATCTAACATGCTAACGCCCCCCTAGCTTTGCAAACAATCCATATGAGAATCTAAAGAAAATCCCCAAACCCAGACAGTATGAAACCCGAGACTGATTCCGCTTGAATATGCACCACGTGTCTCCAATTATATCGTGTATTCGGGCCTTAACGACTCAATGAAGTGGTTGCGCCAAATAAGACCAAAAGTATTAAATCATAATACCAATATTGACTCTCCCGCCGACTGGCTGATGTAAACAACACCTCCCAGTTCTAGAATCTAGCATCTAATGGAGTAATCCCCTCTCGCGACAGCGCTCATCCATTAGGATTGTATCTTAATGCGAAGACAAATGGGTTTTCTGTGGGAGAGTGGGGCTCGACTTTTGGGTTTCCGATCGAAATCCAATAAAAGTGACATAAGCTCATCCACGAGCAGCGGGCGCGACCGCAGCCATCATATCAGATCAGATCAGAGGAACGGAACCAGGCATCAAAGTGCGCAGCACAAAGTATCTCCACAAACAGACCCGCACACAGATACAGATACACTTGTAGCTGACAGATACATCTGCCAGAACAAATTCAATTAGAAGCCGGAGAGAGATTGCCGGCCGGTGTGACATTGAGTGTGAGGTGAGGTGAGTGGCAGGTCTTGGCGGAGATCTGAGAGTTCCAAAGAGAGATTCTCGAGATTTTAGAAAGTGGATGGAGCTTGGATTGGTAGCTAACCAAATCTGTTCTATAAAGCCAAATATTAAAAAGCTCGATCTATAGGCATTCTCCCTGGGAACTCTATAATTTTCTCACCCCGTGAATCAGTCTAATCTCTCCAAGATTTATTGTGTTTATTTTTGGATAACTCCTGCCCTGGGGCTGGCTACTATTTCGCGGTTGCATTGGGGACCTGGTGAAATAGAAAACCGATCGATCGATGGCCGGATTGCTGACAGATCGCTTGCTATATGGGCCAGTGGGTCGACGACGGCTGCGGTTACGTGCCTCAAACATGCCACAATGGGCGGCTCAATTAAATGGTAGCAGCGTTTGCTTAATTGGCCATAATTCTCCTAACCAAAAAAAACACTTTCGGGCCCGGCTTCGGGCCTCTACAATTATAATCAAGAGCCGGGAGTGGGCGGCAATTTGTTTTCTTTATTTTCGTCTTGGCGGCGATCAAGCGTTGGTGTTTCCCAAATTATTAAATAATGCTTCCAAGCATTTGTTTACAAAACAAAACGGTTGCCACACTTGTCGGTCTAAATGAGACAACATTAAGTGAGATATGGCTTGTAAATATATAGAAGAAGTGACATCGTCTCTAGAAGCTAAGACTTGCTCGGTTCTTTAAGGTCAGTGTAGTGCAAAAAAGTGCACTTTCAAGTGGGTGGGGTCAGTGTTTGTGCTTTTGGCAGCCAGTGAGTGGGTGTGTCATCGCCTTTATTAGATCATTGCAGTCCATTATTGTGTTTATATCGTAGTGGGTGTCTGTGTGAATAGCTGCAGTGGTTCGAACCGGAATTACAGACGAATTGATAGAATTTTTTGAAAAAAAATCAAGAGTCAAGAGTTGCAAGGTGCAAAGATTGGCAATTACAAGGAAATTGTTGTCAAAATAATCAAGGAAATGGAATAAAGAATACGACTCCATACTTTATTTTTCATAAAAATATGCTTTAGTAGGCCTAAAAGGAGGAGGGGGAGGTTTAAGTGATAGTGTTCTTACAAGGTTCCTTCTTTTCTAAGTTCCCTGAGGAACTATTTTTTATTTAAATGCCATTTAGTTTGAAAAAGTCTTCTAGATGCCTTTAAAAATATCTATTAGTTATCGGATTAGGTGGAGCAGGTTAAGAATTAAATCAAATAGAATGAATTAAGACCTAAAAACTTGACAAGCAAGTGAGGAACAAATATTTCTCCAAAAAAACAAGTAGAACTTAAGGTAGAACTAAATAAAGCCTTTCAAAGACTGTACTAATTATAAATACATGTATTAAAATGATATACGACGTGAAACTTAGACAAGTGACTGTGATTTAATAAAACCTAGTCATAAAAACCCTCATATTCAGACAGGATAGCCAACTAAGTTTAAATTACTATCAGAAATAATACTATTTTAATATTATTTCTTAAAACAACCAAGCTAGTTCTAGAAAACTTACAGTGACCTTGAAAAATTCCAAAATAAACTCACCTCTTGGGGGTGGTCCGGCCTTGGGAGTTGTGTGATTGCAGCAGGCCCGTCCTATTTTCGAGACCGATCCTGTCGACCCGAAACTGGATGGAGCCTTCAGTTTGCTGGCCACTGGAATGCCAGTCACCGAGGATGCGGGCGTGGGGATATTGGACCGAGTGGAGACCGGCAAGTTGGAGACACTAGGCGCCGGCGCCGGTGCCGGTTCCGGTTCAGTCCCGGCTGGCAGGGCAGGAGGAGCCATAGCTCCATCAATAGTTCCAGTTTCTTCACTCATTTTGCACTATTTATATTTTTATTTTATTTTTTTATAAATTTTCACTAATTTTGGACACACGCGTATTAAATATAAACGATTTAAAAAAAACTTGGAAATGTAATAATAATATTTAAAATATTATAGAAATGTTAGTTGAAAATAAAATGGATGCTGAGCACTTACCTTATAGGAAGTTAAAACTTTTCTTTAAAATGTATTTTTTTGTAGACTTTTTGGGCGCTTTCAGACCACTGTGCCTGTATTGTTTTCCTCTTTTTTGTTTTGGCGCGCACGCTCTTGGCGGTCGCTCCGAACAGCTGGTTGGGAGACTTCGTTCTCTTCGTTGGCTGAGCTCGAAAAATAAACAAAAAACCGCTTTGTTGTTGCCTCAAATGCGGCTTAATAATTTCAAAAAAACGCGGAACAAATCACTCGAATAAATTATGCACACACTCGCACTTTCAAGGGTGGGCTATTTATATAGATTGCTCTATTCAGACTTGATATTTTCGGCCCTGCTTGCTCCGATTCTGTGCAATCGAGATGCCCACTACTTGCAACACTCTGTTAACACCATAAACTGATTTAAATTGCTTAACAATTTGTGCATTTAGAGCTCACATCGCCCCACACTCACACCGCACTGAATTCTGGTCTATTTTGTTGTTGTTGCCTATTTGACACAGTTACTGAGGAAGAGGAAGAGAACGGAACCCGAGGGGGATGTAATTGCCGTGGACTGGTCCCACCGATAGGATAAGCGATGTGCAGTCGCACCGACAAGTCCGAAACGATTTGGAAAACAACGCGTTTGTTTTTGTTACACTTTCTAGCTAATTTTAGAATTTTATTTTTTTTTGCACGAACTTGCAAGCGTTGCGTTGGAATTTTGTTGTTGTTGAATAGTGTGCCCAGCTGTTGTTGTCGGATTCTTACCTGTTGGATTTTCTAGGTGGTCAGTCTGTAACGACTTTTTAAAATATAATTTAAAATAAGAATTAGATTACTACAAATTACTAATTACTACCCATCGTTATTTAAAAAAGTAACCCAAAAGCAACTGCAATAAGTCACTTGTAGAACGGCAAAACTCCATTCATCATAAACTTTTGATTCTTCCACATTTTTTACACAATACCTTCAAGAATTATACTTTACATCCTCTGCACTATTTTTATTGATTAGTTTAAATTTAGTTTAAAATACTACAAAAACTAGCCCTAATAGCACCGTTTGTCCTGCTTTGGCAGACAAGTTGGCAGCTCTCTCAGAGTGGCCATTCTTTACCAACCATTTTGGACAAACTTGGCCGCTGGTAACACTAATGGCGGGCCCCAGCTGTCTTCTCGTTTGTATTTTCGTTTTTTTTCGATTCCCGAGACCGACGGTTGACTTCGATAGCGCGCCGCTTCAACGTCTGTGACTGTGTGCGTGCGCTTGTGTGTGTGGGAGGCGAAGCAGGAAGCCGCAAAAGAAAATCCAATTCCGGGAAAAATTATCAATGAGCGAAAACTAAACGGAAAAGCCTCGAGATGCGTGCGTTCGAGTAGAGTGATTTTAGTGGCCAGTTTGTTATTTTTCGGCACTTCTTGCGAGCATCGTCTGTCCGCCTTCTTATCGGTGTGTCTTCGTGTGTGTGTGTGAGTGTCACCACGCCCACTCGCTCGGGAAATGGCAGCCACGGTCTACCAGCGCCTCCACAGCGTCGCCGTTGGCGGTGGCAGTGCGGTCGTCAGTAGCAGCAGCAGCAGCTCAGCATCGTATCCAGGATCAGGTTCTGGTTCCGGATCAGGAAACTCCAACACCGGAGCCGGCCATGCCTCGACCGGCGCCTCCTCCTCGTCGGCCCTGCTGAGCCACTCGCAGCTGACGCGGTCGCTGGAGCGGATCCTGGAGGAGGCGCACTTCAGCGGCGAACTGATCCTGACCAATCGCAAGCTGAAGGACTTTCCCAAAGCGGGCACGAAGTACGTGCTCACGGACACCGTAATAGCAGGTGCGCGATGCGAATTTTAATTCTAGTTCTAAGGGTGGGTCCTTGTTGTCCTTAAGGGTTTGAAAATTGTAGATCCCTAGACCTGATAATCTGGCCATGTTATCACCAAAAGATAGCCAGGCCATTGTTGGACCTCTTTCCTAGCCACGGCCCCTGGGTAGACACCACAACATGCTGGAATTTCCTTATCTTTGGGAGTTTTGGGTGCGGCCCTCGGGAGTGGGCATTGAAGGTGTGTTTCGAGTGCGTTTTCCACCGGTTTTCCTTATCTCTCCCAGCTGCATTTGGCGAATTTTCCTGCTGGCCCGCGAAAATCAATAATCTGCAGCAGCCGCAGAGGGTGCCTGCCACCTCCCTCGCTTGTTCCTCGCTCTCGTGCTCTCTTCTCTCCTCGCTTCTCTCAAGGACAATCGCTCTCCGGCACTATTCGTATTTTCTTCCTGGATATCCTTGCTCCTTCTTCCTGCAGCCGGCGTGGAAAATTTCGTCGAAGTTCAACCAACTTTCGTTTTTGTTAGGCTGCCGAAATATGCACCCGCCTGGGAAAGTGGGAAAACCCACCCTGCTCAGCACCCTGCTCTCAGCCCACAGCCCACAGCCCACCGCCCGCCACCCACACCGGCTGCCCCGCCTCCTGCCACAGCTGCTGCTACCCTCGAACATCTGTTCTCAGCACGGGACATGTCTCTCATCGATTTTCACTTGTGTTTTGGGTTTTCCCCAGTATACACACACACATATATATATATATATATATCTGGATTGGATGTCAGTGCCGGGCATTATTTATTTTTGGACCACAAAGATTAATTGCAGCGAGGGAGGAATACTTTGTTCGGGAGGCAGAGATCCCTACTAGCCAGGTTGGATGTTTTGGGAGTTAAAGATGCAGTCCCTTCATTCCGAATGACTTCCCTTCCGTACGTGACTTGTGGTCATGGGCCATCAACCCGAAATAGGAATACCCTTCCCCATATGGAGACACCCAGGGCTGGCTTCCGGTTCTTTTTTCGGCTTGAAAATTGAGTCATAAGCCGTGAAGGCGTGACTAATTACCAATTAAAGTGCTGGATTTGGTGCGAAATGACTAGGGAGTGGGGTATGGTGGACCCCCCCCCTTTCAAGGGTTAATCCATTTGGAGAAAATATTTGTAAATACATCCAAGAGGCAAGAACCTCTTGGAGAACAATAAAGCCACCCCCATTAGGACTCTGCCGTCAAGAGGTGGCAACAGCTCTTGGCCTTAATGGCTGCCACCACAAGTTGCAAGGGTTTCTCAGGTTTCCCAAGAAATCAATGAAGTCTGAAAGGAAAGAAAAGACCATTTTTCTTTTTCTTTTTATTTGCACGCATGTTCTGCAACCCCCAAAGGAGGCGAAAGGAGGTGGGCGCCTGTCCACCCACACCACCACCCTGACTGGCTGGCTGGCTGGCTGGCATTCTGGGAATTGCATTCCACGGAGGCGCTTAATTAACACGCGTGCCACGTAAATCAAACAGTGCCATAAACAGAAATCTAGACAAGGCCCGCAAAAGGAAAGAGTCGATCGAGACTGTGGCAGGAAATTGTTTAAAATAATTGCAACTTGAAGAAGGAGAAAGAAACCGGGTAGAGCTGCAGCTGCCTCAGTCAGAAGTTGCAAGAAGGTAGCCACAGCAACAGCAACAGCAACAGCAGCTGCGCAGACCGCAAGCAGCAGCTGACTGGCAGTAGGAGTGGTCACCTGGCTTTTAAAAGGCCAAAGATAGAGTATCTCAAAGATTCTCCACATTCTGAGGATGCCATCGAGAGACGTCATAGAACCAACAAAGTATCTTCGGGATAGCTGCCTTTGTCGTGTGTATCTGGCTGTTGGCATTGTGGATATGATGGAGCATAAAGCCGTCTGCTTTTTTTTTGTAGTTTTATTACCATTATAGTATAGTATACTGCCGTCTGCAGCGGACAAAAGAGGAAATGCGAGCGCCGCAGCACGTCGCTTATCTCCAGTGCATTTCAAACTGCACGGGCACGGTTCGTGGCTTGAATGCGCAATTGAGATACAATGCAGGGGGAAGAGATACAAAATAGAGGGGGTTTCGAGATGGGATCGTGATACGAGTGATTCCCAGAAGGAAGTGATACAAGAGATTATATTGATAGGGTCAGTAATACCTCTACAAGGTGCCAGAGAAGTGTCATCTTCATCCAAAAGTGGCCATATCTTGTATTATAATTTTCTCTCTATATTATAAATATTTCTAAACGCAATCTCTTTGTGCCCATTGCGGGCTATAAATAAAAAATTATTTCATCAACAAACTGCAGTCGCTTATCTGCAGTTGAACGACTTATGAATGCAAACACCCAGACACACCATAGCCCCATGTACATACCTCCATATCTTTGGGGAGTATCGGGGGCACTGCAAACTTGACACACATAGCGACGAATTATGCATTGAGTCACTTCCATTAATTTATAAATGTAAGCATTATTTAACAGCCGACTGATTAGTTCTTCTGGCTCTAGCTCTAGTTGCTTAATTACCGAGTACAGCACGCGCTCTTAGAAAGAAATAGACGAGAATCGGAGAATGGGGGTCGGGTTACAAACAATTCTCATAAATAATACAGTGGAGTCTCGGAAAAGAGAACTGGGAGAGAGGGAGAAGAGTGTTTGAAATAAAGTATCTAGAAAGGAGTGTGAACCTTCTCGGGGTTTATACTCTAGCTTGTAACTATTTTTAAAATAATAATAAAATATTAAAAATAATTGCGAGTTTTGAACTCTTTTTAGTTACTTTTAGAACTTAATTTTTTTAATTAAATAACAATTCAGGAATATTAAAACTTCTTGCCTTGTAATAGCTATTTTATAACTATTTTCTATAAGAAAAGAAAATTATTTTATTAAATTTGCAAACTTTGAACTATTATTTAAAGGAAAAAAATTAAATATCTAGATAGGAATATGAACATTATTGACTTGTAAGGTTTTCTATCCTATAAATATTTTCTAAAGAAAAATTATGATTAAAATACTTGCTACTTAAACTTTTACCTTGAAATTCAAAGTTTTAAAACTTAAAGCAAGTTATATGTATTTGAAATTAAATACCAATACAGGAATATACACTTCCTTGACTTTAACCCCACTTTATAAGTATTGTCTAGCAAAATTTTTTAGAAATATTTAAAGTATTATTTTTGAACTCTTATTTTAAGGTTACACCTATAAGCCCTTTATTCGAAATTAAATATCCAGATAGGAATATGAGCCTCCTCATCCAGATATGGGCCTTGAAAACCCTACCTTATATGTAATTATTTTCTATAAAAAAAATCAATATTTAAAATATTTGCAAGTTTTGAACCCTAATTATTATTTAAAATAAGTATTAAGTATTATTAAAGTATTATTATTTAATTATTCATAATAAGTAAATTATAAATTAAATATTTAATGATATATCTTACTATCAAAGTATATACTACAAGACCCACCCCACAGTCGCCTTCTTCTGAGAGTCCACTGTTTCCTTTATTTGCATTTTGGCTTCAAAATTTATGTAACCAGAAAATCACAGCTGTTACAATTTGAATTTCCAAAGAAAAACACTCATCAAGCCCAACAAAAACAACAACAAAAACACAAGGCAATCAATATTTGCTGGCTTCTAAATATTTTCAATATTTGTTCTCCCAAATGTTTATACTTCAGGGAACCAACAAAGAACTGGATGGTGTTTGTTTAGTGATTAAATGATGGAGGAGGTATGGCGGAGGAGGAGAATTTCTAGGCGAAATGCAGCAGTCCAGTCCCGAGTAAACATAGCGAGAGAGCACTGTATGTGTTTGTATTTGAAATTAAAAGCAGCCAGCCTGGCAGCCTGATAGTGTGGCCTGTGTCTGGGAGCGAGTGCTTGATTGCTTCCAGCTTTCAGTATCGGAAAGTAATCAACTGATGGCGAAGAATTATTTATTTTGATTAGTTTCCAGTGCTTCGAACAATAAATGCGCACATAGTTTGGGACATTGGCCTACATACTATATAACGAAGTGATCTCAACTCTCTCTACTGGACATACCCCACTCGCTAATGGTTTTTAATTTCCTCACCCTACTTCAGGCCTACCAGTTTGGCAATCAAATTAATTTCAATAAATCCATCAGTGGCCCCTCGATGGCCCAACCAGCCCGGCGAGCTTTAATGAACGGACATGGAGTGGCATCCGCGAGTCCAAAACCGAAAAAAAATAAAAGACCCCGAAGCCAAAAAGAGTCGATACGTGCTAGAGAAGCCGTCGCCCACATGGCTAGACTGGGAAGAGCTCCATTCGCCAACTTTTTTCGAAGCTCCATTCATTTAATTTCTGGATGCTTCCGGGCTAGCCACTCGCCCTTCAAAAATGCCAACCAATGTCTGCCATATGGGTCCTTTGGGGGGGAGAGCCACCTCCATTTACCTCCAGGGTATGCGAGGGTGTGTCGGATTATAAAGATTTCCATGAAATCTGGCCTTATAAAGTGGTCTAGGAGGGGAAGAGGATTCTTTATAATACTTTCCATGTTTATGGTAGAGTTCTCTTGGGTCTTTTATCTTGAAATTGATTTTTGTATCACTCTGTCTTTATTCTTATCGAAACTGAACTTATTTTGGTTAACAATTTCTTATAAAAAATGGAAAATAATGTCTTCAAAATCGCTCCCCATTTCGCAATCATTTTCCCCCCATTTGAATCCAAAACTCAATATCATGGATGAGAAGTCATACCCCGACTCCAAGGAGTCATACCCCCCAGTTGGTATGCTCCACTTACATCATCCTCCCTCCTGCCCCACCACCATAGCCATAGCCATAGCCATGCGTGTGTCGCCTTTGTCTGCCTCCAGAGTTGACTTTGGGCGTTGCCCAGAGCCATGTTCCTCCACTTTTTCGAGTCCCGAGCCGCACCCTTTTCGGCTGCGTTTTTTTGCGATAATTGCCGGCGTGGTTGGAGGACAATTTCTGCAATATTTATGGCTTATGCGAAGCCTCAGGTGGGCGAAAAAATGCAAAGTTTTGGGGGTGACAGGGCACTCTGGTCTGCGGCGCGTCGAGATGTTTGATTTGTTCTGCGAGGCATAAAAAAACACATTTGCGGCTGTCGCATTGCGATGAAGTTGGCCAAAAGCCAACCAGGGGAGGATGGAGGGGAATCATGGGTAACTAGAGTGGAAACTCTTGGAGTGATGCCAGCGGAGAGCCGAGACCAAGAACGAGACCGAGCAGGTGTCAGAATGATGAAAATATCCGTCCATCGGCGGGCAGGTTCAAAGTCCAAAGTCGGTGCTTGTCCCACATTGATGCCTCCGCCCTCCGCTTGGGGAAAATCCAATTTCCGTATCCGTAACAGTGTTCTATGGAGCTCTAATCGAGCTCACTGGCCGGGCAAAGGGTTTATTCAACTTGCCAGGATGTCGGATGTCGGAAGAGATGCACTCTGGAGCACTGGAATTAAAGATTTAAAAGAGAAACCAATCCAAAGCCTCCTCTGCATTATGGAAGGTTGACTTCTTTGTGCCTCTATTTCCGTGGAGTGTAGTTCCTCCTTTGTGTGTTGCATCATTGTGAGCTCATGCAGTATGCAACAGTAGCAACAGCCCTCCAAGTGGCAGGTTAATGTCTAGGAGCTGAGAGCCGATGTCAAGCTTCCATTCATTCACCGCCTTTGTCTGGCAGCCATCTCCCAGCCATGCTCCCAGTGCGTAAATCACCAAGGCAGCCAAGCTGCCGACAGTCTGGAGTCGTTTTGTCATTCTGCCAAGCCAGTCAGCCAGTCAGTCAATCAGTCGGTGGCTCAGTCTAGCCAGCAGGCCAGTTTTTCTGGCGTTTCTGGTTTTATTTTAAAGCCTCTTGGCCCGGTTGCGTAAATGCGCCTGAAGCTGGGACCCAGTCTGGTCTGTGGTTCGTAAATTTTAACGATGGAACCATTAAGATGCCCGATTTCATACGCACCGTTGGCCCAAGAGCTCAGGTACCCCACTTCTCGCTGCTTGAACTTTATTGGTTTTGGCACAGTTGGGTATGTAATGGAATGGAAGAGTGGGTCTTGAAGTGCCTACTCCACAAAGCTAGGTTCCTGGTCCTCACTACTTGCCAGCTCCCAGTGGATGCCGTCGTGGGGAAGCGGGCTGGGGATGAACGGTGAGATCCAGGTGAGGATCATCCACTTGCCCAGGAACATCCTCAAGTTCGACAGCATCCCCAGGTTGTACTGGAAGCTGAGGGCATCCGCCTCCGGGCTAGAGGCTCCATACCTGATGGCTGGCCACTGCTTGAAGAGGATGAAGGCGGACATGACCATGAAGACCAGCGACAGGATGGTGACGATCATGAAGAGGGCCACGTAGATGGGGTAGAACTCGAAGTAGCCCGCCCGGTGGACGAAGACAAAGTCCACGCCCACCACGAACGAGGTGGCGGAGGCCAGGAACATGTAGAGGACGAAGTAGAAGAAGTAGCGGTAGTTGTGGTGCCCCACGCAGCACCCGGTGAGGATGCAGTGGTGATCGCGCTTGAGGACGCACACCGCGCAGATCCGGCAGTGGCGGGACCTCGGCGGCACCCACATCTGGCACTCGGTGCACTCGTGCCAGTCCTTGCCGCCCTTTCCCAGCTCCAGTTCCAGGAGCAAGCGCTTGGGATCGGCCCGCGGGTCCACCAGGATGCACATGACCATGTTGGTAATGATGTTCGTATAGAGGAAGAATCCCAGCAGCGTGTAGAAGGTCACATCGGGGGTTCCCTGGCGCACCATTTGCGGCATCATCACGTTGAGTAGAACTGCCAGGACCAAGGTCATCCCCGCCACTAGGGTCACCAGGAAGAGGCCCTCCAGGGCGTTGGGCGGGACTATCCGCTTCAGGGATCGAATAGCCATTTCTAGAGCTCTCTCTCTGGGTCTCTCTGGCCTGTGGAAACTCGGAATTTGTTCGGGATGTCACACTTGACGTAGTTTTCAAAAGTGTAGCTCGGTCGAGGTCCAAAGTTCGTACTCCCACTCGCATTCCTCCATGCCGGTCATGTCGTGGGTTAATCTCTGCGAGCGAATCTCGCGTTTTTCCCCAAAACTTGACGCACAATTTCACGTCGATTACGCTCCACTGTCTTCTCTTCCTGTCTCTGCTTCGGGGTCTCCCAGCCTTCCATCGCTCCTCCTCTTGGTCTGGTTCTGGTTCTGGTTCTGGTTGGTTCATTATTATTATCCCGCTGTGCGACCGCACCCCCACAGAACTCAGAGCTCTAAAGACCTGGTACTGTTTGTGCTCGTTTCGCATGCAAATTCATTTACTAAATTAATTGCTCACTCCACGCACTGGCCGGGCTTCGGAATTCCCGGGGGGATTACGGAAAGGGATGTCCGAAATAGGGCAACATTAATTATTCCACTTTTGAAATAGTAGGTTTCGTGGGCGATGAAGTCTTGCCATTCGCTTGAAATACTCTTAAGAAGGAGTACCCATCTCCAGGGTAGCTACCCAGTCTGGACGCTCTCCTGGAGCTTGGAGTGGGGGTGAACCGCCGGCAGATTGGGGTCAGCAGCTTGAAGAGGGCTGAGGAAATACGAGTACATGGCTAATCCTCAACAGACTTTATAATCCAGACTTCCTCCTCTTCCTCCACAGACCTCTCCAGGAACCGATTCTGCGAACTGCCCGAAGAGGTGACGACATTCGCCTTCCTGGAGACGCTGCTCCTCTACCACAACACCATTAGGAGCATTCCGGAGTCGGTGAAGCAGCTCTCGTCCCTCACGTACTTGGACCTGCGCAGCAACCAGCTGTCCTCGCTGCCGCGGGAGATATGCTTCCTGCCCCTGCAGGTGCTACTGGTGGCCAACAACCGGCTGACCTCCCTGCCGGACGAGCTGGGCCGGCTGGACCAGACCCTGACCGACCTGGACGCCTCCTACAACCAGCTGGCCAACCTGCCGGCCCGCCTCGGGGAGCTGAGGTCCCTGCGCTCCCTGTCGCTGCGCAGCAATCACTTGATGTATCTGCCCCGGGAGCTGACCTGCCTGAGCCTGGTCTCCCTGGACGTGAGCAACAACCGGATAGCCAGCCTGCCGCTGGAGATCCGTCACATGGGCACCCTCGTGGAGCTCCAGCTGGAGAACAACCCCCTGACTTCGCCACCGGCTAGTGTGAGTTTCTAATCCCGATCCCTCTTCTCTAGAAGATTAATAAGTCCAATCTCCTACAGCTCTGCATGCGCGGCCTGGTCCACGTGTTCAAGTTTCTGGAGACGCAGGCCACCAAGGACGAGAAGGGCTCTCGCTCGGGCGGCAACTACGATGGTTACACCACCCTGCGACGGGCACCACGCCACAACTCTAGCGGCAATGTCCTCGAGGCGAGCACCACTGGCGGCAACCATCGCAGGCATCAGGTGGACTCGGGCTACAGCACCAGCGATGGCCTGGACAAGCGCTGGTCGCACGACGCCCCCGCCAAGTCCAAGACCGACTCGCCGCTGCACTGCGTCTCCAGCTCGGCGGCAGCCACTCTGCCCCGGACGCTGCCGAGTGCCGTGCACTCCCATGCGGACATGATGGACGCCTCGCTGACCTCCAGCACCAGCACCATAGTGGACGAGAGCCTCACTTTAAGTCCCGCGGAGTCGCCCTGCAAGCTCAGCTACGCGCACTCGAGCTCCAGCAACGGCTCCTCGCCGGACCAGGACGAGGACATCATGCTGGACCACCAGGAGCGAACGGTCCACGCCAGCAATGGCAAGTCCGGCAAGGGTTTCCCCCAGATTCAGACCTACAAGTAAGGACATTAGTTAGATTCATATTTCAACATTCCTAATCCTGAATCCTTTCCAGGGAATACAAGGAAGCCCTCAAGCAGCAGCGCAACCAGGAGGTCAGCGTTTACAAGCAGAAGCATCCGAATGCCAACCACAGCCCCAACGACGACGAGGACCTCTCGCCGCCGCCGCCGCCCCCCTCGCAGAGCCTCTCCAACGGCTCCGCCGCGTCCAGCACACTGCCAAAGTCCATCATGAAACAGTCGAGTCTGAACCAGAACGGCCACAACGGCAACGGAAACGGGAACGGAAACGCAAATGGAAATGGAGTCGACGATGTTGTCATACCAAAGAAACCCATCCAGAAGGTGATTCCTTCGCGCAACACGGAAATAAAGCCACCCTCCACGGCCGGCATTCCCTCGGCCGTTCCCTCGGATTGCCTGGGCTACGTGAAGCCTCAGAGTCCCCTGAAGAACGGCGCCAACAAGTTCAATACGTCCAACGGCAGCCCCGCCACTAGCACCACCATCAAGTCCCCGGTCAGCTCCACCACGAAGCTGGCCTCGGTGAAGGCGCACCGATCGGTGACCTGGAACCACGACATTCCCGCCGAGAAGCTGAGCTTCACGATGCGCCGGGAGTTCGACCGCCAGCGGGAGGAGACGGAGCTGATGTCGCAGCTGAGGAGTGTAAGTGGTGGATCACTACCTTGATTGGAGATTCTAATGTAAGATCTTCTTGCAGATCATCGAAACCCGCTTGAAGATGACCCTGCCCGTGGACATAGCCTCGGCCCTGACTGACGGCGTCATCCTCTGCCACTTGGCCAACTACGTGCGTCCCCGCTCAGTGGCTAGTATCCATGTGCCATCTCCGGGTGTGGTAGGTTTGGTAATCTATTCTTAGAGACTTTATATAATGGATGATGTTTCAGAACAAGCTGACCATGGCCAGGTGTCGCCGCAATGTGGACAACTTTCTGGAGGCCTGCCGGCGCATAGGCGTGGATGAGGTGCGTACTTTAGAGAGTCTATCTCATCCTAAGATCCTTGGATGCAATGCCTTTGGAAGATGATAACTTCCAAGGCATTGTATCACCAGCTTCTGTTTGTATTCCCCATCTTGAATCTAGATTTAGGGTGTAAGGTGTCTTAGTTTCTCGTCCCAGACCATTGTAGCTTAGTCCTAAGAACCACACACTCAAATACACACACCCCAAACACACACACACACAAAACACACTCCCAAATATACCCACAAATACAAAAGAAACTGATGCATCTGTTATTGGTGTTGGTTGCAGGAGTTGATTTGCTCCTGCGAAGATGTTGTGCCACAAGGTGAAGGTGAACACCAACCAGAGACGCAGCCACAACCACGTGCTGACGATGACTATGATGCTGATGTGTATGTCACAGATGCCGCATGCAACAGCAGCAACGTAAGCAGCAACAATAATGACTCTGACTCTGCGGATGAGCGAGTGCCCAATGCCATGGCCCTACTGCAAACTGTGTCCGCTCTGATTGCCCTGGATGCCAATCCACATCACCAGCAACTACATCATCTGCACAATCCGCAACATCAGCAGCACGAGCACTTCAGCGAGCCAACAACCTGCAGCCAACAGCAAGAACAGATGCTCCAGATAGAGAATGTCCTGTACGAGAACGGTGGCGGCGATGATGTAGGGGTTGAGGACTGCGGTGAGGAGTCCCTGGGCAGAGGCCAGAAGGCGACAGTGGGTCAGATGCTGCTGCGGGCCAAACAGAAGACCTACGAGAAGATCAAACAGAATCTGCTGAGTGCCCACGGGCAGCACAGCTTCCACGGCACCAACAACAACAACCGGACGCTGCACACGATTGTGGAGAACGAGCACGACGTGGCCGCCGCTGGACCGGCGGGCCACTACCACGTAATCGATGAGAAGGAGCAGCAGCTGGAGAAGAGCGAGAGCCCCAAGGAGAAGGCCAGCGCCACCGCCAGCGCCAAGGAGGCCATCAGCAAGCGGATCGAGTTCTTCGAGCAGCAGCGAAAGCTGGAGGTCTTCAGCATCTACCTGCCCAAGGAGAAGGAGAAGCAGCTGGAGCAGAAGATCAAGACCAAGACCCTGGAGGCGGGAGCCACCTTGTTGAAGCACGACTCCCACACCCTGACCGTGATCCTATCTTGCGTCTTCATAGCCACCTTTCTCTGGCTGGTCTTCTTCCCCCTGCCCGGCTAGTCCATGTAGTACCCATAGCTCCAGAATCTTTGCCTTCATTTGCCAGTAGGGATTAGGGATAGTTAGAGCAGCTATTGCGCTTTCTCTTGAGGCTGCTTTTTGTTTACCGCTTTTAGGTTTAAGTCGCGTATTTATAAACTATACTCTATAGAGACTATATAACCCGATCTATATCTAAGAGACCCACAAACAGGAAACTTTTGAGGCATTTAATCGAGAGACAACCCAAAGACTTTGAGGCAACTAGTATTGGTTGGAGGGTATGCACACTCTACTATCCTAAACTGAAGACTCTTTTTAAGAAGAAAGTTAAGTTCCTTTGAAGATATGTTTAGTTTTTTAGACTTTCTAGTTCCTTTGAGTTTTATTTTCTACTTTAACGACAATACCAGTTCGAACATTAATTTATTCATCATCACGACTATCTATCTAGCCTTAGTATTTATTTAACGCATTGTGCATACCCTTGCTGAAGTATTCCCATTTAATCACATATTCCTAGTTCATGTACAAGCGATTGAACTCTAAATTGGATTAAGAACTGAACTGAATTCGAAAGGAAAACTACCCAAAAAATATTTTATTTCTCTAACAATTAAGTCCTAAGTTACAACGAAATTTTGGTAAAAAGACATCACGAAATCTTAATATTATATTTAAGATATATATGTACGCTTAAGAACCGAGAGAGTGGCAGGACAGAGAATTGTTACAGTTTGGTGGGAGGAGGAGTTGTATGGTTTACTTGAAGCAGGGACACTCGAAATAGTTGTAGGACTTAGCAAGGACTTAGCGGAAAATCAACAGAATCGGAAACTAAAATCCAGAAGAAGTATCATCATCACCACAGATGTGTCAAAGTAATAGACCTTTTCCCCTTTGAATGTACACTCCAGATGTACAAATCGATGTGTCAAAGAAGAGTAGCTGACATTTGTTAAATATATTAAACACTGACCAACTGATACACTTTTTAACGACTTCTAATACGCACACTCGCCATCAAAACCCAAGAACACAAACCGATAGAGAAGAACCAGAAAACAGTGCCTTTGACTGGAGATTGCCTACAATCTATAGCTATAATGTATCTGCAGTCTTAATCCTTCTCGAAAGCAATGTTTCCCCTTACTCTGATTTGCTATTGTGCTAACCACATTCCTAACTTAAAGCTAATTTATTTTAAGACTAAACTTGTACTTAATGAAAAACACGAAAGGAAAGCTAATCAAATTTCTCCAAGAAGCACAATCTCAAAAATACACAAAAAGTGAAAGATCAACACATATATTTATCTAGAGTCTAGAACCAGAAGTATATATTTTGTCTAACAAAATTATTGTGGCCAGGATCCAGGCAGCTAATGGCAGCTATACGAAATGTAATCAGTCATTAATTTTTATAATCTACAAATATTTAACATCTTACGAGTATATACACATACGATTTTGAAATCGAAATCTACAACTTTTTGTCAGGAATATGCATTTACTTCCATGCATTTACTTCCAAATCTATATGAAAATGAAATACAAGAACCTGTTGCATTTAAAAATAAGCACAAAATGTCAAACAATTGCTAAATATATTAAAAAAGTGAAATTAAAGAGCTAAATATATGGAAAAAGTAAAAGAAATGGTAATACAGTTTTAGAGCCACAGTGTTGGGTTGTAGCAAAGACACCAACCAGGCAGAGGTGGGAAATTCCCTTTAGCAGGGACATAATACCATGTCTCTCAAAGGCGGAATACTGGGAGTTGAAAAATGATTTATTTTACAAGATCTATATTTTCTTTTAAAATTACAAGTTAAAAAAAAAAACAAAATATTAATCCTATATTCTAAAAAAGGCTCGGTTTGTCCTGTAACAAACATAAACACAGACAACCACCTAACATCCTTTAATCTCAAATGAAAATTACATTTATTTTGTAAATCTTGTTTTTTAGAATCTAATTTGCTGTGCGGCCGACGTGCTCGAGGGAAAAGGTGCTGTCCAGGTAGCCATTACGGTGGGAGAACTGTTCCGGCTGCATGGCAACAGCGGAGGCGGCGGAGGAAGTGGCAGCAGCAGTGGAGCCGCCACGCCCACCAAATCGCCGACCAGAACGACACGTGCCACAATGTCGCCCACATCGCTGGCCTGAGCTGGGAGTCGGGATGGGATATGGGGAGACTCTTGGATAATCGGCTCATTGCGAGATGAGCTGACCTAATGGGTTTCCCCCATAACATTCAAACACATGCATACCTACATTACATAGATACATAGATACATGCCAAAATGTATGATTTGTTGATATTTATATCTCACTCATTTTTCTAGGTTTGTAGTTCATTTATGTAAATACACAACCAACACAAAACACACAAGGAACACACTCAAAGAAACCAAATTACACAAAACAATCGAATTATGTAGTTAAGAATGAATTTCAATTTATAGTTCGATTTGGATTTGAATTTAAATTTGATATTGAATTGTCAATCGAGTCACAAATTATTATTTATGCTATTTTGTTTTGTGCTATGAATTTGTTAGAGTTTAGCTATATCCTATATCTAAATATATATATTGTGGGCCGAGTCGCCAGTTTGTTTTTTGTTACACCCCCCTCATCACACCCAAGAGAGCGAATCACACCCCAAATCGAGCCAAATCTTCGACTAGCGATTAGCAAATACTGTTTTAAGTATCAGCCACATATAAGAACATCCACATTATATAGCATATATATATTCATAACTATGATTATGGCATATTTATTATGTAGCTTAGCTGTAGACCTACGCATAGCTGTGGTAGACTTTTCTACGCCCCTGCTGCACCATTTATACGAATCGAATTGTATTAGCCCCTAAGTCTTCGATTATAAAAACATTATATATCAAATAAAGCTAAGAAAAAGCTGGTCGTACGTAACAATGCGCCTCCCTTTCTATTTTTCCCGATTTAGCCCCAGAGCGCCCGTTGAACAAAAATTGGCACACAGCTGTGGGGCTACAAAAAATGCCGAAAACAACTGAAAGTTTTCTTTTGTAGTTTTATAATTTGCATAATGCGCCAAGCAAACAATTGGCTGGGAGGAGCTGTAAAGGGAGGTTGGAACTGCTCATGCGAAAATTAAAAACACTCGACACATCCGGTATTTCCTCTTAACAGCTGCTCCCACGCCAGTCATTATTGGTAAGTGAAATGTGTTTTCCGCGCAAAAATAAGTGCAGAGAACCCAAAGCCAGCCTGAAAGGCTGTGGGCAGGAAATTATAAGACGATTACGAAGCTTCAGAAGAGCCTGGTTTGCTGGAAATACAGGGTTACAGGCGGGAGTACTCACTGTGAGTGCGAAGAAAGATCTAGGGAAACCTGAAACACCATTAGGGGAAGCACCATTTCTAAGGGATCCAGGATTTTGATGCAGAATGGGGGACAATCGATCCAGAAATCGTTTAAGGTACTCTGCTTAAGAATCGGATGAGAATTGGGGAAGATATAGCCATCATTGTGGGCCCTATAGGGGAAAACCCCATTTTCAAGGGATCTCATCACGAAAAATGGACAAAAAATTGAAAAAATAATTTGTCTCAGGATTTTGATGCAGAATGGTGGCAAATCGATTCAAAAATCGATTAAGGTACTCCTCTTGAGAATCGGATGAGAATTTAGGAAGATATAGCCATCACCGTGGGCCCTATAGGGAAAAACCCCATTTTCAAGGGATCCCATAACGAAAAATGGACAAAAAATCGAAAAAATATTTTGTCTCAAGACTTTGATGCAGATTGGTGGCAAATCGATCCAGAAATCGATTAAGGTACTCCGCTTGAGAATCGGATGAGAATTGGGGAAGATATAGCCATCACTGTGGGCCCTATAGGGGAAAACCCCATTTTTAAGGGATCACATCACGAAAAATGGACAAAAAATCTAAAAAATATTTTGTCTCAGGATTTTGATGCAGAATGGTGGCGAATCTATCCAGAAATAGTTTAAGGTACTCCGCTTGAGAATCGGATGATAATTGTGGAAGATATATTCATCACTGTGGGCCCCATAAGGGAAAACCTCATTTTCAAGGGATCTCATCACGAAAAATGGACAAAAAATCTAAAAAATATTTTGTCTCAGGATTTTGATACAGAATGGTGGAGAATCGATCCAGAAATCGTTTAAGGTACTCCGCTTGAGAATCGGATGAGAATTTCGGGAGATATAGCCATCACTGTGGTCCCTATAGGGGAAATATTTTAAGGTATTCCGCTCAAGGATCGGCTAAAAATTGATATAAAATGATATGATATAAATAATGAAGTCGATAGTATTGATAGTCGACCTTTGCTTTATGAGAGGCTCTTATAGAATAGTAAACTTTTCACATGTTTTAATGACTAAGCTACTGACCTTTGTGCTAAACTGTTATGTTAAGTATCACTATCTCCCTATTTTTATCCTCAAAGACTCTAATACTGGCAGGAAGACAAGCGAAAAAATGTAGTCCGCCCACAGGGTAAGTAACCGAGTGGCTTCTCTCATCAATTAGTCAAGGCATAGCCTAGCATCACTTATTACTAATTCACGCCTACAGCTTGGAAAGGACATAGGGCAAAGGACGAATGTATGAGAGAAAGGATGGAGAAATAGAGAGGGACCGAGTCATTTGTCACAGTGAAATTTATTAAAATGATTATCTCGTATCTACATTTCGCACGGAATGCCTAATTTTTTCCCCAACAGAAAAACAGGCTCCTCTTCCTGGATGGCTTTGTTTACTTTTTTGCGGTTTCTTATTACGAGGTACACTGGCTTTTGCCATATCGGGTCTGTGATAAGGGACACAAGCTCGTGCCTAAAAGTGCGTAGATGCACTAAGAAAAATATATCAGAATAAATCTATAATATTTTAATAAACATCCAATATTGTAGGGATTTTACATTAAAATTTGTATAAAAAGAAAATATTATTTTTAAAATTATATTATTTAATAAAATTGTCGAAATCTCTCCCCCTTTTTTGTTTAGAATTGTTGAGCCCAGCGGCTGGGGCCATAGTTTAATTGTGACATCTGAAAAACACCCCAAAAATCAGCCCACCCCAGCCTAAGAGGCCCTCCCAGCCATCGGGGAGGGCAATTAGTTAAACTACGCCCTGGGGAATTGCGATAATTAAAATGGTTCTACTTGCGGTGGAGCTCTTGCCACTGGAGCTAGTACATGCGGAAATATTTTTTAGCCAACTAATCTGATTGCTCTTATATCAACTCGACCAGCTTTGGGCTCCGGCCCAGCTCCAGCTACAGCTCCAGAGCCGCTCCCCTGTAACCGAATCAACATTTGCATTCAATTTTATGGTAAAAAGCACTTTAATTTATTTACCCCCATTGAAAGTCATTCCATTCTAATCCTATTAATTCAAATTCAAACACTTTTACGCCATCAAAGGGAATTGCTTTCGGAGCGGTTAGTTGTGGGCCAGAGTGGGGGCGGACTGTTCTTTTTGTTGAACGAAAAAAAATGGAATTGCATTGTTTTTAGCCCTCTAAAAATATTTCAGCTTCGGAAAGGGATTGCGAGTTGACTTTTGTCTTCCAAAAAGTTATTTCCTTTGGAGCAAGACCAGGACACGAGCACGAGCACCTGATGCAATCAAATAGCTGGAAAACCAATCACGGCGACAGCTTTCTCCGAATGACGTTTGAGAGTGTTTGATTTCGATTATTAGGAATGGATCGCACTTATTTGCCAAAAAATGTAGTTTGTTGAAAATCCTATTCTTTCTCCAAGTTTATATAAATTTTAATTTAATTTGGCAGCCCAAAGTCCAACAAAGCCAATGGCTCTCGGCGAGGCCTCATTTAAATGCATTCCAACCCAACCCCACGGTCATAATGAAGATGAATTTTTGTAGATTGTGTATTTTTCCGGTTCGTGTAGCAATTTCTTGCTAAATTTTTGTTTGTCCAAAGTTCCGACCGAGTTGATTTTTCGGTATTCATTGTGCCCAAGGCAGGAAGTGCACAGTGTCGGCGAAATGTATGTACATTATGCTAAAAATACGCCAACTGTATCTACGCACCGAGCCGGCGATGGGCT